TGGATTGCTGCTATGCTGACTGAAACTAATATATACTTATGCTGAAGTGATAACTAGTTATGGTGAGTAGAGTGGATGAGGATCCACTTGACCTATGATGATGAGAAAGCATGGTTATATACCTCTTCTCAGCATTGCCAGCAATGCTGCTCCTGCTCTCTCTCCAGAGAGTACCTTCTTCATCGAGTACTGCTCAGGGGCCTCTCCTGCTTGGCACCCCTGTGCCTCTTGAGCTGTGTCGACTCCTTCAACACTGCTCCTCCTCCTCATGACCTGGTGTCAACTCCTTCGACACTGCTCCTCCTCCTCATGACCTGGTGTCGACTCCTTTGACACTGCTCCTCCTCCTTTGATCAGTGACAGTTCCTTTGGCTCTTGTCTCTCGAGCCCCTGAGTGGTAACCATCTGCATGCTCCTTGAGCTTGGTCCTCTTCGTGGCTGTGCTTGGCCCTCCTTTGCATGTGAGTCCATAGGAGTCCATGGTCTCCATGGAGACTGCACTACGACCATGCTCTCTACTGATCTCGACTAGATCTTCGATACCTGTGCTCCTTCCATATGAACCCGTGACCCTCCTGCTTCTTGAGCATCCAGGCCCATGACAATAGTCAGCAGTGTCGGCCACTGAAGCTTCAACCACACCCAGATTGTGTGTACCAATAGATACCTGCATGCTTGCAGAACTATTGATGGAAAGTTGGTGTCCGGTGACACCATGGATCGATCTTGTTTTTATGGGTTTTGTGGGTATTTGGTACTTACTAATGAAAGAATCTGAGACTATGGACAAACCAGCACCGGTATCAGCTAGTATCCGAGCAGGATGGTCTTGAACCATTCCAGAGAGCTCCAGTACTGCTTTGCCTCCACTGGTAGAGAAACATACTTGACAATCTTGATATATACAGAGTGATGGCAAGGAGGTTTGTAGAGCAATGCATGCCATCAGTGCATCACCCCACTGACATTTCCCTCATCATCATCATCATCATGCTCCTCCTCATGATTGGGGTCCATGGGTTGCTGGTATGAGCTGAGGTCCATGGCCTCAGGGTCACCCGTCTCAGTGCTGCCTGTGTGGCCATCTCCTGAGTCAGTGGCCTCCTTGAAGGGGTCTGCTGTGGTGACCATAACCTTTGGTCCCATGGGTTGAGAGCTAAGAGGGTCTATCCTCCTGCTGGGGCAGTCTCTGGCCCAATGGCCGATACCCTTGCATACATGACAGGTGTTGATACCTGATGGAGCAGGGCTTCCTTGCTTCGAGGTTTGGGTGGGTTGATGAGGAAGGGGTCGGGTTAGGTTTTGTGTAGTTGCTTGTGTAGTTGCTTGTGCTGGTGATTGAGCTGGATAAGGTTGAGTGGGTTGACAGATGGGGATCGAACTTTGATTTGGCTGAGACCCAGTTCTTAGTGGAGGTGACATGGCATTTGGGGGTAAGTGTCTAGCCAAGGACTGCTGTAGTAGCATCCTCTGTCAATCAATCTCCTTGACCTCTTGGTACCACTCCCATCTCTTCCCAGGTGGATTCCTCTCGAACTTCTCCTGTATGCTGCGAGTGAGACTTCCTCTGAAGAGATCAATCACTAGCTCATTGTCATCTAGGTTGACCTGTCCCTCCAAGTTTCTGAACTGCTCTACATGACGTGTGGCAGCACCAGGAGCATCACTTGTGAGTCTGAGAGCCAACAGCTTGTTGTATGCTTCCATCCTAGCATTGTGTGGGTTGAACTGCTCTGACAGTCGCTCTGTGAAGTAGTGCCAATCATTGAACAACCTTCCTTCTCTAGCTCTATCAATACAGAGCTTGGAGGTCCACCACTCTCTTGCTGTCCCTTCTAGTTGAGCACCCATGTGGTTGATCATCCTAGTCTGCTCATACACCTGGTTGAACTTAAACCATGCTTTGGCTTCTAGAATGAAGATCTCCATGTCTCAGGGATTGAACTTTGGAAAGGGGGTGGCAATGGGCTTTGACCGGTTAAGCTCTGCCATGATACTAGAGTCCTCCTCCTGATCAAGAGCATAGTGATCTGTCCTGCTCTTTGTCAGGGGTCTCGCGCCTGAAACCCAGGTCGGTCTGTCGAGATACTCGGTGACTATCAAACTGTGCGACAGCTATTGTCTCGGTATCGGTGACTATCAAGTTGCGCAGTGACAACAGGTGGTGTTTCGGCTGACCTCTGTGGACACTCCGTTCAGGGGTAGCTCGGCACGATCAATATCAATGCTTCGGTTATGATGACACCAAGGTCTGGTGTGAGTATTGATGATGATGAGGTTGATGATGTTGGTGATCAGGTTGGTGAGTGTTGATGATAATGAGGTTGATGGTGTTGGTGATAAGGTTGGTGGCGTCAACACGAGTGTCCAGTGTGTTGACTTTGATGCTTGAAGTGATCCCTGGACCACAGTGGACTACTGCCTTCGGTTCTATCTATATCCGGACCACTAACCTGCTATAGGCGCCTTCGGATGTCAGGTAGTGGTGATACAACACACACACTACGATGAGGAGCAACCTTGATAGATTGCTGCTATGCTGACTGAAACTAATATATACTTATGCTGAAGTGATAACTAGTTATGGTGAGTAGAGTGGATGAGGATCCACTCGACCTATGATGATGAGAAAGCATGGTTATATACCTCTTCACAGCATCGCCAGCGATGCTGCTCCTGCTCTCTCTCCAGAGAGTACCTTCTTCATCGAGTACTGCTCAGGGGCCTTTCCTGCTTGGCACCCCTGTGCCTCTTGAGTGGTGTCGACTCCTTCGACACTGCTCCTCTTCCTTTGACTGGTGACAGTTCCTTTGACTCTTGTCTCTTGAGCCCCTGAGTGGTAACCATCTGAGCTTGGTCCTCTTCGTGGCTGTGCCTGCTCCTTGAGCTTGGTCCTCCTCACATGTGGCTCGTGTCCTCCTTTGCATGTGAGTCCATAGGAGTCCATGGTCTCCATGGAGACTGCACTATGACCATGCTCTCTACTGGTATCGACTAGATCTTCGATACCTGTGCTCCTTCCATATGAACCAGTGACCCTCCTGCTTCTTGAGCATCCAGGCCCATGACACTGTGCTCCTTCCATATGAACCCGTGACCCTCCTGCTTCTTGAGCATCCAGGCCCATGACAGGGATCCTGCCAAGTGTCAGCGGTCGTGTGCCTAACACCCAACTCTCTGCGGAATGGGCCGTCTCAGCAGATCTCAGCGAGTTCCGGTAGGGAGAGTTGACTGAGTGTACTTCTTGGAGAACCGGTGAGGAGGCTCTCCCCAATGGATAACCGTGATACCCAATGAGTGAGGCCCAGGGAACAGATATTGACTAACCACTGTTGGCACTCTGTACAGAGGTAATGTGGCAAGTTCAGCTCCTAGCGATGGTGTAGTACAATGCCAGCGTGAGTGTCAAGATGTCAACATAGTACTGAGAGTGACAGAGCTAGTGCTCAGTTGATGTCATTGGCAGCAGTTGGGTTATAGGGACTGGTAGAGGTTCCAGGCCTGCAGTGGAGGTTCTGCCTGTAGTTGAGGTGCTACAGCATCAATGTAGGTGTTGATGATGTCATATACAATACTCTCCATTTGATGACGAAGACTCAGACTTGTAATGATTGCAATAGATGGTATTGTGATGTGTGACATATAAGGAATGTTACTGTTCATGTAGTATAATGTACAGTTATGATATCTGTGAAGGTATAGTAGAGTGGATGAGTCTCCACTCATCCAGTAGCATGGAAAGATAGTATATATACAAAACCATACTGAAATCACAATCTAGCACTACCACATGACCTGCATGTGACACTGCTCAGGCCTTGCTTGGTAATGCTGACTTCAGCACCTTCCTGAGCTGCCAAGCCAACTACACTTCCAGAGTGATTGTTCCCTAGCAATACATCACTTGTCTAATCATTGTTGATCAACAACATCGACTTCCCATGTGTACAACAGGGTGGCACTGCTCAACAACCCTCCCATCTGTTCCTGCCACTGGTAGTCCCCAATGTCCAGCAAGCTACAGTCATCTACTGGATCTCCCTGGAATCTGCTGAGTCAGGCTCTTACACTGGCCCTCAGCCAATTTAACCTCTCTGTCTGTGCAGATGGCACAGACTCCATTTTGGCTGATGGCGCAGACTCCATTTCGGCTGACCGGCTCCCGTGACACCAAGAACCTCACAGCTGTCAGATATTGCAATTGGATCATTGACGGCCCACTCTGGGACACCATAACTGCTGTTAGTGCATACCCTGATGGCCTGTCAGTTGTCGAAGATGGCAGCAGCTGTCATCAGGCTGCTATCTGCAAGCAATGGCAGGCCAAATACAACATTAAGATGCAGGAACACCTGCTGGCTTTGCTGGACCTTAACCCTATTGAGAACATATGGTATGTGTTCAAAAACTTGCTTGGTAAGCACTTGCCAGTTCCAAAAACCCAGGATGAACTTGCCAGAGCTGCAGAGGAGGTGTGGAACACCCAGATCACACTTGAACATATCAACCCTGTGATCAAGTCAATGGAGCATCATGTGGAGCAAGTGCTTACTAAGCATGGAGGTCCACTCAAGTATTAGTTGGCTCCGAGACTCACTGCAATTGAAAGCTCTTCTTTTGAGCTTGCTCACTGTGTGTTTTGCTCAGTCTGACACTTATGAGAGATCACTCCTCCAAGCAGATGGAAGGTATGCTATCAGATGGTTAAATCATTGTCTATTGGACCCTGTCCCCAAACTTTGGACAGGGACTGTACCCCACTGTCAAACCATCAGACTGGAAGAGTGAGAAGACAGCAGCACACGAGTCAATGCAACAAAACAGTGTGGTAGAGTGATTGATTCCAACCAAAAAAAAAGAAGAAAAAAAAAAATGGAGACTAATACAAAGCGAGAAGAGCGATGCATGAGTGGGTAACAAGAGGACGCGTGCGTCCTCGACATCCAAAGATGCTTTCATGGTAATGATAAAAGAACTTCCAAGGAGAGCATATGAGCTCTTCAGTTGCGTCCAACGGCGGGCAGGTCCAAGTAGCTCATCAAGTCGGCGTAGCTGAAGATGCTCGAGCTCTTGGAGAAAAGGAGAACAACAGCGGCAATGAGCAGAACTGGGATCCAGAACCATACAAGCATGGCGTCGTCGCGGAGCTGAAGCTGGTTCTTGCGCCGACGTGCGACAGAGGTGTTCGAGCTGTGGACTGTGCTTGCTTTTCCCTTGCCGGTGCTGCTGGCGGATGGCCCTGCCTTGGCGGATAGCGCCGGTGCAGATGTAGACGCTTGCGTGGAAACCTCGTTGCTGCTGTGAGCTGTGCGTCGTCGCGCTGAGGGTCTGCGGGATGGACCAGCGGTTGGAGTGCTGGCTTCAGAGGTCGCTTCGGACGAGACTGCAGCTGCGGACAAAGTCGCCGCCTGTGTGGAGCGTGTTGGATCACTCTGTTCCTCGGAGGCAGCAACCGACTCATATGCGGGCGGCGGCGAGTACAACGGGTTGAGACCCCAAGCACCCTCCTCGACGATGTTCTTCCACAAAGTGAGGAGGCGACCACGCTCATCCTGTTCCCATGCCTGCGCTGTGGGCGCATCCTTGGATCGAGCCTTGCCCTTGTCGTCGCCAAGCTCCTTGATGGATGCTCCCGGAATGTCGCCACGTTCGCAGCGTTGAGCACCAGACCACGGCATGAAACCAGGAGCGGGGAGACCAAGATGGAAGACGTTGATGGCTGGCATCGCCGGCATTGCAGGCATGTGGAGTTGAGCAAACTTGTGTGCTACCGTCTGCGGCAAGAACGCTCGGTTCATCCAGTCTGCGCTTGTGTCGCTTGCCTTGGACAGCCAAGACTTGTTGACGGCAGATTCCTGTTCTGCCTTCGTGGAGTTGTGCTTTTCGCTGAGCGCCTCGGCTGCCTTGAGGGAAGCCTTCTCATCGATAACGGGCGTCGGCAACTCTGAGACAGCCTGTCGGACTTCGATGTCGTCCGCGACTTCGGTGGAATGTGTCCGACGAGGCTCGTGCGCCTCGTCACCGCTGACAGAGGAGCTATCGTCACTGTACTCGTCGAAGCTGGTGCTGACGTTGTCCTCGTCCACGTTCGAATCGCTGGAGTCACTGCTGAGCTCGTCGGAAACGATGTCTTCCTCGTCCTCGTCGTAGTTGAGGCTCGAAGCTGCGTGTGAAGTGAGGCGTCGTGTCTGCCAGTGTCCTGTGCGAGAAGTGTTGTCAAGGATAAGCTCGACATCAATCTGGTCATGGTTGCGAGCCAAGTCGACAGCGTACAAGCCATTGATGTCGGCAACATCGTCGCGTGCGCCGGCTCGCAGCAGCATACGGGCGATCGTGACACGACCCTGGATGGCGGCAAAGTGCAGAGCAGTCTCGCCATTGCGGTCGCGAGCATCGAGTGGGCAGCCTCGGCTGATGAGAGCCTCGACGAGACGGTGGAAGCCCATCAAAGTGGCGAGATGAAGCAAAGTGTGACCTTGCTTGTTGGCGAGGCGGATTGCATCTGTGCGTCGCTCAGTGCTCTCGGCCGCATCAACATCAACGTCAAGCAACGAAAGGAACTGTACAACACTGTCCTGGAAGTTAGAACTCTGCGATCGACTGGTGAACATGCCAGCGACAGCCTCGCGGGCCTGTGCGTGATTGATACCGCCATTACCGACATTTGAGCCACTGAAGGTAACCGGCAAGCTAGGCTGCTGACCGGCGCCAGAGCCGACCACACGCATCGCAACCTCGCGAGCAGATCGCATCTGTCCGGTCATCTGCAAACCGACGACCTGCAGCGCGAGCTCCATGAGCGCTCGATCGGTGGTGTCGATGTAAGTGAAGAGCTGCAAGGGCCCATTGACAGGTGGTGGCTGGACGACTTGTGCGGCACCCTTCACGCTGACAACGACTGGGCCAGGGCTCGAGCTGGGCGGCAGGAGACACACGAGCGTGTTGCTTGCCCACACCTTGGTGTTGGCTGCTGGCACGTCTCCGAAGACACAAGTGATGCCCTCGGTGAAGTTCTCTCCGAGAACTGTGACTTCGATACCACCACTGGTCGGACCTTCGCCTGGGATAAGCTTTGAGATACGAGGCACGGGCGCCTGTTCCATGTTCTGGTTGGGCATGGGAGGCGAAGCTTGCGAAAAGGCTGGGATTGGGCCGACAATGCTCGAGTTGGGACGAAGATGAGGAGGAAGTGCTGCAGCGGCAGCCATGGCCATGAGCTGCGCAAAGTCAGCACTGTTCGAGACGCCAGCCTGAGCATTACGGAAAAAGCCTTCGAGGTCGAAGTTGGGCAAGCTGGCGAGGTTGGTCTGCAATGTGGTAGGCGAGAGAGATCCTTGAGCGAGATGAGCCTGCATTTGAGGCGGCATCTGTGGTAATTGCAAAGGCGCTTGCGGAAGGCCATTAGGCTGCTGCATGGGCTGCATCGTACCAGCACCAACCAAGCCGGCAGGCGCGGGAGAGCCACCCAGGCTCGATGTATCGCCAGGCGTCTTGGTGCCTGTGCTGGTGCTGTTGCTGCGGCCCAAACCGTTCATGGTAGAACCAGCGTAGGCGAAGGCATTCCAGAAGTCGGCGGAAGTAAAGTCGACACCATTTCCGTTGCCATTGGCGGTTGCAGGAGGGGAGGTAGCAGCGATCGCGGGTGTATTCTGACCTGTGCCCGAGTAAGGAGTCATGTTGAGGTCCTTGCCCGAGGTGTTGCGTCGACGACGATTGCCATCGTAGGGCTTAGAACGCTCTTTCCTTTGTTTGGCGGGGGCTTCGATTGAGGCACTACCGTTGGGCGTGATACCACCACTTGTGGAAGCGGCTGCGCTGGCTTGATCTTCCTGACTCTGAGATTGCGATGAGGCAGAGTTGCGGGGACTGGTGCCGTTGACCTGCTTGATGACGCCGAAAGATGCTGGCGCTGAGGGTGATGATGCGTTGGAAGCACCACCGGAAGCAGCAGCAGCGGCGGCGGCGGCGGCCTGAGCAGCAATACCCATGGACTTGTGGTCGTCAGTAATCATGATGGGAGGGGTGGAGCCCGTGGCGATCAAGCGACCCTGCCAATCTCGCATGGTGAAGATGACGCAGAAGCCAACCTTCTCCTTATGATGACGACAGTAGCAGGTGATACGCGTTGGAAGGACGGCTTCGCCTTCTTCGAATTCAACAAAGTCACCGCAGTTGAAGAGAACGACGCGTTTCTTCTCCTCTTCCTCCATTCGTTCTTGTGTCCTCTCGACGGCGTCAGGAGCGTTAGGATCGACGCCGAGTGTCTTCATTTCTTCCTCGGAGGGACGACCGTCCTGTGGAGTCTTGGGGTCCTTCTTGCGGTGGGCACGCTTGCGCTCTCGTTGACGGCAACCCTTGCAAACATAGACACGGTCGTGCGGAGGTGTCGCGTTAACAACAGTGGCATCGACAAAGAGCGTCCTTTCGGGCTGGACGTCTGTCTTCTGGTACTTCTTGGACTTGCGCTTGGTGCCACTGAGAGGAGGAAGCTTAATGTGGGTGAAGGATCCGATGCGCTCCCAACCGCCTGGTGATGTCTTTGGACGGACAAGCTCGATCCTCATCCTGATCTGCGTCTCCACGCGCGACTTGGCACCGTGCATTGGTACACCGTGGACGTGAACCTGGAGATCTGTAAGACCCTCGCGTGCTGGACGAATGATTTCGAAAGCTGAAAAGCCCAGGTCAGCGTCGAGGTTGTTGCTGTGCACTGCGGTCTGTGAGCCAGTTCGACGCGTGGCTGCGTTGGATGTGCCTGCAAGCTTGCTTGGCTCGGAGGACTCGCCTGAGTTGCGTCGAGAGCCTGAGTTGCGTCGAGAGGATGAAGCGCTTGCACTGGCTTTGGATGAGCGAAAGGCAGCTGGCTTGGCAGGCGCTGAAGGCGGCATCATGGTGCTGGTTGACGACGTTGGGATGTTGATGGCTGCAAAAGAGTGACCGTTGGCGCCGTTCGAGGATGGCTGCGAGAAGGCGGGCTCGGACTTGATAGCAGGCGAGTCGAAGGAGCCTGCCTGAAGGAAAGAATCGAACATGGCTTCATCATTGTCGCTCGTCTTGCCCGTCCATGCAAGGTGACCATCCGAATCCTCGCCACTACCAGCAAAAGTGGATGAGCTGGCTGTGTGGGTAGGGTGGTGTGAGATGGAGCCGGTCTTGCTATCGAACCCACTGGGGCTGCCCTGCGTCATGGTTTGTGATGCGCCGGAAAAAGTGGCCATGGCAGTATGAGATGAAGGAGGTGATTGGATAGAGTGTGGTGAAAAGCCGTATTCAGTGCTAGAGGTGGAATGGATATCCATCGAGAGGTCGGCGTCGCTCTGGGTGTCCCAACCACCAAAGTTCATGTTTCCGAATCCGAGTTTGATCTCTGGGTGTGGTTCGATGTCGTTGAGGTCGAGGCCGGGTATGAGAGAGTGTGGATGTTCGCTCCAGATGCTAGGCGAGAAGGAGTTGGCGGATTGTGCAGCTACCTCTCCTGGTCGACGACGGTGGACGCGAGTTTTGGCCGAAACCTCGTCGTCGCCGGTAGAATCGCTAGAGGTGGGGCTGCCGGTAGTAGTGAGACTGGGGGGAGAATTGGAGTGAGGATCTAGTTGAGGTTTGGAAGGAGCGTGGCGAGAAGGACCGGCAAAGCTGGTTGACATGGCCGGCCGTAAGGAGAGGGAAAGCGAATCAAAAGGAGAGGGAAAGCGGATCAAAAGGAGAGGGAAAGCGGATCAAAAGGAGAGGGAAAGCGGATCAAAAGGAGAGGGAAAGCGAATCAAAATGAGCGGTTGCAACGAGATGACGAAAGAATGCTCAACAAGACAGTTGTAAGGGGTGACGCTTGGTTAGAGATGAATCGATCGAGCTTCCCACTCGAGGTATCAGATGAGTCGGAGCTTTCGTAAGTGGGCCGTCGATGTATCACAGTGAGCTTGTCGGTTCGAGACTCGGTTTGCCGAGACGATAGGTTTGAGAATGAACGAATGGGATGCGTCGATGCGAGAAGAGGCAGATAGAGGGCAAACTCTGGATGGCGGTTTGTCGACCTTGAATCCTTGCTGATGGTATTGGTGAGGAGAGATAGCAATGCGATGCCTCGGGCAGAAAGTAGAAAAGCCACACGCGACAAGCCAAGTGTTAGGGTGGGGTTGGGAGAAGCAAGGGAAAGCAAGAGGTGTGGGGCTTTGTGCCGTTGTGCTGTGCCGTTGTGCTGTGCTTTTGATGCTTGATTTTACACTGCTCTGGAGCCCTTAGGAGTTTGTTCTGCTCCGCTGCTGCTCCCGGCTGCTGCTTTTCGTGCGAGAAATTGGGGGCTAGGGTTAATGGTTTGCTTTCTGATGTTAGGTTTTGTCACTCGATTGGCACCTCTTCTAGTGTGCTGTTCGGTAGCTGTCGCCACTCAAAGAAGAGCTGCTCAGTCTCATCCTCGCCCATCTTGTAGAGCAAAGAGCTCCCCGTTGCTACCCTAACACCATCATTGCAACATCAAAATCACCTTGCCCAGAGTCAGGCGAAAGGTTCGGAAAACGGAGCGTCGCTTGCCCTGCACCATCCACGCCGTCGCCAACATGCCCACGTTAGTTCTGTTCAGACCGTTCTCGAACACTGACCCACCCATGCCGTAGCAGGTTGATACCAGAAGATAGTTTAGACCTTAATGCACACATGATGGCTAGGCTTGCTTCGGTGCTGCTGCATGCACAGCTTCGCCTGTATGCATGGCTTGTGTTGCTCGCTTGTTCCAACAATCGTCCACGACCATCCCCTTTCCATCCCGAGATGCCCGTTCCGATGGATTTGCAAGCCTCTCAACCTGAGATGCAGCTTCGTTTTGTGGCTGCTCCTTCCCTTTCTCTCCCTCCAGCCAAGATCCGTCGGATAAGCGACATGATAATGCAAATAGCCGCACAGGCAGTCTCGGAAGCGCTTATAGGCGCTTATCCTGGCTGGCGACCCTCCTTTGTACTCAGACGCAAACACAGCACGGCCTTTTGTTCTTGTCTTGCACTCGCCAAGCAACACATCGACGCACGAGACTCACTGCATGTCGAATAACAAAACGATGGTATTAGATTGCATTCGCAACAGAAACAAACATCAAATATACAAATCCTACAACGGCAGCTTCGCCAATCAGGACCTTGTTGCGCAAATGACGCAATCTCTGGCCCCAAACGCCATTCTTACCTGGCGAATAGCGTTGTTGTTAAAGTTGAACGTTCCCGCAACCTGATCCTCGAACGCCAGATGCGTGCGATACTCGCTCCAGCCCTTCTTGGCTGCTTCGTCGATCAAGTCCTTCATCATGGCTCGAATGCGGTCGCGCTGATCCTTATTCCTCCTGTCGTAGACAACACAGCAGATATTGTGAAGCTCTCGCAGACCAATCGCCTGTGTGCAGATTGCGTCGAAGCCCTATTGTCTGCATTTCTCCTCCAGCAAGTTCCATTGGCCCATTGCTGCATCACCGTTAACTTTCCAGATAGGGGAGAAGAAGCAGTGCGATCCGTTGTCCAACCAGCTAATCCAGTCGAGTTCGACAGGGTTGGCAATACCAGCGAGGGCCTTAGCACCCGAGTGCAGGAGTGATTCAGGTCCAACGTCTTCCTCGAACAAGTGCTCAGCGTCTTTGATTTGTGTGAGAGAGAGAGAGCCCCAGATGGCGCCCCAAATCATGTCCTGCATCCGTGGGGGTTCCGTATAGTGTGCCGTAGAAGCCCCAGTACCCGAGATTGAGCTTTTCGGCGATCTCGACTCTTCATCAACCTGAAGGATCTTGTTCATCCTCTTCAGGTCCAGGATAGCCGTTCAGCCCAGACGGACGGCCGATTGACCCTCTGGTCCCGCCGATAGAGCATGGTCCTTTCACTCTGTTCACCCGATAGTTGCACCACCTCCAGACCGCTCTGAGAAGCGACAAGGCACATGCGCTTCCCTTGACACTCTGTCCGCCGCTCCGTTTGCCCGATACTTGGCACGTCCAGACTAGCGTCAGAAGCGAGCCACAGCAAAGCCCCTCACCTCAACACCTCGCACTGAAAGCAACACAGAAAGATCCATACCATGTGACAATGCCATCTGATTACCAACATGCAAGCCAAGACCGAGCGGAGACAAAAACAAACAAAGGTAATGGTACAGTAAAAGAAAAGAATCACAATGCAAACCCAAGCCATCGTCCTGCTCTGGAATTAGACACCAGTACGAGTCAACGCCTTACGCTGGTTCGAGAACCTTATGACATCTCTCTTCTCCAAAATGAACAGCGTTCTCTCCAATGCATGATTGGTGTAACCTTGACTTTCGACAAATTCGTGACGAAGTTTAGCATAACTTGTACTCCAACCGATCGGCAACCTTCTTCGGATCTCTCGTTCCAGTTTTTGGCATTCTTCGGCAAGTTCACCTCGGGTCATACCTTCAACGTTGCCAGCTTGGACAGCGTCCATAGTGGACGATCGGAAAAGACGCATTGCTTCATCGACGTGCTCCTCACCAACTGTTGGCGAGAGCGTGACCTTGGCGAGAGATTCAGAGATACGCACGATAGCTTCGAGTTGACGAACCGTGATAGGGATGGAAGATCGTTCATCGTTGTCCCTTTCCACTTGGGCAACTTGCTTACGAAGCGCAACAAAGTGAGATGAAAGTTTCTCTGCTGCCTCGGGAGAGAGACGTGGTGCGCATTTTGCCTTGCAGAAGGAGATATATCGCTTCATCTGGTCGATATCGAATTCTCCTGTTGCAGTGGTATCGTTGGCCCGGTTCATGTGAATGTTCATAACGTGTTTCGCCATCGTTCGATCACGTTGCTCGTTGTGTTCGTCTTTGACAATGAAGATCATATCGAAACGAGAGAGGACAGTGGTTTGGAAATCAATGTTCTCGCCGGGAGACTTCATATCGTCGTATCGACCAAAGATAGGGTTGGCTGCCGCCAGGACGGATGCACGGGTGTTGAGGATGGTAGTGATACCAGCTTTGGCGATCGAGATGGTTTGTTGCTCCATCGATTCGTGGATGGCTACACGGTCTTCGTCTCGCATCTTGTCGAATTCGTCGATACAGACGACTCCTCCGTCGGCGAGCACCATCGCTCCTCCTTCGAGGTAGAACTCGCGCGATTGCGGGTCACGTTGCACTGATGCGGTTAAACCAGCTGCAGACGAACCTTTGCCTGAAGTGTAGACGGCAATAGGGGAGACCTTCTCGACGAACTTGAGCAGCTGGGACTTGGCAGTACCAGGATCACCGAGCATGAGGACGTTGATGTCGCCACGCAATCGCATGCCATCAGGTAGGACCTTCTTTGATCCACCGAAGAGCAGACAGGCGATGGCTTTCTTGATGTCTTGGTTTCCGAAGATACTGGGTGCGATACTTGCTGAGAACTTCTCGTACAGATCTCGTGTCCTTGAGAGACGGGCAAACTCTTCCTCCTCTTCAGCGGAAAAGATACGTGCCATACCTCGACCACCTGCTCCTTCAGCGTCGACCTCCAGACCCACAACCCGCAAGTAAGGCGTGCGCAGAGCAATGGCACCAGCCTTGGACCCCTTGCCAGCGCTGTTAAAAGTCGAGTAGACGCCAGTAGCGATAATTCGCGAGCCTGGGACCACACGCCCGCAGAGCGCACGATCAACAGACATGAGCATATGACGAGGCAGCTCACCCACAGGCACCATATCCGGAGCTTCCTGTAGCTTTACCGTCTGCGTATCAACAAATCGGCACTTGTCGTGCAAGATCACATACGGATCGGTCGAACACCTTGGGGCACCGGCGTCCATCTGTGTCGCGTCGCAGTATCGAGGCAAGGTGAAAGCACCAAAGCCTGAAACAACAGGTAGCGCCTTTGTGGTGCGACAATCTCTGCACATGATCTGCAGATGCGTCGCACGGGAGGAAAGAGTAGTAGTACCAATGACGATACCTGGCACACGAACAAGGTGGGAGATGCTATCAGCGTGCAAGTCACGCATGGGTGTAAGGTTGGCATGACTTCGCAAGGTGACTTGACAGTCGGGTGCTTCGGGACGTTGTTCATCGCGAGTGATGACGGGGTATAGGATGGCACGAGCCGCGCGTTTGACTGCCGATTCAAAGAGCGGGAGGATGTCGGAAGGTGTGTCGCGGAGAGCTTGAGCAAGGTCGTTGCTCCACAGCTGGACGTGTTCGAGTTGGACCTCAAGAACGTACTGCTTTGCGAGCAGGTTGGCTCGTAGACGATCACGGTAGATGTAATCGTTGCCTGTGCGGAAAGTCTGAACAAAGTTGAAGAGAGTCTGTTCGGTCTGTGCGGGAGCATCAGGGGCGCGAGATGCCTCTGATCCGGCGAGGGCTTGTGCCGAGAAGACACGGCCCGAGTCGAAGCCTGACATGGTTCGTCGTGCGGGGGGTGAGATAGAGACCTGAAGTGTTCTCGGTGCTGCGATGGACGCTTGTGAGGGTTGTTGTTCGAGCCTGAGAGCGAGGCGTAGGCGATGGATGACCAATCAGTTTCGTTTCCGCTGGATGTACTGGGTAGAGGAAAGGTAGTAGGAAGTGAGGCGGTATCAGGTTCGAAGATGATGGTGTTGATCAGGCAAAGAAAGAGCAACGAACTGGTCTTCTCAAGTGACTCTTGTGTATTGTAGGCAACGCTGAGTCTTTCCGCGTTGTTGATTGAATCGACAGTGGTCAGACTATGTTGCTTTCGTTCTTCGCGCCAAATTGCCAATCACGCACTGCAATTAACACGACGCGCCAGAGACGCGTTCGGACGTGTTCTTCAATTTACGCCGCGAACACGCTTCCACTTCAGAGACGCGCGACTGTTTCGCTCAACAGCGCTGCGGCGCGACCCCTTTCTCGCCCGGTACCTGTACGCGCTCCTGCTCAATCTGTCCCTCAGAGAACTCATGCTATGGATCGCTTCACACTGTCGTGAATGAAAGTAAGCGCTAGATTAAATGATGGTAAGGCTAATGATACTGGTAATAGAGAGTGTGTGAATACGAAGCTGTGAAAAGACAGATAAGATGGGTGAATGAAAGATGGGTATATGGAGGCGATCCAGCATGAACACCTATGCCAGAATGCACGGCAACTAGGGCTCGATCAAGTGACTGAGTCGTGCAAGCAACTCTCCAGGCAAGCATCGAAGCTTCAGACAGCGTACATAGGCGCCCTTTTCAGCCTCGAACATGACCGAGTAGTTCTGAGAAGCGTTCTGGAACGCCGAGATCTGGCGGATCACTTCAGCAATGTTGCGGAACTTGAGCACATTGATCAGCGGCTCGAGTGACACGCTAGGTGGTAAGGGGGCAAGGTCGCCGAATGCATTGGGATCCGTAGGGTGCAAACGTGTCTTGCCATTCTGCGATGTGAAAGTTGAAGCGGCCATCGTTGGCGCTGTAGGGTCGAGGAAAGTCGGCATGGCGTCGAACTGCATGAGATCCGAAACGAACAGACCGAAGAAGGGAATACAACCACGGCTAGACGTTGCCTTACCCCCCTCGCCCGCACCAGAAGGCGTCCCACTGTCACCGGCATTGCCTTCAGCAAGCTGCAACATAGCATTGCGCAAATGCCTGAAGTTGTGACGCGGACCAACAAACGAGTTGAGGTCTCTCCACATGCGCATCTCGAAGTATCCAACGCGGTTCCACGTGCGGCGCAATCTCTCGACCCATGGCGTGCTAAGACCAAAGATGATCTGAGCTAGCGAAGCAAAGTTGGAATGGAGGTAGCACTTCCATGCCACGCGAATGAGTTTGGAGATGACAGCGGCTCGCTCGTCGATGTTCTGTGTGAGAACTACCTCGCTTGCGACCCAGTTCGAAGTGAGGTTGAAACGGGCAACGATGGCTTCGACGGCACGTTCTTGGTGCACCTCGCCCAGACGCTGGGCTTCGAGACGGTCGCGAACGCGATCGCGGTAAAAGGCCTCCCAGTCGGTGACCTCGGCACCGAAGCGTCGCTCGCGCCATCTGGAGGAAGCAAGCTCGTCCCAGGTGACGGAACGCAAGAGCTCGGCCTCGATCAAACACATCTGACGAGCCACCGATTCGGACCGGTAGGAGAGCAAAAACGAGCGATGAACGGGAGGCAGCGGTGCCAAGCCCCTCTTTGGCGACATGAGCATACCTGTGCCGAAGTGAGCACCATCTGCTGATGAGATGCGCTTCCTCGCTGATAACGGGCTTGGCGGTGTTTGCTGCGCCGGGGCACACACAATTGCGTCTGCAGAGTTGGCCTTTGAGGTACACTTCGCCATTTGCGGTGACTGGAAGGCAGGTGCAAGGGTGGGTTTTGGCTCGTCGTGCTCCTCTGACTCGGATGCGGAGCTGGTGTTCTGAAGGTCGAGGAACGAAGACTGTGCCCGAACCTTCTGTTGCTGTGGAACTGGAGATCTGGATCGCAATGGCGCATGGTCCTCCGTGGAATGGTCGCAAGGGTGGACTGATGCATTTGACGCTTCATCTTCGGCATCGGCAAGTGATCCGCCAGTGAGAGACGACGACAGTGTACGATCGGCCTCGGAGCGATAGGATGCCTGACTAGTACGTTTCTGACCGTCCTCATCATCGACAGCATCCTTGCCGGCATTGCGAGCCATGGAGCGCTGCCACAGCCTTTCAACGCACTTTGCCTTCTGCTTTTGACGATCTTCATCGATGATCCCCTCCAACCTTCGTAGCGCAGCTTCGACATCGCCAGGCTCTTCATCATCACTCTCCAGGTCATCGAGTCGGAATCCTTTCACCAGCTCATACCCTTGCAGAGCCTCATCAGGATCAAGCAATTCGGTCTGCACCATGCTGATCATAGGTGGAGCTGACGGCATGACCGAAGACATACTTCCAAGCTGCTCGTTGACAAACATGGCGCTGTCGACGCTGACACCTCGAGTGTGTCCGAGCCCGAACGAGTCAATGTGGGCATGTCGCGTCGCGCCTGGATGCCTGAAGGAAGAAGCCATCGAATCGAGGCTGTCACGGCCCTTCGCCACCTGCTGAGGTTCAAGGTCCTTGATGGTGTTGGCTTGACGCAAGTCTCGCGCTCCAGGTAGACGGCGTAGAGCTTTACGGACGGCAAAGTCATCGTCATCGCTTGAGAGGTCAATGTCGTCGATCTGCACGATGCGTGGTGCTCCGTTGCTCATAATCGAGTCACGAACGGAGGTGCGGCGCTGAGTGTGAGGCATCGTTGCGTTCGCAAGGATGGAGCTCCTGGCAAAGGCGCCGTCTTCAGAAGTCCTCTCCATAGGCTCTCGCGAGACTGACCGCAGCGTCTGCTCACTAGTGGCGTGATGAAGATGATCCTCACCCTTAGTCTTTGACCAAGCCAGCGAATCAAGCGGTCGGAGCGAGTTCGGATCCAGATTTAAAAGGTCTTGACCTTGCGCTACGATAGAGACCTCGCCTTCACCTTGGTCATGCTCGGTGATGCCGAGTCCAAGCGATTCTTCTGCATCTTGCGAGGACTGCTTGTCATGATGACCTGTCAAATCGATCGAGCTGGCTGGTGTAGAGCGGTTGGTCGATGTACCTGCCAAACTAGGCGTCTCCTCCTGTCCAGTACTGTCCTCCGAAGCTTGACTGATGACTCCCTCCTCTTCGTCCTCGTTGGCCTCGTCAGTTCGAGAAAGTGGACGCTGTCGTGGGTTCCTTGCTGACTGGCGCGAGGCAGACGATGATTGCCGCCTAGCCTGATCAATGGCAAAGTACTGCAAGAGACTGTCGAGTCCGCCTTTGACAAACAACAGATCGCTGCATTCTTCTGCTTCGGCATCCATTTCATGGTTGCCATCGAGGGTACGATTGCCCAACACACGTCTGAACCTGGACAAGCGACCAACGGTGTTGACAAAGGCACGCGACCATGTACCGGACAGGTGCGGCAGAGGAGCTGGCGAGTTTCCCGAAGAAGAGGTACTGGATCTAGGTGCGTGCAATGTGGCTGGCGCTAGGGTGTGACGATGCGGAACAAGCACTGACTCCGCTGCAGCTTTCTGGGCAGAGCGCGTTGCATCTCCCGGCGAGGCGTGATTCGTTTGCTCCGTCGGTGGCGATCTGAAGTAGGCTGCATCCTGGGAGCCTCGATCCTCGGAGAAGTCGAGATTGACGTCCTCCGCAATGGACGATGAAGAACCGGAGCTCGTCATGCCAGGTTCTGCAATGGAAGCGTTACTCGCAGCGGCTCTGTTGCCGACTGGTTCGGAGTCGTGAGAAGACGAGCCGAAGGTGGAGAGACTGTCAGTCTTGCGACGGGAGTCAGGACTGTCGGTTAGTCGACCAGAGTCATGCAAAAGGAGACCTCCGACGCCCGACTGAGAGTACATCTCCTTCAGCTGCCGAACGATCTTGCGCAGGCTGTTGACGATGTTGAGATCGGCAGGGCGATCAGCAATGCGCTCTTCCCTAGCGATGGTGTTGAGCCAGTCGGCGAGTCGTGAACGCAGTGCACGATTGGGCAGGAAGTCGAAGTCGAAGTGGTGCTGAAGCCAGTGCTTGATGACGACGTAGGTGCGTACACGCACAATGCGGCGACGAGCCTCATCAGCAGTAGAGCTTGGTTCTGAGATGGCCCACTCAAATCGAAGGATGAGCAGCTCGAGCAAATCGAGTGGGGTCATGAACTCGCGATAGGTGTAGAAGAATTCACTTCGGAGTGTGAGGTCGATCTCAGCGGTCAGCTCAGCAACAAGTCGTGCTGCTGATGCGGCAAGTAGCACTGCTTTCGCTCGTGAAGGGGTTGTAGTTGATGACGCTTCGGGTTTCCTTTCAGCACTTGGGCTGAGAGACTGCAATACGCCCGAGGAGCGCTTATTGGACCCGGCATCGTCGCTGAAGGGCAGCCCGCTCCTGCGGTTGCGTCGCTTTGTAGTTGATGCAGGTGAGCTGCCTGCTGAAGAGGCGATTTCAGATGCAAGCGCCTGATCAGCATCGGTCTGGCCCAGGCGGTTGCTGACGACAAAAGTGCCGTCGTTCCTGTCGCTCTTGACGGCCCAAATGGCAAAGCGCGGGTCATCACCGGGAGAAGCGGAAGTCGGCAATGCTTGCGCCTGAGCCATGAAATTAGGAGGCTGCGGGGATTTCGAATCGCCGAGAGCGGGCGCAGACGCCGAAAGGTTGGCGTGCTGCCGTGGAATAGAGGCTGGAGATGGTCGATGATAGCACTGAATGACATCAAAGATGAGTGCTATTGGATCACTATGGGAGGTGGTGTCGCCACTGTTCATCCGCAAGAATGGTTGGAGCTCAGCAGGGTATTGATCATTTGAATCCTGCTTGTCCTCTCCGCGAGCCGTGGTGTCGGAGGCGTTCGACTCAAATGATTGAGCTTCTCTGAGCTGGTGGAGGCGAGGCGACTTGGCAAAATTGGAGTCAAAGCTGAACTCGGGTAGACGGAGTTCTGGCGGCGGTGGCTGCGTTGGAGGATTTGCGGCTGAGTTGGATTGTGACATGCCGGAAGAGCTGCTGGAGGATGGAGGGGGTCTGGGGGGTCCTTGTGCTGTGTTTTGCAGCGAGCCCGAATGCGACTTGGGCCAGAGATCGGCTTGTCCAAGACCGAGCACGGCACCGAGCACGTCACCCTCCTGGATATGGTCTGCAGCACGGCGATTGGCATGAGGACCGTTGACGGGAGAGCTTCCAGTACGCGCCATCAATGTAGCATTGCTCGGACCAGGGCGGTGAGAGTAGAAGGCAGGCGTCAACTTGGACGAGGAGGCGAGCGGAAGAGCGGGAAGGTGTGAATATGTGTTGCCTGCTGCTGACGAGGTCGGCAAGAGGGTACTGGTGGCTGTGCTATTGGAAAGACCAGCATCTTGGCCGACAAGAGTTGGGTTGGCGAAAGCGGCGGAAGCTTTGCGACGCAAGACGGGGATCGATTTGGAGTGTTTCAAGCTGAGATTACCCGTTTTGCGGAACAAGCTGTTGAGCTTTTGCGATGCTGGTGTGTTGTCGATGGCATCTGATTGAGGCTGAGTAAAGATAGCACCGGACGAGCTGGAACGTGGCATGCGATCAGGCTGTATTGTGCCTGCTGCGAAGGGACGAGAGTCGGTGAGGCCAATGTCAGAGGTGGATACAAAAGCGAGCTGTCGAGATCGGAAGCGAAAGATGACACGTCCCGACTCGAGACGCGCTGCTGTAATGTGCAAGGATGTTGCCGCTCCAAAGTCGTGGGATGGCGCGTACTTTTCCGGCTGAGCGGAAACAGCTTCACGGGTAGCTTCCAGAAGACGGAGGGGGATCTGATGCTGCACAGCGAGAATCTTGACTGCATTCCAGTTGGTAGTTTCGACGTCCAAGTGGGCTGAACCAGCAGAGTGCTGCAAGAGAGTCGGCATTGCAGATGTGCTGGCATATGGAGATTCCATGGTGTGCAATCAGGCTGAGCTGCAAGGCAGCGATATACGATGTTGAAGGTTTCGGTGAGGCAGGTCACAGGTCACGGAGTCGGAAGGTCGCCGCTAGCTTCTGATCTGATGGAGCAAGAGTGGTAGATTCAATCGAAGCGCCGCTTTAGCAGAGGGCGGAGGGGCTTTGGAAGCCCATCGCGGGCAGTGCAAAAAGTCGTAGAGATGAAGAGCGCGTGTATATGATGGGCTATAGCGCTGAGGCTGCGGATTGTGGCCGCGAAGAGATGAGCTGGCTTGAATTGCGAGCTGACCGAAAGTTACTATCAAGGATACAAGGATGGGCGAAAGGAGAAAGGGTACGAAAGGCCGACGATCAAGGCGCGGCTGAGTAGACGGAAGCAAAGGGTATCGAGTGGTGGAAGCAAAGTCGTCAAAGGTCGTGAAGAGGTGCGAGCTAGAGAATCGGTAGCATCGCACTTGCGCGGTAAAGGCGAGTGTTGTAGATGATGGAGTATGAGAGAGAGAGAGAGAGAGAAAGAGAGGGAGAGAGAAAGAGAGAGAGAGAGAGGCGCGCAAAGTGCGTTCGTTAACAGGTCACGCTTCTCTGAAATAGAAATGGACATGATTAATTTTTTGCTCTTACAGCACAGTATTATTTCTTTCAAAATGAGATTTAACAATCTTGGATAGAAACAAAAAATAAAAGCAGGCTCGAGTTGGCTAGAGTGTGAGTGATGATGATGGAGCCCCTTCCTCGTGGATTCGTTTCTACAGCGTCCTCTCTTTTGATGTGGCGAGAGAGAGAGCGTGGTTGGCACAAGCTCCTTCGCTTCACGATGCAGTTGTATCCCACATCTTTACTCTCACGCTCTCCCGTCAGCGCCACATTCTTCTGTTTTCGTCTTTGACCCTTTGTCTGCGAAATGCCTTTGAAGACGATAGACATGAGAAGATTGAGATGGTAGTGGGTTGATGTCCATAGTAAAGTAGGGTGGTGGGCACCCAGACGTGGAAGAACAATCAACCGTGTTAAACGAGCAGCATCGTGGCTTGGCACATTCACGGTCCACAAGCCGAGCAGATCGTCGGCAATTCAACTCGTTGCTCGGATTTGAGCACTCGTGTTGCAAGGATGTGCACCGAGGACGATGTGTGAGCTTGCCATCGCACACAGACCCCGAGATCGATTTGTATCAGATCATGTTCAGGTGACGATTCGAGTCAAAGATGCAAAGAATTACAAGTAGAGAGGCAACGACGTGTGTAAGAGAGGTCAGACAACAGGCACGATGGTTGGATCGAAGCGCTGGGCGGCGCGCGAGGTAGAGTGTCTAGGCAATCCTATCGGTGACGAGGCAAGAGGTTGACTTGAGCCGCCAAAGCGGCAGATGAACCGGCGTCGGAAAAGGCGTTGGACGGACAGAAGAACAAGGTCAATAGCATCGCATGTGGACCACCGCAGGCTGCAGGCGATTGCTTCGTACATCATGGATCCCTAGTTCCAGCGGAAGGATAGCTTGACATTGGTACGATGCCTCGCCAATCAAACGCACCAGGAGCTCCGCGATCCATCCGTTGCAGCGTCCTTGCTTTTGCTCGGGCCTTTGCCGCAAAAGCAATCACTGCGCCAAGCTCTGCCGAAAGCTCTGCCTCCTTCCCTGTCCGCCGTGCCAGAAGTATGTCCTGTAGGGTGTGTGAGAGTGTGGCCTGCCTACATAGCAAGCTCAGCCTGCAACGCACGCAGCTCGGCATCATCATCATCTTCCACCACGGCTTGCTTCCTTTCGGGTCCATTCGAAACACGAGATGGCCCTGCCGAACTCGCTACCGCAGGAGTGTGCAAAGGCACCGAATCGGCGCCCACCAATCGCTCGTTGAGTTCGTCCTGCTCCAACTCGTCCAATTCGTTCTTCAGCTCGTCCTCATCGATATCGTGGCCCATACCCACCGGGTTCGAGATAGCATCCGAGATCTCGTTGGTCAAGTCCATCTGTTCGCGGATCGAGTCCATTGTCGAGTCGACCTTGTCGATGTTCAAGCTGCCGTGGATGGTCTTGAGCGCGTCGGCACCCTTGCGCATAGCGCTCATGGTCTCGAGGTTCATGTTGGCGCTCTCGATGGCGTTGACTTGGGTCTCGAGCGTCATCCTTGTGCCTGCGATACGATCGAGTTCATTTTCGTACGCCTTCTTTTGCCGCAGAGCCGCTTGCGCCGCTCGCTTGTTTGTTGTGACATTGGCTTTTGCTTTTTTGAGTTCGTCATCGATTTTTTGGTTGAGATGCTCCTCCTTCTTCTCGAGCATGAGCAGCTGTTGCCGCAAGCCAACTATCGCATCTCTTGCCGAGTTCTTGTTGTCCTTCTTGCCAAAGTAGTTTAGCCAGCCCGACATGTTGGCGGATGAGTAAGGTGTGGAGGGAGGTGACGCTTGCAAAGTCTAAGCAGTCCACAGATCTCGTGAGGCTGAGAAACCTGTCGGCAGCTGAGGGCAGTGCGTGAGAGCCTAGCTGATCCTCAACTTAGAATTCAATCGATGATGGTCTCGTGAATTTCGATGAGTGCTTAGCAGTTGTCTGCTATCTTGACCAGGTAGTGTGCCGAGGAGGGGCTGATAAGCAGTTCCAGTCGAGGTCCCGTATGAAGAGTTTGACGGAGGGAGATCGATCCGCGAATGGCTTCCGCTCAGTATGCAATGTCGAGTAGGATATTGCGGATGTGATGGCGGAATGGTGTTGGTCAAGATGGTGTTGGTCTGGATGGATGATAGCGTCGAGTGTGGAGAGAACCAAAGTGACGGTTGAGATTGTGCTCAGCCTCTCTTTTGCTGCCTTTGCGTGTGAGCAAAGAGGTAGAGATCAGGCTGTAAGAGCGGAAATTGCATTTGGAAAATCGCAACTGAGCCAACGCCTCGCCTCACCAAGCAGCACACGGCACACGAGCGATAGGGATGGGTGGAGGATTCAAGGTCGCCAGTTAAAGATGCATTGGCATCCCAATGGGGTTCACAGAATAATATGGAGTCCATGGAACACGAGCTAGTTCTCGATTAAGAGGAGCTGCACATAAGTGGCAATGCATGTGGGATGCACATACGTTGTCATAGTGACACACAGGAAATCACAACTCAGGGGCAACAATAAGAGGTGACTCATCATGGATTGATGAACTTTGGAGGTGATCATCAGGTATATATATGTAACCATATACATAGTAGCATACAGTTTAAATTTTAAGACATTTTACATGAAAACTATACACTCATGTTAGGTGCTTGTCAGTAGCCCAACTTAGTGTACAGGACTTGTATATCTTCAACTGATTAAGAGTCTGAAGCTCTACCAATCAAGCCAGCTGGGACTGCCCCTTACCATTATGGTAGACAACACTGAGATGCAGGCTGGTGCAAGTAGAACTAAAGGAGGCAAGAAGGGTAAAGTTTCCCAGCTGCAAGCCACCAATAACAAAGTCACCAATGAGACAGAAGTCAAAGTGATAGACAATGACGAGGAAACCAGTTCCAATTTCAACCAAGACAGCAGTGGCAAGCAATATAACTTCTGCACCCTGGCAAAGCTACTTGAGCCAGTGCCCAAGCTCACATCACAGAACTACTATAGTTGGAACATCCACATCAAGTCCTTTCTCTGATCTGTCCCTTATGCCATGAAACATCTTGAGGGAACATACAACAAGAAACACCCCAAGTGGAAACAGAGTTTTGATGGTGCCTTGACAAAAGCAGTACATGGCACCATCAACACTACCGGGGAATATAATGTAAACTACTTAATTCTCGACAACATCAGGGAACACCATACATTCAGTCAGGTCTGGAAGGAAATTGAAAATGGCCTGACCAATGAAGCCACCACAACCTCATGCCAGATTGCCCTCATCACTCAGTTAGGTGAGCTCAGGATGTTCAACTCTGATGCTCAAAAACTCATTCAAGAAATCAGGACAATCCAGACAGAAAGCAGCCTATTGGGAAAACCTTTTGCTGACGATACTTTGTTCTCCAATTTGCAGAAGTGCACCATCCACCATCCAATGTATAAGGAAACAGTTGCCACTGTCAGCCAGCTCACCTTTAGCACCCTTGCCACTGCACTAACCATTCGGCAATCTGCAATTGAGAATTACCCTGCTCAGAAGGTTGACCCCTGCCAAGCCAGTGCCAGAGTTGCTGGCAGTGATGATCAAGATGAACCAACCCTGAAGGATGGGGGGGATGAGAAAGATGGAGATAACACCAATGCCAAGGTTGCTGCTCGGCCTTGAAGGCTTTGGTGCTGGATTTGCAAATGACCAGGACATGGAATTAGCCAGTGTGATGCTATGGTAACCATCCCTGAAAATTCCCCCCTTGCCAAGACCAAATAGGAACCATGGTGTTCCTTCACACCAAGTTGGAAAAGGCCCCTAGATCCAAAAGAAAGATCCCATTGGATCCTGGACTCAGGGGCCAGTTACCATATGGTCAACATTCATAGCATGCTCATCAATCCCAAAACCTGTCATAAACATGTGTTCACAGCCAGAAGTGAGGTTTTGGAAGCAACAGCTATTGGAGATGTCAACATATCAACAAGTAATGGAGATATGCTACTCTGCAATGTACTATATGTCAGGCATCTCAATGTTAACCTCTTGTCAACAAACTCAATGACAGATGAAGGAGCATGAGTGATACTGGATTCTGCTGGCAGGCAAATACATTTGGCAAATGGCATGCTACTCAAAATGACCAAGGATTGCAAGCAAGGACTTTTAGAGTTTCGAGGTGACACATGGCAAGAGAATGCAATGATCATGTCAACATCATTACTTGAGGATGTTGATGAAGATTTTGAGCAGACAGAGAGCAGAGCAGAAATATCCAAACAACAATTATGGCATGAACATCTAGGGCACCCAGGCTGAGATAAGACAAGGGCCATCAACAATCTATTAAAAGGCAACAATGTAGCTAAATTGAATCTGGATACAGCTCAAATGTGTGAGCAATGCATTCAATCTAAGAGCACGATGTCAGGGGTCTCGCGCCTGAAACCCAGGTCGGTCTGTCGAGATACTCGGTGACTATCAAACTGTGCAACAGCTATTGTCTCAGTATCAGTCTCAATGAGCTAGTCATTTGGCGACTATCAAGTTGCACAATGACAGCAGGTGGTGTTCATTGTATATACTATCGTAGGTTTTGGCTGACCTCTGTGGACACTCCATTCAGGGGTAGCTTGGCACGATCAATATCAATGCATAGGTTATGATGACACCAAGGTCTGGTGTGAGTGTTGATGATGATGAGGTTGATGGTGTTGGTGATAAGGTTGGTGGCATCAACACAAGTGTCCAGTGTGTTGACTGATGCTTGAGGTGATCCCTGGACCACAGTGGACTACTGCCTTCGGTTCTATCTTGATCTGGACCACTAACCTGCTATGGGGCGCCTTCGGACATCAGGTAGTGGTGATACAACACACACACTATGATGAGGAGCAACCTTGATAGATTGCTGCTATGCTGACTGAAACTAATATATACTTATGCTGAAGTGATAACTAGTTATGATGGTTGTGTAGAGTGGATGAGGATCCACTCGACCTTTGATGATGAGAAAGCATGGTTATATACTGTCATGGGCCTAGATGCTCAAGAAGCAGGAGGGTCACTGATTCATATGGAAGGAGCACAGGTATCGAAGGGACCTAGTCGATACCAGTAGAGAGCATGGTCATAGTGCAGTCTCCATGGAGACCATGGACTCCTACAGACTCACATGCAAAGGAGGACCGAGCCATATGCGAGGAGGGCCAGGCACAGCCACGAAGAGGACCAAGCCCAAGGAGCATGCAGATGGTTACCACTCAGGGGCTCAAGAGACAAGAGTCGAAGGAGTCGACACCAGGTCATGAGGAGGAGGAGCAGTGTCAAAGGAGTCGACACCACTCAGGAGGCACAAGGGTGCCAAACAAGCAGCAGGATAGCAAGGAGGAGGAGCAGTGTCAAAGGAGTCGACACAGCTCAAGAGGCACAGGGGTGCGAAGCAGGAGAGGCCCCTGAACAGTACTCAATGAAGAAGGTACTCTCTGGAGAGAGAGCAGGAGCAGCATCGCTGGCAATGCTGTGAAGAGGTATATAACCATGCTTTCTCATCATCAAAGGTCGTGTGGATCCTCATCCACTCTACACTTACCATATAACTAGTTATCACTTCAGCATAAGTATATATTAGTTTCAGTCAGCATAGCAGCAATCTATCAAGGTTGCTCCTCATCATAGTGTGTGTGTTGTATCACCACTACCTGATGTCTGAAGGTGCCCATAGCAGGTTAGCAGTCTGGATCAAGATAGAACCAAAGGCAGTAGTCCACTGCGGTCCAGGGATCACTTCAAGCATCAAGTCAACACACTGGACACTTGTGTTGATGCCACCAACCTTATCACCAACACCATCAACCTCATTATCATCAACACCCACCAACCTTATCACCAATGTCATCATCATCAACACTCACACCAGACCTTGGTGTCATCATAACCTATGCATTGATATTGATCGTGCCAAGCTACCCCTGAATGGAGTGTCCACAGAGGTCAGCCGAAACCTACGATAGTATATACAACGAACGCCACCCGCTGTCACTGTGCAACTTGATAGTCGCCAAATGACTAGCTCATTGAGACTGATACTGAGACAATAGCTGTTGCACAGTTTGATAGTCACCGAGTATCTCGACAGACCGACCTGGGTTTCAGGCGCGAGACCCCTGACACAAGGTTGGTAGCACGAGGATTCACACAAAGAGAAGGGATAGACTACACAGATGTATTTGCACCAGTGGCACCTATCCAAGCTATCAGAGGAGTTCTAGCCATAGCAACCATATGAGATTGGGAGGTGGACTGCATCAACATAAAACAGGCATATTTGAATTCAACACTACACCATGATGTTTTCCTGAAGCCACCAATTGGAACAATGGTTCCCCCAGGAAAGTTTCTAAAGTTAATTAAGGGACTGTATGGACTAAAACAATCAGGCTGAGAGTGGAATGTGGAATTGGATTCACACTTGCAAAGCATAGGTTTCCATTGCATGCCGAGTGCACCTTGCTTATACTCGAGAGGAACTGAGGGTAGTCTAACTATAATTACAGCATATGTGGACGACATGCTCATAGCGTCCCCCAGTTGTGAGGAGGTGGACCACACCAAGAAGGAAGTAATGGAAAAATGGGGTACAGAGGATAATGGACTGGTGAAGGAGTTCTTGGGTGTAAGAATCAAGCATGATAGGACACAGAAGAAAATGTCACTTGATCTGTCAGCTTACATTAAGGCAATGGTGAGCAAATGGTTACAAGTGACTAATCAGAAGTCCTGGGTACCAATGCAAGGAATAGCTAATATTAGAAGGGAAGACAAATGTAATCTGATGGAGGCCAAGTGATACCAAGAGCTAGTGGGACAACTATTGTGGGTATCAAACACTGCATGACCAGACATTTCATTCACAGTTGGGGTACTAGCAAGATATATGTCAAGCCCAACAAGTAGTGCATGGAAAGCAGCAATCCATCTGCTCAAGTACCTAAACCAAACCAGTGAGTACAAACTGATTTTTGGAGATAGATCAAGCAAGCACTCGGAATGCCCAGTTGTCACATACACAGATGTGAAATGGGTGTCAGACCCAACAAATGGACAAAGGAGTACATCAGGAGCAGTAACATACATATATGGGTGCCCCGTTAGCTGGAAATTGCATGTTCAAAAGTGTGTAGCATTATCAGCTGTGGAAGCAGAATTTGTTGCCACCTCAGAAGCAACAAGAGAGGCACTTTTCTTCTCTTATCTCCTCAGGGACCTGGAGATGGGAATGACCCAACCAGTCCTTCGCACTGACAGTCAGGGATGCATTCAGGTGAGCAAGGATCTGGTGAAACATTGGAAATTGAAGCACATAGGCACTCAATATTACTTCATCAGGGACCATGTGCAGGATGGAGAGATAGCAATTGAATTTTTTGGAACAGCAAGCAATGTGGCAGACATACTAACAAAGCTGCTGAAAGGTCTAGCAACATCTCAACTAGCCCAGTTGTTAGGGCTGGTAATGCCATCGAAGGGGGGAGTTAAAGATGCATTGGCATCCCAATGGGGTTCACAGAATAATACAGAGTCCACAGAACACAAGCTAGTTCTCGATTAAGAGGAGCTGTGCATAAGTGGCAACATGTGTGGGATGCACATATGTTGTCATAGTGACACACAGGAAATCACAACTCAGGGGCAACAATAAGAGGTGACTCATTGTGGATTGATGAACTTTGGAGGTGGTCATCAGGTATATATATGTAACCATATACATAGTAGCATACAGTTTAAATTTTAAGATGTTTTACATGAAAACTATACACTCATGTTAGGTGCTTGTCAGTAGCCCAACTTAGTGTACAGGACTTGTATATCTTCAACTTCGCCGCTTTGGCTCTCCTTGTGCTGTGACATGCTCTACGCACAATGATGACAATTCGTTTTTTTGCACTTTGTGAGATCGTCAGCAATTTACATGTCGCCAAAATGGCTTATGACCGGCTTTCAGAACGGCGTTGTTCGGCAGTTCAAGTTGAGACCTTGGCCTCTCGCATTCTTATCTGTCACACCATCTCAGGACCAGCTGACTACCACGTAGGGTCAGGCAGAAGCTCGTCCACGCTATAAAAGAGGTCAGTAGATTACAATTTACTGAGGCGGCCAGCTAGAAGACACAAGACACAAGACAATATACCAACATCTCGAGCGCAGCTGGTAGAGCCTTCCAAACTATCTCACTCCACCATGACCGTCGCTTCAAACTCCAGAGCAGCCCTACGATGCTGCACATCTCTAGCAGGACGTCGCACTGTAGCCACCTCCTCTTCCGGTCCAATCCGCCCTCTAATCGCCAGCCTCCCCACCCGTTCCCGCTACCTACCAAAAACACCCGAATTCTCAATCGATCACCTAATCATCGGAGGCGGCGTAGTCGGTCTCTCTATCGCCTCCGCCCTCTCCCGTCGTTGGCCAGACCGAACAACCTATCTTGTCGAAAGGAATAAATCCTTTGGCGAAGAAACTTCCTCTCGTAACAGTGAAGTGATCCACGCGGGTCTCTATTACCCCGCCGACTCTCTCAAGACCCGTCTATGCCTTCGTGGGCGCGAGCTGATGTATCAGTACTGCCAGGAGAATGGCATTCCACATAAGCAGACGAAAAAGCTCATTGTCGGTGCCGACTTTGCAAAGGAGTACTTGGAGAAACTTCAATCGCACTGCCAAGCTTTGGGACCGCAAGCTCCACCGACAAGATTGATAACAGGTCGGCAGGCGAGCGAGTTAGAGCCTTATCTTTCACCGGATATCGCATGGGCGCTATTGTCGGAAAGGACAGGAATCGTTAGCAGCCACGACTTGATGGCGAATTTGGAGAAGGAGTTGCTGGAAGCGGATAATGCAGAGATTGTGTACGATACAAAGGTGGTTAGAGTTGACCCCAATGAGCCGGATGTAGCGGCGAGGGACAGTAAGAGGGGAAATGATGGAAGTCAGGATGGGTGGGTTGTGCAGACGCTTACTTCCGGTGCTGAGGATGCGGATGCCTTGTTAGCAAAAGTTCTGATTAATGCTTCTGGGTTGAATGCGCCTATGGTTCTCAATTCTCTTCTGAAGGAGATGGGCGCGGAACAGGATGCAATTCCAATGTGGCATTCGAAAGGCAACTATGCGGCATACAAAGGGCTAGGAGCGACGAATGTTGAGCATCTTATTTATCCTGTTCCTGATACTAGGAACAAGGGCGCACATGAGCATACCTCGCTAGGAACACATTTAACGCTCGATTTAGATGGCAACATCCGTTTTGGTCCTGATACTGAATGGATCTCACCTCCCCCTTCTTCCACTTCTAGCACCGAGGCGTTGGATTTCTGGAAACGAAACCTAGTAGTCTCCGAATCCCGCCTTTCCAGTATGTACAACTCCATCACCGAATACCTGCCCAACATTGAACCCTCTCATCTCACACCCGACTACGCCGGCATTCGACCCAAGTTGATCGGTCCCGAAACAAAAGGATTTATGGACTTCCAATTCCTCTGGCACTCTTCCTCCTCGCTTTCCTCCCAAAAACTCTGGCAGAGAGCTCCCTATCTTCCACCACCAAGCACCAGCTGCATTAGCAAAGCGAGGAAGAGCATGGATAGAAGCGATACGGGTGGTGGTGTGATGCTTAGTCTACTGGGTATTGAAAGTCCCGGTTTGACGAGCAGTTTAGCGATCGGGGAGTTGGTAAGAGATATCGTCGCAAACGGCGTTTATGCCGAGGATCCGAAGAGAAAGGTTAGTGAGAATAAGGGCGCAAGGAATGAGCATGGTGCTCATCGCGTTGATGCTTGGGCCTAGACACACGATTGCTGTCTTTGGGAATGCAGTCACTTCAATCCACAGACAGACCAAGACCCTTTTTTTGGGTCACGTCCACGCCCCGTCCGAGCTCCAAGTCTACATCGCAGCACGAGAGCTTTGTGTCCCAAAGAACCAAGACTGAAGAAAACTGCCTGCGCTCATGTTCCCTGCGTATCGAAGCAATCCATCGCAGAGTCTGAAAGCGCGCAAAAATGTTACATTTTGAGTCAAGTCGATGGCAAATGCTTGGATGGATACAGAACCGAGCCCACTACTGAAAGGTGGTGCAAACGAACAATGATGTCTTCGCCGAACGAGTGTTGCCTACGTATCCGTGCGTAAACACGGATGCATTGGTCGCAATAGCCTAACAAGGCTGATATCAAGTATCTAGTGTTAGAGAAAGAGAGAGATGTTTACTCGAGCTCAACAACACCACCAGCAGCTTCAATAGCCGCTTTGAGCTTTTCGGCATCTTCCTTGTTCAATCCTTCCTTCAAGACTTGTGGGGTGGATTCGACGAATTTCTTTGCTTCGACCAGGTTCCTGTTTGTAACACAACGTGAACGAAAACGTTAAAGAGTCAGCATTGGGACATTCAGAGACGCTTGCTGTCGGGATCTGCGACGGTATTGTTGCGAGGCTTCGCTGCGCGGTTCGGCTGTGACTTTGCTTCCACACTTTGCTGTAATTGAGGGCTGAAAGGTCCGCGTGGCGAGCTAGATATTTGTGTGGCTGTACAGCGACAAAAGCCCGCCTTCGATAGATCGTGCCTCGGTCGGCCTGATATTGGTGTGGTACTCACATGGTAGAATTAGCTGCTTTAACCTCCCTAATGACCTTGGCCTTAGCCGTTGGATCCTTCAGCCCGGCCAACTTCAACGTGAACACTGTCTTCTCCTTCGGTTTAGCCGCCTCTTCCGCAGCACCATCCTCTGCGCCTCCTGCTGCAGCAGAGGCAGCAGCGGGGGCGGCACCAGCAGCAGGCATAGCAATTTCGGTAATATTCAACCTCGTCTTCAAGTGTGAGACCAAGTCGGCTGCTTCGAGCAAAGTGAGCTTTTCGATCTGATCGACAATGGAGGAGATTTTAGCATCTACTGGTTCTGCGGCATTGCGAAGGGGCGAACTGGTGGTGAGAGCGCGCGATACAATACGAGGAAGGTTGGTGCGGGTGGAGGAAGAGAGGATGGTGCGAGAGGTGGATGCGATGGCTGTTCTCGTGAATGACATCATGGCGATCAATATATCCGGTATCGGTGGGTGGAGACGGTGGAAAGGTGGTAGATGATGACGAGAAGGTGTTGTTAGAAGAGTTGATGTCGAAGATGAGCAAACCCGAAGAAATCTCAATTTCTCTCTGAAGTTAGATATCTTCCTGCCGGCCGATTGAAAGAAAATCGCCAAAAGTCGGAAGCGGTGACAGGCAATCCAAACTTTTTCTGCCCAATTTCTTCTTGCTCGCTTGACTTCTTCCTGACTTCAGTTCAGGTCACGCTAACCGTCTGCTTGTAACCGTTCTCGCACGAGACACTGCCACCACTCGCTCCTCTCCCATCATCTCCCCAACACCTTTCAGCTCTCAACCATCAACAGCACTCGAACAACCATCAACAGCACTCGAACAACCATCAACAGCACTCGAACAACCATCAACAGCACTCGAACAACCATACAACCATTCGAACATTGTCACGCATTGAAGTATAAAATGTGAAAAAGAACTTGTCATTTCGTCCTTGAGTCACACCGAGTTAGACCACCGGTCCCTACTCTCGTTCAGAATCATCAAAGCAAGAAAAAAGTGGTGGGCTTTGCAAGGTCCGGGCGGAGGACACCTCGTCAATGGCATACCACGCCATCAATCGCCCGCCGTTGACCTCACCCTAAGTTCATGCTAGTGGCTCGACTAGGCAGCAACCACCACAGTCCGAGCAGCATTAGCAACAGCAGCCTCGGCCACCCCGCCAACGAAGGCATGCTGCTCCACCTGCTTCTTTAACTCGTCCAATCCCAGCAGCTTATCCGTCCAGAGTGCATTCTCCTTGGCCTTCTTCTCACTCTCCTTGAACAAATCAGCCAATGAATCCTGACCCTCCGGAGCAGCCCTGAGCTGCTGGACAGTACGCAGACCCAACTGCTTCCAAATCTGGCCCAGAGCGTACACAAGATGGTCCACATCCTCGCTGGTGTGTCCGGGAGTAGGCGTGATCCTAAGCCTCTCGAGCCCTCTACCAACAGTAGGATAGTTGATCGGCTGAACATAGCATCCGTACTCCTCCAAAAGCATGTCGCTGGCAGCCTTGGCCTTGGAAGCGTCACCTACGAGAACGGGGACAATGTGACTAGGGTTGTGCTGAAGCGGAATACCAGCAGCAATAAGTTTATCCTTTGTCTCTCGAGTGCGCATTTGCTGGAGGATGCGAGAGTGGTTGCACTCCATCAAGAGCTCAATCGCCTTGTTCGCACCGGTGAGCACCGAAGGGGGCAGAGTGGTCGAAAAGATGAACTGAGGAGCAAAGCATCGAATCAGATCAACAAACCTGTTCGATCCGGCAATGTACCCTCCCACATTTCCATAGGCTTTACCCAGAGTGCCGGTAATAATATCGATCCTGTCCATGAGACTACCCTTGAGCAAACCAGGTTTCTGACCGTGAGCCACCTGAGCATCCCAATCGAGATGCTCGGCTACACCAGCACCACGCGGACCGTACATTCCCACAGCGTGGACTTCGTCGAGGAACGTAATCGCACCGTACTTTTCGGCCAGATCGATGGTCTTCTCGATCGGACCCACGGTACCGCACATGGAGTAAACGGATTCGAAAGCTATGATCTTAGGCGTTTCAAGGGGGATAGCCTGCAATTTGGCCTCGAGATCAGCCATGTTGTTGTGCTTGTAGATGACCTTCTTTGCACCGGAATGCTTGATTCCCTGGATCATCGAAGCGTGGTTGCTAGCATCCGAAAGAATAACGCAGTCCGGCAGCTTCGAACCCAAAATGGTAAGCGTAGCATCATTAGCGGCGTAACAGGAGCCAAAGACTAGGGCAGCCTCCTTACGGTGCAACTGGGCCAACGTCTGCTCAATCTTCTCCACGTGACGGTTGTGTCCAGCGATGTTACGCGTACCACCGGCACCAGCACCGTACTTGTCGAGGGTCTCCTTCATCACCTCGAGCACAGCAGGATGACGGGACATGTTCTGGTAATCATTGGCACACCAGACGGTGATCTCATCCGCCTCGGCAGAGAGATGACCTTTGGGGGCGTTGCCAGCCAAGCGATTGATGTTGTTGAAGTAGCGATAGGATTTGTCGGCGTGCTTAGCCTGAAGTTGGTCGTGGTAGAACCGTTCGTAGTGGAACCCGGGGCGATTGAGGGGACCGGGTTGAGGCTGCATGCCAAGACCCGAACCAGGGGTGCGAACCTGTTTGTTCTTGATGCTCTTACGACGTTGATGCTGGGGAAGCGAGTTGTTGGCGGTGGCAGCAGCAGCGGCGGCGGCTTCGGCGAGCTTACGAGCGTGAGGGCACTTGTCGACGCCGGCGTTTGGGTCGGCAAGGCTGATACCCTCCTTGGCGTGGAGACGCTCGATGTCGTCAGGCTGAGCAACAGCAGCACGGGCGGTCTCGGATCGCGAAACGTAGGATCGAATCTGCTGAGCAGTTGCGCCATTCATCTGACCCGAGAAGGGGCAGCCGGTAGCAGCAACGGTTTTGTTGGCAAAGAAGCTGCTTCCAGAAGCGCCGAAAGTAGGGCTGAAGGTGTTGGTGCCGTCAGCTTTGATGGCGAGACTCTGGCTCATGACAGGGCATTGCTGAGCTTGGCTGACGAGACGAGCGGGACTAGTGGACATTTGACGAAGTTGAGGCATCGGAACTCGACCCATGTAAGGACAAGCCTGACGGATCTGCCTCAAAGGGCAGAGGCTGCGATCCATTGTGGATAAATCAAAGGTCGGTGGATGAAAGGGTGTCGGCTGTAGGCGATGTTGAGTTCTACCTGTGGCGAAGATAGAGCAGAGAGAGGTGAAGAGATGGTGGCGTGAGAAGGAAGAATTGGCCATGAGAATTGGCCATGAGAATTGGCCATGAGAATGTGTCTGCCGTAAAAGCGTGGCAAAGGGGAAAAGGCGGCCAAGCGGAAAAGGCGACAAACACAAGCGAGAGGATTGGGCCGCCGTTTGTTTGCTGTCTGCGATCTCAACCGCTTCTCGCCTTTTCGCTCCAAGAAAGCCCTCTCCAAGCCAGCCAGTCCTAGTCCTGGGGGGCAACTCAAAATTTTCAACAGCAGAGCGCGATGTTGTAAGCTCAGACCACACTGTAAATTTCCCGCTAGATTTCGGACCCTTTTTGGCTTTGCTACACCAGCAACTGAAGCAATTTTTACAGAAAGGCTGCGGAATGAATGAACGCTTTCCTCCATTCTAGCCAGCGATCCATGCGCTGCTCGAAAGTTGATCGCTGAAAACTATCAGCTGGGCTTCAGCCGCGGGCGAAGGATCTGCTGAGAAATTACAGTGGATCTGATTCGTCGGTGGCTACCTACGAGTTTCCCGTCCGCTGCGGCGTGTTAGACCAATTGTCGAAAATAACGGTCTAACATGATAAATAGTACCCAAAAAGACGCTTTTGTCCGTCTCGTCCAGTCGATTCTTATCAATCGCAACTGGAAGACCACGTACCGCTCGACAGCATCAAAGGTGCTATCCAAACGCCCCCGCCCGACATGTTTCTCATGACAAGAGCGGCTACGAGACTGAGACAGAGCATGGCAGATCACATACACCTATATCTCACTTCGTAGACCAGGTCGGAACCAAACCATGGCTCTTTTAATCTCTAATGCGATTGTGACTTTGTGAATTCCTTATTTGAGTGGTGCAGTGGGATCATTGCCTTTGATACACGGTGCGAATCCAGCCCTGCCAACACATCTCTCTGCTGAGCTTGAGGCAATGGGCGGCAGTGCGGTGTGCAACAGTGTGCCCTTCCCCAGTGGTATAGCATCGCTCTTGGGAGACTTAGGCCTCACCAGCCTCCTTAGGCTTCGAAATGACCTGGATGCTGCCTACAAAATCAACAGCAAAAAGAGAAGATCAATCTTGTCAGCTATCTCTTCCAACCACTAAAAGCCATCTCTCAAAAAAATACCAAGTGTGAAAAGTCGGTGGTCAAAACTTACGATGCATAGCCAGAAGAGTATCCCGACCAGCCTGGCCTTCCTCGCCAGGAGTCCTTTCAATCCTGAACTCGGCATCCACCAAGACCCGATAACCCTTCCTGATATTCTTCATCCTGTCTACGCCCCTATCGCCAAAGGCATAAAACCTGTGGTAAGAAGTGGTAGTGGGCGCTCGCTCTCCATCTTCAGCGGGACCAGAGGGTGGGTCGGACGTGGCGACTGTGTATCGGACATAATCTTTTCCATTCCTGGTTGTTTTGAGTTCTGGGTCTGCTGCGAGGCGTCCGAGAACTTGCATTCGAGCTAGGTCGCCGGCCGTGGCGGTTGTAGAGAAAGCCTGTGATTCAAATGATGGATGAGGTGCATGGCTAAGTCATCGGGTCAATCAATGAAACGAGAGGTGCAAGGGGGGTTAGGGGAGAAACTTACGCGACCGCCGCGCAGCAATGTTTGCCTGGTTGTTGGGATAAGGTTCAACATCGTTAGTGATACCAAGAGACGGGATGATGGGATGATGGATGATGGGATGATGGGATGATGGAGGGAGGGAGGGAGAGTTGGGATGAGGGTGATCAATACTTTCTGTCGATGCCTTGAAACTTTTTAGAGTTCAGTTTTCGCCTTTGATGCTCAGTTAAAGTTGCGCGCGCGTTGTTAGTCAGTGCGACTCACAGACTGCGGGATGTGACAATACATCTCAACACAGACACGCGCCTTGATCAGCGTTTAGGCAGTTCGATCTGCAATTTACAGCACGCGTCGCACTTTCTCACACACACAAACAGCGCATTTCCCTTTCGGAAAGTCAGCGCAACACACAGCGTCCAGAGGACATCTATCTATTATACGTAACGATTGCAAACCCAAAGGAGGAGACCATTAATGCGAAACGAGAGACGAATGACATCTATACAAAGCAACGCTTGAGGCAGCGTAACACACAGCAATAGAAGAGAGAGAGAGAGGAAGAGGCTAACCGACTACCACCAGATGTCCTTCGAGTTTTGGCTACAAGTCGATCTAGCAGGTGATGGCGGCTGAGCGGGAAACAGCTCAGTGCTTCTCCTCGAAGGCATTGCTGGTATAGTAACATTGCCATTGACTGCAACATTGAGGTGTTTGCTCGCCGCGTCACCAACACCTCGCTCAGCTTGAGGATCGGCTAGGGTTGGCAGTTCAACACTAGACTCCCAAGGACTTCTCCGTCTCTGCTCTTCATCATCTACGTAACTCACTTCTTCCGCGCCCGAACCTTCTCCAATCGAATCCACCCCTCCTTCCCCAGCTCCTTCCTCTTCCTCAATCGGAAACCTTCCCCTCCCCTTCCTCCTCCCCTTCCCCCTCCCGAACCTATCTCTGTACTGCCTTTCCCTCACCTCTAGGGCCTCTCTCAACCTAGCCATCTCCGAAGCCGAAGGGGTATACGCCGCACCCAACCTCCCCGGGTTCCTCGTTGGAGAAGACCCATCAGCAGGCGAAAAACTCTCGCTCAACCCCGGCGATCGAATCCCACCATTCCCACTGCTCAATACAGACGAAGTATCAAATTGACTCTCTTCCTCTGCGATGTCGCTCAACCCCTCCGGCCTCAGGGTATGATAATGAGCAAGACCGTAGAACCCGGGATCCATGGGGATCTCGTCGTCAGCGTAGGATACCGGTCCGCCAAAGTATGCGTCTCGGTCCACTTCTTGTGGTGAAGCAGCAGCCGAGAGGTCGTCGGTGGAAGTGTAGCCGGAGTTGGCGCCAGAACTGTGCCATCCACCTGGTGAGCCGGGCCGAGAGGGAGGGGCCGAGAGATCCGATTCTGCTTCGAGGTCGGCGAGGGATCGACCGGTTGGTGCGCTGCCGAGGGCGGTTGATGCTGGTGGATCAGGGCGAGTTCGACGGGATGAGGAGCGAGTTGTGCGCTGCTGTTGTTCGGCGAGGTGAGTGTACTGATCCCATCCCGCAGTTGTGCTGCTGGCGTTGTGGGCAGGTCGATGCAGATGAACAGGTTCCATCATCGATCCTGCTGCCCGACCACTAGCAGCGGCGCCTCCAAGCCCCAGCCCAACCTGCCTCACCAGTTCGTCATGCCCAATCCCTTCTCCATCGTCGCTTTGGCTCACTGGCGTCCCAACTCCTGTCGAAGGAGCCGGCGTTGGCTCAGCCCACACTATTTCGTGCGGATAAACACCTTCCAAACCCAACTCGTTACTCCCCCCTGCTGGATCCCAATCTTCCGCCTCGGACCAAGTATAGCTCGACCCACCCAAGAAGGGGTAGTCGCCATCATCAACATCACCACGCGAACTGATGTCGGACGGCATAGATCCTGCAGGCGAAACAGAGTTCAAGTGCGGAGGCGAGTTACCTACCGCACCAAACCCCTGTGCTGCTGCTGCTGCCGCCGACAGATACCGCTCATCGTGTGGCACTGGTAGCTGAACAGCCAACGACGCAGGCGTGGCTTGATGTGTGGACGCAGGACTAAGTGTAGGCTCGGCAATGAATCGAGCGATGACCTCAAGTCCCTTTTCGCGTTCGGCTTCCGTGCCGGCTAGGTACATCGAGACGAACGGCCAGGCGTGGACTCCGCCTGGACCGTGCTCGACAGCTGTGCATAGCCAATCGGCTGTATTGCCGTCTTCAGGAAGATGCTCGGATGAGCCACGATGAGGTGAACGTGAGGCTGCACGTCGTTCTTGCAGCGATTTGGGTTGGGCTGCTGGGTCGAGGTCTTGACTCGGTTGATCATACGGCGCCGTCGCAGCGGCAGTAGCGTGTTGTCGACCGCGTTGGGACTGTGACTGTCGTACGTGGTCAACCCAGACTTTGATATCATCTGCAAGTCGTTCCTTGTCGCCCCACGTCGCCAGCATACCCCTTTTGAGACGGATACGACTCCAATCACCGATTGCCGGGTTGACCAACTTGCTCGTCTCCAGCAATGCCTTTGCTGCTTCCAAGTCCGGATCGCTGCTGTCCCGCTTTGCTTCCTCTTCCTTCTGCTCGGATGCGAATGAAGGAGTGTTCCAGATGGGAACAAACAAGTCAGCAGTGCCAGGGACTGCATCTGTCTTGCGCTCTGCGGCCGGGAAGATAGGGTCAAGCGCACCAACAGCAGAAGGACGAATATGTTCGACTGCATTGAATGCGTCCGGTGCTGGCTGCTTCGAGGTGGCTGAGGATGAGAAGGTCGACTTTACTGAAGTGGCGCGGTTGAGTAGAGGTTCGGTGAGCATATTGTGTGCTACACGTGCGATGCGTTGCGAAGGAGGCAGCAGTAGAGTGCGGAGGATGGCGAGTGGAGCAGTTGCGCTCTTTGCCGACGCCGCAGTGGAGGACGGAGAGCTGTCTTTGCCACCGGTCTTGACATCCGAATCGGTAGAAGAAGCGCTAGCAGTATCCTCCTGATCACCAGCAAGCACAGCACACATATGCGCAACCCATCCCATCGGACCCCTCACCCTCCTAGGCGTCTTGAGCACACCAGCGTAGAGCTGAGCAAAATGCATCAACGCCTCCGCTGCGACATAATCCCATTCGTGCTGTCCAATCGCCTCTGTCCACGTCGAAACGCGGCTTCCAACCGAGTCCGTGAAGGACGCTTCTCTCGATTTTTGCCTACCATTGCTCTGCTTCTCGCGCAAATGGGTAAACGCTTTCGAAGCAGATGGCCTCAAATCTGCCCACGGACTGATCAACACCGCTTTACCTGGCATCGGCAACTTACTCCAATCCCTCTCTGCCAAGCTCTCATCTCCCCCCGCCTGCCCATCGAGACATAGCAGCATGGCCATGGTAAGGTTGCCTCCAGCACTGTCACCGGCGACGGTGATACTGGTAGGATGGATCTCTTCGACCTCGATCAAATGCGCATAGCATCGCAAACATTGCAGCAGCGGGCCAGGGAATCGAGAGGTGGGACCGAGGTCGTACTCGACAGCAATACAGCGTGCGTCATTGTCGCGATCTTCCATGCTGCAGACCTTGGTTATGATGCGGATGAGTGCTTCGGCGTAGAATGCGACTGATCCTAGCGAAAAGCCTCCGCCGTGGAGGTAGAGCAGAGTGGAAGCAGATTTAGAGGATGGGTCGGAGCGACGAACTTCGACGGGTACATGAGCGTCAGCGCCGATCCAGAAAGCGCGGAAACCTGGTCGAGCGAATGTTTGGAAACGTTTGCTATGCGGCTTTGCTTTGGATGTGTCCCCCGAGTGAGGCGGTGAAGGGGATGCGTGCTTGGTTGATGCAGTCGGCAGTGCTGGAGATGGGCTCTGCTCACTAGTGAACTCGCGCACGATACCAGCCGCTCCGCCTCCCGTCCTCCACCGCACCAGCGGACCGATGGTCTCTTCCGCAAACAGGACACGAGGCACCAAGTGAGGGAAGCTGGTACATGCAAACCTCACCAGCAGGATCGTCAAGTGGTGGAAGGGCGAAAGCTGAGCATCTTGCTCAAACTGGTCTTGTGAGGATGCCTCGTGCTTGGAGGAGGAAGTTATCGCCGATACTGCTGTAGAGGATGTACGGCTCATTTGAGGAGATGGAACATCTCCGATCTGCGCATGAGCTTTGGCTTTGGAGGTCTGTCGAGCATCTTTGCCGGCTGAACGAGCTTCGTACTGCTGTTGCTGCTGCGCTGTAAAAGGCGGATAGCGAGGGTAGAGATTGGGCGGAGGTCTACTAAGCGACCATCTCTGATAGAAATCGAAGGGCAACCGCGTGCAGACATAGGCAAGCGCCTTGAACGCAACATCCACCAACTCTGCAATCCCACACGTCCTCAACAGATTGACTGCATAGAAGAAGGCAACGACGATGAGATCAGAAAGGTAGAGCCCACCTAGCAACGGCTGCTGTGCACGAGATCGTTTGCGTGTTCGACTATGCTGTTCGCTCAACACTGCATCTGCTGTTGAACTTGCAGGAGTGGCAACAGCTATTGTGCCTGCATCGCTGGACCGCAGTTGTTTTGGTCTGCGATAAGCGGTCTGAGTTGGATCTGATGCGAGAGTTGAACGTCTGAATGGAACAAGCGCTGGTGAAGATCTTGAGGAGCTTGACGAAGCGCCCAGGTTGAGATCTGGCAAACGACCCTGTCGATCCCGAAGGGCATCTCTATGTCGATGTGAGGAAGAGACTGCATACTCGATGCTTTGACGTCGAGCCTGCTGTCCTCTTGAACGTGCTGTGGTGGAAGATGGCTTGTTGTGGGCGGAGGAAGAAGATGCTTTGAGAGTTGAGGTGGAAGAGGCTGGGGATGCGATGGGAGAGGGTGGAGCAGATGTAGCAGCAGGCGGCTTGGGCTTGCTTGTTGCTGGACGAATGAGGTCGAGCATGTTGACGACAAGGAGCGCACACGAGGTTTGATTGTGTGATTACGATTGCTGCGACGACGACGATGCGAGGGGTCGATGGAGGGATTAGATGGAGAGGAGGCTGTTGGTGTGCATCTTCTCCTCAAGCTGCTAGCAGCGTGCGCGTTATCCAAGACAGACGAGGAGGCAGAAAGGAAGAGAGGTATTGATTGACGCTGTCGAGTGCCAGATGAGAGAAAGTAGTATGTATGCTCGTCGATGGAGAAGCGATTGTGAGATGCGGTGATGCAATGGGTATCGTTGAGTGCAAAAGTCTACTGCGTGCGAGTTGGCAGAATGGTGGGAATGAAAGACGGTAGTCGATCACCGACGCTGCTGACCAGTTCAGCATCGGCAGCAGAAGCACATGTCACAGGCGATCAAGAGCCCTGTCAAAACTGACCTTTGAATGTGGGGACCGCGGTTAGGCTTGGCGGCCCAGGAGTCTTTTCTGCTCTCTTTTATCGCCAGCCAAAAGTGATTCAGGCGTCGAGATAGTCGCAGCGAAAAGCCAGAGAGTTGAATTTAGATACACCACTAGGAGACCACGGTCAGGCACTCCTTTATCTGATGTTCTATGTAAAAAGGCTTATGTTGTCATAAAGAGGTAACGACTGAGCTAAGGGCATATATACATGTTCTAACCACCTGACTGTGCTCTCTATGTCGAGTCATGCCCATGTGCCACGTATCTTCTTTTATGAGTGTTGTCATGTCAACACATCCCCTGCATACCATGGCGTTAATCCTCGTGCATACGCTGCATTGGCTCCCACTAGCTTCGCATTCTGCTCGTCCTCTTCATCGCCTGATACCTTCCCGATTTCCCGATCCTGTGAACTCCCATTTAATGCATCACGCGTTGGCGATGCCGGTGCATCTTCAACTCAGAGACACGGGAAAAGTGCGATTCACGCTCCAAAACCGCACACTTGTGGAGGCTTGGCGCATTTTTGCGCCCTTTCTACAGTGTTCGATCGCCAGCACTCACATCCCTCAACAAAGCGTCTTGAGTCGCTACAGATCCCGACCTCGGAGCAAGTTGCATCAAGCCGAGCCAAAGTACAGTAAGAGCAAAAGTACTGTACAGTAAGAGCAAAAGTACTGTACAGTAAGAGCAAAAGTACAGTAAGGTGGGCGACTAGCGAGCTGGGATCAGATTAAACGCCGCTGAAACAAGTACAGAAGAAACGATATGTGACATAGAGTAGTAGAGCGAAGAGAAAAAGAGTCATGGAATCCATGTGGTGTGCTTCTTGACCTGGTATCGTTAGAATGAAGAGACAGAGAGAAAGACAAGTGAGATATCCAAAAGACAGAACAGCGCCTGCCATCATATCCAGCAGGAATAGGCGATAAGGTTGAGAAAGTCGTCGAGGGCCGAAAGAGGCTGCTTACTTGGCAGTAGGAGCAGTAATGGCGAGCTCGTCATCCTCGCGCTCATCTTCATCCTCAAGCACGAAAACAGGCTCCGTCTCTACCTCGGGAGCAGCACCCACAACACTAGCTCGCATTTGTCTTGGTGCCCTCCTCTCCGTCTTGAGCTGCAGAGCATTTTCAGGGACCCCATCGATCTCCTCCTCCCCACCGTACAAACTCCTTCCGACCTCCCTCCTCACCGCCCAACCTTTCAACAGCATCAAGCCAGTTGTCCAGCAGAACAATAGTGCCACGACGGCAACTGCGACATTCAAAATCGCCATAAAGTCGCCATAACCACTCCTCATGGCCGCAAAGCTAACCTCCTCGCTACTGAGCATAAACACCAACCCACCACAGCACAGCGAAAATGCCGCCAGCGCTTCTGTCGGCGGCCTCGAAGGCAACACCGACGCAGTAGGTGGTCGCAACCAGAGCAAAAAGTATGTCAAGCAACGCAGCAGAGCAAAACCAGCAAGCAGCTGACCCCACAGCATGTGAATCTGCACTTGGTAGACATAATCCTGGTGATGAGCAGCCATTGCTACACCCGTCACGCCAATAACCAACGCAGGGAAGGGATTGAAGGAGGCCGAATACGATGCAGGTTGAGTCTGTGCTTCCACCAGCAAATCCAACTCGGCAGCCTCCTCCCCTCCCGATGCTTGAAGCTGTCGAGCACCCGCCCTGGCATTCCTCCTTCGCCTAGCCTCCCTCAAGGGCACCGCAGAAACATGATTCCAGGCCACCGGAAACCCCAAGATATTCCTAATCACCCTAGTCTCCAACAACATGCCCATCAACCCGGCAAACCAAAACATGACCGCGATCGAAATATGCTGGATCTGCTTGATCGTATAGGGATCACCTGGCGCAGCTCCAAACCTCTCCATCCAAGTATTGGTCGCACCGTAGATAAAGATGACCAGACACTCGACGAATTCGGCAGTTGGCATGTTGTCTCTCCACCCTGCCCCGCCACTCTTCCTGGCGGGGGAGGGGCGCTTATTCCAAGCCCAACCAATGTCCGCGTATGCTCCCAGGTATCGACTGAAGGTGAGCAACCCAAACCAGAAGAAGATGCCTCCTTTGATGCCGTGTGCCAAGCAAACGTTCTTGTATCCACCCCTGCAGGAGCCGGTGTAGACGGCCAAACCGGTGTACAAAGTGGCAAAGGCGAGGACGGGGAGGGATCGAGAAGCTACAAGACGTGTGTAGCGCAATACGGCGCGGAAAGTGTCCAGGCGACTCGATCGAAGCTTGCCGGCGGAGCCAGGAGCAAGGCTTTCGTGTGATTCGCCTTGATGGCCTTCTTTGCGCCAGAGCGAGATATTCTTGAGACTGGGTGAAAACGAATGAATAGCATCACCGCCAAACATGGAGCTGCGGGGAGTGTTGCATGCAGTGGTAGGGGGAGATGCGACGAGAAGGTTGTCGGAAGCGATGGGGCTGCCGCGTTGATGATGATGCTCGGCACTACTGACAGCAGTGCTTCCGCTTCCGACCCAATCGACTGCTTCGATGAGCGATTCTGCACTAGCACCACGTGTGCGTCTGGTACCAGGACCAAGATCGTACTGCTGCTCGTTGAAGTGCACACGATGAGGCGAACGAGACCCACTCACCCTCGACCCAAGTCGATGCGAAAGATGCTTCTCCACATCCAACTCCTGCGCATCAGCCTGTGCCTCCTCACTGAGCATAGCTTCTTCCTCCAACGCATCATAACTCTCACTGTCATGTGCGTGATGCTTACCGCTACCGAGCATCGTCCGCACAATATGCCTCCAAGATTGAGTTGGAGTACTTACATCACTTGTCGGCAACCAAGCACCGCCGCTGCTACTACCACCGCGCTTACTAAATCGCATAGCCGACACAGCAGCCCAAAGCTGACCAACCAACTTAAACCCATCCGACCCGAGCGTGATCAGCGAGATGCAAAGGATTGCCCAACCCATCGAACCATGTGCGTTTTTTGGATACAGCCTGGGCAGCAAGGCCTTATACACCATCGACAGTAACATGGACCCGCCCAGCATGCCCAAATAGAGCAGCGAGACTAGCGGGGCTAAACTCGAACGAGCAGCGCTCAGCACCAACGCCATGGGAAGCAAGACAAAACAGCTTAGTACGGCAGTCACAACATGCAGGATCAGCAAGCCTCTGTGTCTGCTTGGCTCTCCATGGTTGAGGGGAAGACGAGAGGCAATGTCGTTGGCAATGACCGATCGTTGTTCTGGGTCGGTTTCGTCAAAGAGCTTCCTCCAGCGGCCATCTACTACGCCCATTTTTTCCTTGCCGGCCAAGATATCGGCGTCTGAGGTGAAACGTCGGAGCTGATCAGCGGTGCCAAGAGAGTAGCCGAAATCCCATTCGATATAGCTGAGCGGGTCAGGACCTTTGGAGCGGAAGAGAAGGGTTTCGTTGAGAGTTTCGCGGACTGGACCGGAGCCATGGGAGTGACCGTGGCCGCCGTGGTGGTGCCAGACGGGGAGTTGGCGAAGATGGGTACCTGTGATAGAGGCGTCAGGGACCGAATCGGGGGAAGGAGCGGTGAGTTGCATTTCATCGGTTAGGGTGTGAGAGTGCTCGTGGGAGTGCGAGATGCGATGGTGAGCGTCGTGGTGGTGGTCATGCTGTATGACCTCGACCTTCTGGAGAGGCGTGTCCATCACTCGGTGCTCGTGTCCTGCTACCTCTTGTTCCTCTTGATCTCCGTGGTTGCCATGCCTCTTGAAGAGCAACGCTGAGCGAGCGCTCAGTGCCAGCTGTGAAGTCAAGGAGAGATCTCGAGTACTTGGCGGTTGCGAGAGCTCGACACTAGCAGGCTGAACAGCTGTACTCGAGACTGTCGATGCCAAGCATGTTGCTGCTAGCAGCAGGCCAAGCTGCTTGCCTCCAGACGAACCTGCGAGCTGCATCTTGGCCGTTTGCTTGATCGCACTGAGTTGTCCTTTTCGATATGAGCTTTTGAGCGTGTGTTAGAAACAGAGGACCCAAAGCCGCGCTGACCGAGTGTTTGACTGCGAGTGCTTTGTTGTCGCAGTCGGTGTTTCTGTTGCAGCTTTCCCTTTCTGACGTTGGGAGGGAACCGGATGGGAGCAGAACGTGTGATGGTCGCAAAGCAAGATATCGAGTTGGCCAGAAGGAGGAGAAGGCTATCTTGCTATCCTCAAGTCCACCTCTGTTTAAGAAGGGATGACGAGACGCTTTACAGTATGGCCGAGCACCGACACTGCCGATCCGCCAAGCAACGTATGCTATCGAAACACGGAACCAGATCGAAACTCTGAATCCAGGGTCGAGCGTCCATCTGGCAAGCAAGCAAGCCAACCACAGGCTCAAGGCACTCTTTTCGGTACGCAATGTCATCCTTAATTACGCTACCGAAATTTTGTTCCGCGGGAAGCTCAGCTTGGCTGCCTCTCTGTTCTGCTGAGTGTCGCTAACAAGCTTACAGCCGGAGAATTAAATATTTTTATTTTTTTCCCCTTCAACCGCTCATGTGCACACAAAGTGGAGGTTGCCGATGTTGCTGCGCCAAACAGTTGAGAATTTTGGTGCTTAGTTTTTCTCTTTTCATTTTGAGTGCTATTTACATAAGCATATATATATGTGCAAGCTTGGTGGTCACCATCAGTCTGTGCCAATCTATGACTAGTTCATCCCTCACATTGCTCCTGAGTTGTCATGGTAACACCTATGTACCCCACATGCATAGCCACTGACGTGTGGTTTCGTATCATCAATAGTTACTTGCCCTCTGCGGACCCCATAGGCTTTGTTTGGTTCTGACACATCTCCAACCATTGTTACATTTCCCTCAACTGTCTCCCTCAGCAGGGAAGCAGGGAACTGCTGAGCCACTGTACCTTGCTGTGGTGTTAGTCCCAACCCCTGACATGCATGTCGTAATGCTTCCTTGCCCACTGGCTTGGTGAAGATGTTGGCCAAGTTGTCCTTGGTGCCGATATATTTGATTTTGACATTTCCATCTTGTACATTATCTCTGATAAAATGATACTTGGTGTTGATATGCTTCAACTTCCAATGTTGTGCTGGATCCTTACTTACCTGAATGGTGCCTGTGTTGTCTGAAAGGATTGTGGGGATGCTGACATCAATTCCAATAGCTTTGAAGAGTTGCCTGAAGAAGAGTACTTCTTGTGCGGCTTCAGTTGCTGCCACGAACTCTGCTTCCACTGCTGACAAAGCAGTGCAGCATTGTAGTGCTGACTTCCATGCAACCAGGTTCCCATGGACAAACACTGCTGAGCCTGATGAGCTTCTTTGTTGTGCAGTGGCATCACTTGCCCAGTTTGCATCGCTATGCACCATTAGAAAATCTTGTTCCTTGTTGCCACCATATCGTAAATGGACATCCTGGGTACCATCTAGGTATTGTAGTACCTTCTGTGCTGCATTGTAATGCTCCTTTGATGGTTGGGTCATATAGCGTGCAAGGACCCCTACTGCTTGGCTGATATCTGGGTGTGTTCCATTCAAAAGCCATAGGAGCTTGCCAACGATTTGCAGATATTCCTTTCATTCGGCTGTGCTTGCTGCTGTCTCTGGGGCCAGTATGTTTTGGAGTGGTATGCTGGATTTTCTTCTGTGTTTGTCTAGGTGTTTGTCCAGTAGTTGTTTAATGTAACTAGTCTGCCTGAGGTCCATTGTCTTTTCTTGGCAATCCCTGGTGATCTTGATTCCAAGGAAGTGAGACACGTCACCACCCTCCTCCATCTTCCACTTCTTGCCTATTTCCTCCTTGATGCATTTGACTGTTTCTAGCTTTGGGGACATGATTAATGTATCATCAACATAGATGACCACTATCACAAAGTCATCCCCTTTTCCTCTGGAGTAGATGCATGGTGCACAATCAAGTCTATGGAAGTTGGATTGTCAGAGGAACTTGTCAAATTCCATATTCCACTCCCGTCCTGACTGTTTTAGACTGTATAGTCCCTTGATTACCCAATAAGCTTTTCCTCTTGGCACTTTAGCTCCTTCTGGCAGTTTCATGTAGATCTTGTGTTTAAGTGTGGAGTTGAGATAGGCCATTGTAATATCTAGTTGATGAACCTCCCAGTCATGCTCTACTGCCAGTGATAATAGTGCTCTTATTGCACTAAGCAGTGCCACTGGTGCGAAAGTTTCTTCAAAGTCGACACCCTCTCATTGTGTGAAACCTCGTGCAACTAATCTTGCCTTGTGTCGGATGGGTATGCCATTGTCATGGGCCTGGATGCTCAAGAAGCAGGAGGGTCACGGGTTCATATGGAAGGAGCACAGGTATCGAAGATCTAGTCGAGATCAGTAGAGAGCATGGTCGTAGTGCAGTCTCCATGGAGACCATGGACTCACATGCAAAGGAGGGCCAAGCACAGCCATGAGGAGGACCAAGCTCAAGGAGCAGGCACAGCCACGAAGAGGACCAAGCTCAAGGAGCATGCAGATGGTTACCACTCAGGGGCTCGAGAGACAAGAGCCAAAGGAACTGACACTGATCAAAGGAGGAGGAGCAGTGTCGAAGGAGTCGACATCAGGTCATGAGGAGGAGGAACAGTGTCGAAGGAGTTGACATCAGGTCATGAGGAGGAGGAGCAGTGTCGAAGGAGTCGACACAGCTCAAGAGGCACAGGGGTGCCAAGCAGGAGAGGCCCCTGAGCAGTACTCGATGAAGAAGGTACTCTCTGGAGAGAGAGCAGGAGCAGCATTGCTGGCGATGCTGAGAAGAGGTATATAACCATGCTTTCTCATCATCAATAGGTCGAGTGGATCCTCATCCACTCTACTCACCATAACTAGTTATCACTTCAGCATAAGTATATATTAGTTTCAGTCAGCATAGCAGCAATCCATCCAAGGTTGCTCCTCATCATAGTGTGTGTGTTGTATCACCACTACCTGACGTCCGAAGGCGCCCATAGCAGGTTAGCGGTCCGGATCAAGATAGAACTGAAGGCAGTAGTCCACTGCGGTCTGGGGATCACCTCAAGCATCAAGTCAACACACTGGACACTCGTGTTGATGCCACCAACCTTATCACCAACACCATCAACCTCATTATCATCGACATCACCAATCTCATCACCAACACCATCAACCTCATCATCATCAACACTCACACCAGACCTTGGTGTCATCATAACATCGATATTGATCGTGCCGAGCTACCCCTGAACGGAGTGTCCACAGAGGTCAGCCGAAACCTACGATAGTATATACAACGAACGCCACCTGCTGTCACGGCACAACTTGATAGTCACCGATACTGAGACAATAGCTGTCGCACAGTTTGATAGTCACCGAGTATCTCGACAGACTGACCTGGGTTTCAGGCACGAGACCCCTGACAGCCATCTGCATCCAGTTTGAGGCGTAAGACAATCTTGGAGTCTACGAGCCTGGTGTCAGGGGTCTCGCGCCTGAAACCCAGGTCGGTCTGTCGAGATACTCGGTGGCTATCAAACTGTGCAACAGCTATTGTCTCGGTATCGGTGACTATCAAGTTGCGCAGTGACAGCAGGTGGCGTTCGTTGTATATACTATCGTAGGTTTCAGCTGACCTCTGTGGACACTCCGTTCAGGGGTAGCTCGGCACGATCAATATCGATGTTATGATGACACCAAGGTCTGGTGTGAGTGTTGATGATGATGAGGTTGATGGTGTTGGTGATGAGATTGGTGATGTCGATGATAATGAGGTTGATGGTGTTGATGATAAGGTTGGTGGTGTCAACACGAGTGTCCAGTGTGTTGACTTGATGCTTGAAGTGATCCCCAGACCGCAGTGGACTACTGCCTTCGGTTCTATCTTGATCTGGACCACTAACCTGCTATGGGCGCCTTCGGACATCAGGTAGTGGTGATACAACACACACACTACGATGAGGAGCAACCTTGATAGATTGCTGCTATGCTGACTGAAACTAATGTATACTTATGCTGAAGTGATAACTAGTTATATGGTGAGTAGAGTGGATGAGGATCCACTCGACCTATGATGATGAGAAAGCATGGTTATATACCTCTTCACAGCATCGCCAGTGATGCTGCTCCTGCTCTCTCTCCAGAGAGTACCTTCTTCATCAAGTACTGCTCAGGGGCCTCTCCTGCTTGGCGCCCCTGTGCCTCTTGAGTGGTGTCGACTCCTTTGACACTGCTCCTCCTCCTCCTCATGACCTGGTGTCGACTCCTTTGACACTGCTCCTCCTCCTCATGACTTGGTGTCGACTCCCTCGACACTGCTCCTCTTCCTCAGGACCTGCTTGCCAGTGTCCTATGACTCTTGTCTCTCGAGCCCCTGAGTGGTAACCATCTGAGCTTGGTCCTCTTCGTGGCTGTGCCTGCTCCTTGAGCTTGGTCCTCCTCATGGCTGTGCCTGGCCCTCCTCGCATGTGGCTTGGTTCTCCTTTGCATGTGAGTCCATAGGAGTCCATGGTCTCCATGGAGACTGCACTACGACCATGCTCTCTACTGGTATCGACTAGATCTTCGATACCTGTGCTCCTTCCATATGAACCAGTGACCCTCCTGCTTCTTGAGCATCCAGGCCCATGACACCTGGTGTTTGGCAGTACGTCCACGACCTCCCAAGTTCCCATGGCCTCCAGTCCGTCCAACTCCTTGCATATGGCTTCTTGCCATTGCTGTGCATCTTCACTGGTGAGTGCCTCTTTCATCGTTGGTGTGAGATTTAGGGTGGTGGTGTTTGCTCCCCCAATCATGTCTTCGACTGCTATCTCCAATTGGTTGTCTTCAGTGTCATCGATCAGTTGTCCAATTGGTGCATGTAGGAGTGAGTCTTGCATGTCGAACTCTTCAATTTCTGGTTCAGGTTCAAGGTCGTTTGCCTCTGGCTTGGCACTTTCTGCTTTGAGGCTCTCAAACCTGATCTGCAGTGGGCTTTGTACTTTGGGTTGGTCATGCCAACCCTTATGTTCATGGAATTTAGCTGAATTGCTCCACCGGATGGATGGCGTGTGATCTGGAGTGAAGAATTTCCATCCCTTGTGCTCATCATTGTAACCGATCATGATTCCTGGTATGGCTCTTGCACCATGCTTTCCTGCATGATCTTTCCTTGGAAGGTGAACCCACGCAAGACAGCCAAAGACATGCAATTGTTTAACCAAGCTGTGAGCCATCGTGCAATGAAAGTCTTTGTATGGAATTCTGTTGGCATTTGCTGATGGTGTCAAGTTAAGTACATGTCCAGCAGCCATAATGGCATAGGGCCATAGTCCTTTTGGCACCAATCTTTGGACAAGCATTGCATGCATCTTCTCTTGGAGTGATCTGATGGTGCGCTCTGCTCTCCCATTCTGTATGCTGACATACAGAGTGGTTTTCTGCCACTTAAACCCTGCCTCCCATTTCCATTCCTCTGCTGCCAAGCTTGACCATTCCATTCCATTATCACTGCAGATACACTTCAATGTGCAATCTGTTGCTATCTCTGCTGTTTTGGTCCATGCTTTTAGGGTGGAGAACACCTCTGCTTTGCTTAGGAGCAGTTTCACATATACATAGGATGAGGCGTCATCAACAATTACCAGTGCATGGTGATAGTTTGGATGTCCTTGTAAGTCTGTCATTAAGTCAATGTGTATCAACTCTAGTGGCTCCTGTGCTCGTTCCATTTTGCTGCTTGCCATTCTTGCATGTGTTTGTTTTGCTTGACTGCAACAGTTGCAGTCTCTTGCATTGTGCTTGAGCTGTGTATCCTTTCCCAAGTAATGAGCCTGGATTTGCTTAGTCTTGTTTCTGCCAGGGTGGCCAAATCATTCATGCCATAGTTTGCTTATTGTGTAGCTTGCAGGCTTTGCTGGGGTTGTGTCAATATCAATGCCCTCAAGAAGGTTATTGAGCTGGGCTGCTAGGGAGTTGCCATGAATCTCCCATCTTTTCTTATGCTGGTTGGTCTTGCTTTTGACCATGCTTCCATCATGTTGGAGGATTGTAGCTCCAGATTCTTCAAATATCACTCATGCACTGTCTTCGGTTAATGCTGGAACAGACAATAGATTCTTGCTAAGATTGGGAATGTAAAGTACATCTGTGAGGGGTATTTTAATGTTTCTAACTTGCAAGGTTGCATCTCCTATTGCCTGGACCTGTAGTCGTTCTTGCCCAGTGGTGTCTATGGGTCCTTGTTTTGCCATCGGGGCAATGAGTTTGCTTTCATCATGTACCATGTGATGTGTAGCACTGGAGTCAAGGACCCATGTGTTGTTGGGTTTACGATTAGTTGCATTACTGATGAACAGAGTGCACCCAAGTTCCTACTTTTGCTGTGCTGGGGCTTGTTCCTGTCGGCTGGTGCAGTTGATTGCAATGTGGCCTGGTTGCCTGCAAATGTAACACTTAGCTGGCTCGTTGGGGTTGGCAGGATCATGTCTGCCTCTGTTGTAGCCTTCTTGGTTTAGGATTTGGTCAGGTCCACTGGTATGGTTGGTTATGTTCTTGTTGCTGGCAAGTCTGGTTGTGGCTTGGATGCAGCCAGAGAGTTCAGCTTCTTGATGTTTCTTGGCAAGTGCATGGTAGGCATATTCATAGTTACAGCCTGGCTGTGCAGCTTTGAGGGAGTCTACTGTTTGAGTGTAGAGCCAGTCATCTTTGACACAACAGTACAAGGTGGACTTCTTGAGCTTTTCGTCCATGCAACTGCCCAGTCTTGCAGCATCATTCCAGATTTGATCTAGTTCCTTTCCAAGGTTAACAACATTTCAGTGGACTAGCTTGATCTCATGCACTCAGTCATGAATTGCAGAGAGTTTGACTTCATCATTGATTGTGAGTGCTGCTTTGAGCTTCTTATACAGTGTGGAGCCAAGTTGTTCCTCTTCGCCTTGTTCTCGAACAGTGTATGTATGAATACTGCTCTCAGGACTGTGGTCGCATGATGACAGGATGAGGCCTAACAGGTGACTGTTTAGTTCTTCATCATAGTCCATGTGGTCGCTAGATATTTCCCTGGTGAGGATCTGTTTTGCATTCTTGATGGGCCATATGCAGTCCATAAACATGGGCTCCCAGATGGCCCAGTTGTTCTCGTTGAGCTTGATGATCTGTGATACAATGCTGAGTACTGATTTAGGAATCTTTTCAATTTGGCTGGTATTTGGTTGGAGGTTCATCATGGAGAAGGCATGCTCTAAGATTTGGTCTTCATTCCAATTGGTGTGAACCTCTCTGATCATTTGCATGGTGCATTCGAGTAGGGCTACACTGTCTACTCTGGGTGGCATCTTGATGGCAAAGTGCCTTGAAGCTGCCGAGCTTCAGACTCTTAATCAGTTGAGAATTTTGGCACTTAGTTTTTCTCTTTTCATTTTGAGTGCTATTTACATAAGCATATATATATGCACAAGCTTGGCAGTCACCATCAGTCTGTGCCAATCTATGACTAGTTCATCCCTCACATTGCTCCTGAGTTGTCATGGTAACACCTATGTACCCCACATGCATAGCCACTGATGTGTGGTTTTGTATCATCAATAGTTACTTGCCCTCCATGGACCCCATAGGCTTTGTTTGGTTCTGATGCATCTCCAACCATTGTTACGTTTCCCTCAACTCAAACTCAGCCAGAGATCTCGACTTGCTGTTGTATCAGTTGAAATATAAATGTCAAGCTCGATGCATTTCACATACCTGAGTAAGCTCCTGAATAAGCGGCATGTCACACGCTTACTGTGGAGACGCATTGCGTACAAGGTGCGAGATCGGTGGCGACATAAGCTTCCGGACGATCTCAGCGAGTACGACAAATCGCGGAGCTAAGAGGTGGATCCAGAGACAGCTCTACACAAGGCGGTCCAGAAGTTCAAGGAGCGCCGTCTCAGCGATCGCGCGCCTGATCGGGCAGATCTCAGCGAGATCTGTCGAGTAAGCTCCTTCCGACCGATCTCGGTGCACTACCTCCGGCTAAATTACAAAATTACCCGATTGTCCTCCAACTTGCACGCAGGGAACTTCAGGTATGACAACGAGACCATAGCCTCGCTTTACTCAGGCAGCGGCGGAGTCCTAGGACTAGCAGGAGACGCCCCATCTCCATACTCATCAGGCCAGCCTCGATCCCCTCTGCCTTGCTGCTGCGTTTCTCGCCCACGTTGATGGTTCTGTCTATCCCCTGACCGTCGAAAATCGGGCGCCGATGAATCTCGATGCCAGCTTCGATTCGCGCTGCCATTCCAACCATTATCCGTTTGCCTATCGCCATCCACAGCTGGCAAAGCTCGAGTGGTATCAGCTCCAGCAGCAGCCAGACTCTCCAGTGCTCGTTCTACAGCGTTCTTTCTCGTGCCTGAGCCGCTGAGTGGTGGTGGTGGAGGAGAAGCTCGGTGGGGGCGAGGTGGCTTGTTTCCTCTCCAGCGATTCGATCTCGGGGTTGATGACGAAAGTCGCTCGTTCGGGCGAGATTGTGGTGAGCGTGATTGGTTTCGGAACAACACTTCGCTGCGAGCTCGACTTGAGCTGCGACCTCCTCTGCCAGGCCGTTGTGTAGACGATGAGGGAGTTTCCCAGCCTGAACCAACTTTATCGGCATCTTCCGTCGCCCAACTCGGCCGTCTTGGCAGTGAAGAACTTGGCGGAGGCAACCACCGTCTATCGTCGTAATCCCACCCATCGTCAGGGGCTCTATCATCTGCACGCGTCCACGAATCCCCTCTGCGCGGTGTTGCTGGGTGATCTGTTGATCTACTTGCCCTTTGAGAGTACCTCTCGTCGTCGTTGTTGTCGCGGCGATATGCATCCTTCGGACGAGGCGACAAGGATCTACTCTGGGCGGCTCTGGATCGGTAGGCATCCCTTGCAGATGGTTCTGGCGAGAAGGTGCGATGTTGAACTCTACCTCTGTTGCTTGCACCGCCATTGCTGTTGGATATAAGTCTCCTCGGTGGTGGCTGCTGCTGCTTGTTCGGCGATCTCTGCTTCTTCGACTGCGGTGGTGCGGTCGTTGCTGCTCCATTGGCAGGACGCTTGCGTGATGATGATGTGGGTGAGGCATGTGGGAGAGCAACCGCAGCAGCAGTCCTTCTACGGATCTCTGGTGGGTTCGTGTTGGCGGCTGGGGCTGGGGCTGGGGCTGGGGCAGAATTGTTGCCTCGAGTGTTGGCATTGGCTGCGGCGATGGCATTCTGCTGACCTTTTGCGTTTTTGCCCTTCTTCTTGCCTTGTCCGTTCTTTGCTTGTGCTGATGCTGGAGCGACATCTTGAGCGCCGCCAGCGCCATTCGTAGCCCTGCCTTTGCCTTTGCCCTGGCCTCTGCCTCTTGCAACCGCGTCGGCTTGTGCCGGCAGCGTCTGTGCCCTACCTCTCTCATCATTTGTCCGTGTAGTTGCTGCTGCTAGCCTTCCACTCGCACCGCTGCCACTACTGCCACCCGCAACAGGAGCAGTTACACTCCTCGACTCAACCTCATCATCCTTTTTATTTGGAAAGAAAAACTTGAACGGCTGCTTAATCTTCTCTCCCCTGTCCCTTGCGGTTCTCAACACGCCCGAAACCCTGGATATCAACGCCTGAGCCGTCCTGCCGCGCAAGAAATTGCCCTTGATGCCCATATCACCATAATGATCGATAAGCAGCTGAAAGATACGATATCGCTCTTCAGTGTATTTGCGCGTGTAGTAGATCCTTTCGTTGCTGATGATCTCGTTGAGTTTTTCAAACATCAGACGGTGGGTTTTGGCATCCCAGCGTTCTTTGGACGAGATTGGGTGTCCCTTCGGACCGATGATGGTACGAACGGTGGCAGAGGTGGCGGTGACGTCTTGGACTGATTCCGATCGACGGTCTGAGTCCGAGGAGGAGGAAGAGTGCGAGCTTGCTGATGAGGACGAGGATGCTGAAGAAGATGAGGAGCTGGTGTCGCTTGTTGAAGAAGAGTTAGCGATCGAAGATGCTCGATGGCGGTTGACTCGTGTATTGCTTGGACCGGCCTGATTCAATGCGCGAGCAATGAGTGGTTGTGAGGATGAGGGGGATGCGATCGCTGCATCTGCTCGTGGAGAGCCGAGCTTGGACACGGCTCTAGCAACCGTGCATGTCGAGCTTGATGCTGCTGGTAATGATATTGGCGCCGATGATGATGCGCTTGCCTGTGTCGGAGAGGAAGCTGAAGAAGCAAGAAGCAAAGCCTTTGCAAAAATGACGCCATTCTCTGCGACCACCTCTTGAAAAGCAGAGGGATGCAGCTCCCACAGATCCTCGCCATCGCTCACAAAGAGCTGCACACTGCTTGGTTGGACATTGAAGCGAGCCGCTGCTACAGCTCTTGCATCCTCAAAGTCGACGACCGAGGCAAGCACTTTGCCATGAGGGCCAAGATCGAGCTTCACCCTACTTCGAGTCATCTCTCCCGTTGCTGCTGCAGAAGGGGTAAGAGCTGAAGTCGTCTATGGAATCTGCATCGTATGATTAGGTATGAGGCAGGTTTCCCTCCGTGGCTGTTCCGTGCCGTTGCGGGATCGAGAGCTATAGGTTGCAAGTGGTGATGAAGGAGAAAAAGTGAATGCTCACCCAAGACCTTCTTCCAGCTTTTTTCTTCTTGCTGCTGGTTGCATTTTTCTTTACTTGATTAATTCGCTCAGGGTGCAACAGGAAATCCGTGCTGAGAGAACGACCGGAAGTCGGGAATGAATTGGCAGGGCAGCAGCGTGCGATCCTGTCCAGTTCAGTGAATTTTGGTGCGCTTTTTGACGCCACTTTTTTTTTTTTTTTTCTTTTTTTCTTTTTTCTTTTTTTTTGAACGATTTATGCTTCAAGTGACCTGTCACGGGCCAGACACGCAATCCGGTCGGAAGATTAAGCTAGCGAAGTACTAAGCCGCTCACTTGTACAGACATACAAGTCGAGGACCGGAAGCTCATCCGTCGTTGCATATCAAAAGTTCTGCGAAGACCGCCTGCCCTGTGCTCATGATGTTCGATTTCGGCAGGCTGACCAACTTTCGACAGCTCGAAAAAAGAAACGCGCTAAGAACTGTTGTTTGAGCGTGAGTTTCAGAGCCTAAAAAAATCTTGATAAAAAAAACCCCCAAAAGGGGAAAAAAAAAAGGGAAAAAGGAACTCGGAAATCGGAACTCGGAAATCGGAAATGAAGCAAAATGAATGAGTGAGTTCAGCGAGGAAAAGCGGATGGACACTCACACAGAACGTGGGGAGCGAGAAAGCGAATTAAATGCAAAAACGGCGTTGCAGATTTCGGAAATCATTGTCGACACCATCATTGCTAATCTTGACTTTCAATCACCATTACTTCTCACATCAACATCATCACCGCCGCGTCGCTTCCTCCTTCTCTCTCTATTCCACCGTCAACGCGTTTCTTCAGCTCCATCATCCGCCACGCACATACCCTTGATCGCGTCCAAATAGCCAGGATGTTGTTCTGATTCGCTACAGCTCACTCTCGGATACGCTGCTGCATTGTCACCTACCGTCCATCCAGGTATGCGTCGCTTTACCATCAACCACCCTTGACAGGAACGAGGATCGCTACTCCACAGCTAGCTCTTGCAACCAATACGATGGCCGACACAGCCTCCGCTGCGGCCTCGGCCTCACAACCATCGCCGACTCGCAGAGCAGCTTCACCACCGGGCATCGAGAATCCGAACCCAGTCGCGTCGACATCAGCGCATACACTCGATCGTAAACCAGCTCAGGCCCAATCGGTACCCGCATCAACAACATCCAAGGGCGCAAATGACACAGCGACATCATCCACAGTCACTTATCAGCCGAATGCTTCAGGGAACCAGTGCTCTGATGCGAACGCAAATGCTGCCACTGATTCGAGTTTACAAACAGCACAGCAACCCACCACCGAGAACGCCGGCTCAATACCGACATCCATGTCAGAATCACTACAAGCTGCCACTGCAGGTCTCAATGAAGAAGATGCCAAGCTCTTAGCCTCTCTAGCCCAAGGCAATGGCCTCTTGTCGCATCTCTCCAACTTAGCTGCACAGAACGCTGTTTCCGACGATCTGATCAACGCCTATGCAGACCGTCTCATGCTCCATCCTTCCGCCTCGGGCATGCCGTTGCCTCAATCTAACTTTGATGTTGCAGCCTTTCAAGGTGCCGTCGATCTCAACGAAGCTCTCACTCGACAAGACATGCATTGGGATGATGAAGCATTCGACGACTTGGAGCCCGAGGATGAGGATGGCCAAGATCAGGGTCCCATTCAGGCCTATGCCAAGCTTGAGTTCCCAGGCTTTTCCTACTACATCCAGACGCTTGATGTCACCATTGGCCGTCGGCCCGGTCAGATTCAGCCCAACCAACGACCTGGTGCATTACCGCCACAACTGCCCAACGCTGCATCCGGCCTTTCCCAAGCTCACATCACATCCGAGTCCAAAACTCAAGGCGACGTCGACGTCGATCTAGGTCCGCTCAAGTCCATCTCCAGGCTGCATGCACGTATCTTTTACTACACTGGTCCCATCCATACACCCAACTCGGCCTTTCTCAATGGCACTCCGGCACACAGTCGAGTCTCGAGCGGCAACGGAGCTGCTCCCTATCGCATCACATCACCCGCCGCACTAAGTCGCGTCAACGGCACTCATCTGACTGGAGCAGACGCTGCAGCTCACAACCCGTACAACATCGCAACACAGATCGGTGCGAGTGCTGCCACTGATCCCGAACAGGGTCAAGGTCAGTTCGTGCTCATGGTCGTCGGCCGCAATGGTGCCTTTGTAGATGATGTCTGGGTGGAAAAAGGAGGTCTCGTCGTGCTCGGCAAACGCACCAAGATCCAGATCGCAGAACGTGTCTTCTATTTTGTCCTTCCACCGCCTCCCGGAGCAGCTTCGTACAGCATCGACGGTGACAGTCAACGCGCTCACAACTCCGACTCCGACTCGCTCTCTGATCTCAGCAGCCAAGATGAAGAGATAGTCGACGATGATGATGATGATGAAGAGGAGGAGGAGGAGGAGGAGGAGGAGAAGGAGGAGGAGGAGGAGGAAGATGACCAAGAGCAGCAAGCAGCCCCATCGAGCTCAGTCTCCAGCGAAGAAAGCGGAGGCGACGACTACGAAGGTCCAGAGGAGGACGGCAAAGGACGCAGAACATCATCTGCAGCTACTGCCAAGGGCAAGTCAGATCCTGCCAGTCGCCAAGACAAGCCAAAACGGAGACTCGTGCTTAAGCCCAAGAGCAAGGTCGGCAAAGCATCAGCAGCCCATGATTCTGCCGCAGACAAGCCTGTGGATGAGGACGCAGACTACGGGACCACAAGTTCAAAAGCAAGAGGATCCGGCAAAGCACAAGGTAGGGCGAAGCCAGCTACCAAGACCACAGCGGCCGCTCTCGCCAGCAGAGCTTCTGGCAAAGGCAAGGGCAAAGGCAAGGGCAAGGGCAAAGGTGCAGGACGTGGCAAGATGCCAACAAAGGGTCCTCTTCCTGATCACAGACCCGATGGTGACGACAGCGACAGTCTTGGCACTCCAAGCGGAGGCGAGCAGAGCAGCGACCAAGAACGTGCACATCACGACATCACTACACCGCCACCACCCAGCAGCACGTCAGGCAAGCGGCCCGGCAAGGCTGTCAAAGGAGCCAAAGGAGGCAAGAACACCAAAGCTAGCAAAGGCAAGGAGGCAGGTGATGCTATAGAGGATGCAGAGACAGGCAGATCTGTCAAGAAAGAGTCACCGACACCGACATGGGCGATGGGTGCTGGTGTTGCAGGACGTAAGAGGAAGCGAGGCGAGCCAGTTGCTGACGAGGAACCTGCACTCAAGGTGGGCACTCCCATCGGCATTGAGGCTCTGGACGCTGCGAAGCGTGCCAAATCTGCCAAGGCTCGCGCCGATGCTTCCACTCACGTTGCCTCTGCTAGTCCCAAGAAGGGCACTTCCGCTGCAACAGAACCAACATTGCCAGCATCCAATGCGACTTCAGCGACCGACACTGCAGCCGGCGACGAAGACGTCGTTATGGTCGATGTCAAACCAACAACATCCCTACCCGCACCCGCTCCAGCAGAAGCAGCACAGGCAACGGCAACGGCAACACCCGCCAAGGGTACTGCATCTGCAGCTACGGATGCAACACCCATCCTCCCTGCTCCTGCTTCAGCAGCCGCCAATGCAACAAGCAAGACTACTACCGCCAGGGCTAGATTGAAAGCGACGCCCGATGGTGCCACAGCCAAAGCAGATCAGAAGGGCACAAATGCTACTACGACTGCTGCTTCGAGCGCTGAAGCCAAAGCGAAGCCTGCCAAGCCCAAGACGACAAAGCCAAAGAAGAAGAAAAGCGCTGCTGTAGAAGAAGCGGCCTCGACGCCCGCGGGCAACAACACTGGAGCGCCTGGATCAATGGCAGCTGGCGCTGCTGATGCCGCCGGCACCTCTCCGATACCAATGGGCACCTTCGCAGGCTCGTACGGCGCTTCAGGCACGTACCCTACTTCGATGCCGTATGACACCAGCTCTGCATCGGCCGCCTCATCCATTATTACTGCTGCGAATGCAGTCTCAGGCTCGATGCCTGGCTATGGCCAGCCTCAACCTGGAGCCTTACCGCATGCCGTTGGTCAGATGGCCTCTCCTCTGCCTATGATCCCTTCTGCCGCAGCTGCACGAGGTCCTGGTGGCTATGCTGGTGCATCGATGCCCCCTTCGATGACTTCCGTGCCCGCATCCACGTCGACACCAGCACCAGGTTCAACCGCGGCAGCTCCTGCATCAGGCTCAGATCCTTCGTCATACCCAACCACAGCCAGCATCATCGCCTCAGCCGCCAGCCTTGCCAATGCGCAGGCCAAGCAGAACCAGCAGAAGGCGGCGGCGGGCACACCACCAGCAGCAGCGGGAAGCAGACCTGGCACCGACACAGGCAAGGCTACCACTAAGGTAACACCGACGTCCGCTCCACCGCCCACGCCTGCCAAGCCGCCACCTGGTCCAGAAGACAAGCCAGATCTGTCTAACATCGAGCTCATCTCACAAGCACTTGGTTCCGACCACTGCACCAAGAAGGGAGGCAAGCTCACCTTGCAGGAGGTGTACGAGTGGATCGCAAATCGATGGGTCTGGTTCAAGCGCAACGGCAGACACACAGGCAGAGATTGGCAGAGCTCCATTCGACATGCCATTGGATCGTCGCGTGACTTTACCCGTATTCCACGTCGGTCGGATGAGCCAGGCAAAGGTATCTTTTACACCATGTCGGATTCGAAGCTGGCAGAAGAGCATCGTGCCAATCTCGCCAAGCAGAAGGAAGAAGCTGCCAAAGCTGCAGCAGCTCGTCCTGCTGCTGGTGCGACTGGCACTGCCGGCGTCACAGGTGCTATTGGAACTACTTTGCCCGCCGCAACAACAGCGGCTGGCTCATTGGCTCAAGGTGCCTCGGCTGCAGCACCCAACCCTGCGACCGTTGCTGCGAAAGCGGCAGGAGCAGCTGCAGCTGGCACACCTAGCTCTTTGCCTGCTATCCGCATCCCGCTCATCATCGGTACACCGCCATCTTCTGCCACTGTTGCTGCCACAGACAAGCCCAAGGCTGCACCCGGTACGATCGAATCACTGCTCGAGACGCCTCCGATCGTCCATCACAACGGCAAGCTCTACCTCAGTCCTCAAGTGTTTGGCCATCTCAACGCTGGTCAGCTGGCACAGATCGAAGGGTTGGGAGCACAGCAAGCGCTGCAGGTGCTGCAGGCCTATCTGGTGACGCATCTGAAAGAGAGGATGCGACTGCAGCAGGTTGCGGCACAGAAGAAGGATCGAACCGCAGCGACGACGCCGGGCAAGCCTGCTACTCCAGCTGCCACTACAGCCGATGCCAAGCCAGCAACTACCCCTGGTACTGGCACCGCTGCCAAGTCGACTCCTGCTGCCTCGCCTGCAGCCGCCGCAGCTGCGTCCAAGCCGAATGTGGCTGGCACGAACGGGAAGGCCTCTTCGCCTGTCAAACCTACAACACCAGCTTCTTGCACCAGCACAACTGCTACGGTCACACCAACGACAGCGCTGCCTCGACCACCTAGCACTGCAACACCTTTGCATTCAATGACGACACTTCCGAAGCCTGTCTTGCCTGCCATACCGACCACCGCTCAGAATGCGGCAGCCAAAAGTGCGGCAACGACGTCTGCTTCGGCAGCGACGACGCCCGCCAAATTTGCGGTCACGAGCAGCACGGCAACCCCTTCAGCTGCAGTATCTGTAGCCCCAAAGGCGCCCGTCCTGCCCAGCACACCGCTGCGAACGAACGTTCCTGCTGCTGGTGGAGCTGCTACCAGTGCTGGAGATCAAGCCGCTGCGCCGGCAAAGCCAAGCACTGCAGCTTCAACTGCAAGCTCGCCGCAGAAAGCAGCCACGCCGGCCAAACCACAGACGCCAGCACCTTTGTCAGCCACTCGTGCTGCGACAGTCACCGCTCCAAGCATTCGAGCCACTGGCAAAGCTGCCACACCTGCTACACCTGCAGCTCCCGCAGCATCGACCTCTGCTTCTACTTCAGCAGCCGCATCCACCTCGGCCGCACCAGCCACGCCATCAACGCCTGCAGCCAGCGGAGACAGCGAGGACCCACTATCCGCACTCTCAGCTCTCGCCGCACACCCCGAAGCAGCAGCACTCATCGCTCTTCTTCGCAAGCAGCAGCAGGAAAGTGGAACTAGCGGTGGCAAACAGTTGGCCAAATTGACACCAGGGCAATTACAGCTGTTACAGATGGCAAACAAGCTTGCTGCTCAGCAAGGCAAGAAGGGCGGCAGTGGAAAGAAGAAGAAGAAAGCTTCAGGGTCGGGCACAGGAACGAGAGAAGGTACAGCAACGCCAGGACCAAGTGGACAGGAGAGTTCGCCTGCTCCTGCCGGTCCGAGTCCCTCACCTGGGCCTAAAGCGGGCTGAGAAAAGCAAGCATTGAGGAGGTATTTAGGGTAGATTACCGTATTGCGCATTTGGTGTAAGAAAAGCTAGGTATGTATTTGTACTACAGCAAGCGAGTGTAGAAGCGGTTTTGATGCTCGTAATGTTACAGTACAACGGGTACAGGAACAACACTGTGATCTGTAATTCCATCGCGTGCATCAGAAAAAAGCAGCTATGATCTAGCCCACTTGGGTTTCTTCCTCCGTCGTCTCTCTTGCCAAGACTTGGTTCGGGTGACAAAAGCTACCAAACCTTGTAATGACCTCTCTATGTTCCTTTGCATGTTCCAAAAACGGACCACCTATCTTCTCGCCCAGGGTGGAATGCGAAGGATTTCTTCGAATGTTCGAGCTGCCAGTGCTGCCATAGTGCTGGAAGCCATATTTATGGAGGATGTGGGATTCCGTGATGGTGAAGATGAAGGGAAACGTTATTTCCGGATGATCGACAGATGGAACGATGAGGTTCAAGGTTTCAAGGCATGAACAGCATGGAATGTGGAGAAGATTTCCAAAATGGCTTGTTAGGCCATCCTTGATAACATTATATCGAAAAATCACTATTCAGGGTCCAAGAAGGTTGTGTCAGTTTCTACACGCACTCGGCATCTTTCGCTTTTGTGCAACCTATCCGACGCTTTGTACGATTCCGCTTCGTCACCGTCCGCTGCCATCACCTCAGGTCTTCCAACTCAGCAGCACATCTTCCCCTTGATCTGCTCAACGGACTTTTTCTCTCTTCACCTACATAGACAGTGTTTTCATCCTCGGCTGGATCGAGCGCTCTACGCTCACTTTCATCTGATTCGCAAAGGGAAGGAGCGAGCCTGATTCTCTCGCCGTCACTTGCCATCATGGCGCCGAATCGAGGCATCGCAGCGCACTTTTCTGCATCCAAAGCTTCTATCAGCCGCAGTAAAAGCAGCAGGTCTGCTAAAGCTGCCAAACCTTCCACTACCGAAGATGCCACCTCCGTCCCTATCACACAGCAATCAGCAGCAAAGTCGGCGAAGCTGGACGATGTTGCAGCCGCCGCTGAGCTCCCTGCGGCTCCAACTTGTGCATCGACGGCGGCGAAGCCAATGACACCAAAGAAGCCCACAGCACGGCGACAAATACGAAGTCGCCTACGCACGCCAGAAGAAGGCGAAGTGGATCGCATCATGGCTGAGCTTCAATCTTCACCGACTCGCATCCCACCACCTCCTCAAGCAACAGAAGCGAAATCTGTAAATTTGCTGGGTACACCACCTTGCACACCAGGCAATCGTGCTACTCGCTTTGCATCGCCACTTCTCGAACCGACTACAACATCGCGTATCTCTGTTCGTACAGATCCGGATAGGAACAAGATGTTTCTCATGCTACCCAAATCGCCTTCCAAAGCTGCCTCTGTCGCTACACCCGCGACCTCCTCTCCGACAAAACGAAAGCTTACGACTCCGCCCAAGTCCACCTCTCCCACAAAGACGCCTCGCAATGCACTGAACGATAGCACACCGCGACAACTCATCACCGGCGAACCAGAACTGCCAGGGACAGAGGAAGAAGATGGACTAGTCCTCACACCAGGTCGATCCAAGGGCACGAGGGTGGTGCTGGGCAGTCCGAGTAAGAGTCCTCTCCTAGCACGAGCTCAGGGTGGGAGTGCGAGGGAGCAAGCGCTGAGACGAATTGTAGCGCAAGACATCGAAGAAGATGAAGAAGCCGTCATTACGCCAAGGAGTGTCAGGGAGAGAGCGAAAGGGCAGGCTTTGCCGCCGATGGCCACAGCGAATGCTGCGGCTGTGTTTAGAGGAGCGAGCGTTCCTTCTTCTTCAAGTGGGCCTCAGCTCGTACAAAGAAAGGAAGTTGAACGGGAGGTTGCTGCTCTGCCGAGCAACAGCTTGACGCACACAGAAATCGAATCTGAAACGAAAGCGTCAGAAGTCGAGTTGCCAGAACCAAAGCATACCCTTTCGACTGACCTTGCGCTTCCTTCGTTCTACTCGAGCATCCTCACTCTGCACATGGCCTTGGAACACGCACTTGTCGTCCACCTTGCCACTGCTGGAGCGGCGAGTTCTACTCTTCAATCTTGCTCTTCCTCCTCTTCTTCCGACGAGGAATCCGACATGGACCGTACTCGCTCCTCGCGCAACGGCACCGAACGCAAACTGAATAAAACAGTGCGTCTACCCAACCTGATCTCCTACACCGCCCTTCGCCCTCTCGTAGAGAGATCAGGCGGTCGTCGTCTCGGACCTACCGAACTTGGACGTCTCGCCAGCGTCTGGCTTGATTTCCAACGCTCGCAAAACCGAGCTGAAGAAGAGGAGGAGGTGCGAGGACTCGGGTTTATCATCTCCAAAACACGCTCAATCAATCCTCGTACAGGGCGCAGAGCTTTGGACTGGGGCATTGGAATAGAGTTGGAGATCAAAAGGACAGTCCGAGCTTGCACTCCACCACCTCAAGTAGGCTTCGGAGGAGTGGAAGTACAAGCTTCTCCGATGCTCGCTTCAGATGCAGCATTCGATGAGTCGGTGGAAGGGACACCGAAGCTGCCTAGTAGTCGATTTACCACCCCTCCTCCCTCTCCGAGCCTTTCGAGGGGCTCAAAGGGACAGTTTGCCAGTTCGCCTCTACTTGCATCGCCGCAGAGGAGAGGAAAGGGTAGAGCTCTTTCTCCGACGCCGAATTCGCCCAAGGTGAGGAGTAGTACGGGATTGGGTTCGATGGCTAGAGAGAAGGCGAGGGAGGGCATGTCGGTGGTTGCAATGTGGAACAATGGGTTAGAGACGAGGAAGGCTGAGGTGGGAAGGAGACTGAGGGAAAGGTGTGCGAGGTATCATCAGTTGTGGTTGGATGAGAAGGGCATATCTGTCCCTCCTCCTGTCACTCACGGTGCCACTGCGCAAGAGCCTGCAACGCCGTCTCGCAGGGGTACGGTAGGTTTGGGCGTTGCATCAGTAGATAGCGATGACGAAGAGCACGACGCTGAGAATGCCCTACCGCGAGAAGCAATCATGGGAGTAGGCGGACTGTTGACTCCATCAGCCACTCGTTCTGGTGGCCACAAACCGGGCAACAAGCGTATCTTCCATCTTGATCCATCCGAGCTTCTTTCCGAGGAAGAAGAGGAAGATCTGGAAGTTGGACCGCAACTGCAACGTAGGGAAGGAAAAGCATTGCTCATCGATGAAGTATCGCATACTATCGTGCGAAGTTCCAAGTCTATTCCTTCTCTGCGTGCTGCCCCTTCTGCGGTGCATGTAGTGGAAGGAGAAATGCCACGGGAAGGCAGCGAAATAAGAACATGGCACCCCGACTTCCCACTGAACGACGCTCGTACAGTGCATCCTATCCCACCGGCCACCCTCCCTTCCCTCACCGCTCCACCGGCCACCCCCCACCGACCTCGAGAGAAATGTTTACTCCAATCACCCAGCACTCCGCACAAACCAGTGAGATTCACCAGCAAGGCTGCCGTTGTTGCCCCTTCGACACCCCAAGCTCAATGCACTGCAGGCCTCAGTCTCAGAGAGCGCATCGCAGCGAAAGAAAGCCTGCGCCGCACCTCCTCGCTACCCTCGATCAATTCTCTTCACCCCTCCTCCTCACATCTAACGCCGATGCAAGTACTCTCTCAACGCGCTCTCATCTCTCGTCTTCCGGAACTGTCCTCAATCCTGTTCATGCTCTTCTCCAACGGCACAACCCTAAGCTCGAATGGCGTTACCCGATCGCCCACCATCCCGATGCAAGAGTTGCTGGCAAAGTTGGGCAAGAGTGTCAAGATTCAGATGAGTACAAAGGAGTGTAGAACTGCCATCGATGCACTGAGGACGATCGCACCCGGCTTCTTGGTGGTTCTGGGCGAAGGCGGGAAAGAGTATGTGAGAGTGGGCAATAATCAAGGTACAGGCAGATTGTGGCGATTGAATGAGGTGAGAGAGGCGATTGCTGGCGAACTGAACAAGTAGCACTAAACATCGTAACACATTCATCGTACACATTCATCGTACACATTCATCGTACACATTCATGTTTGAAGAAGGAACAATAAGCAGATCATGGATTCATTCTTGTAGCATTCATATTCAATATCATTCATATTCAATATCATTCATATGCATCAGTCTCTCTTTCATAGCTTCACACCTTGATAGGGGATCGATATGAGATGCAAGGTCTTCAGCGACGTTTGTAAATACAAGGCTTCAACAGACCCTTGCCAAACTCTGCCAACTGGTGCAAGCCGAGGCTCTTGACCTCCCCCTCGCCCAATCCTTGCAACTTTGCTCCCCCTTCTACCTCTTTCAGCATCTTCTCATGTTCACCCAGCGTCAATTTGATAAACTCGAACAAGACGAAATGAGTATTCTTACTATCCATCACCTCCAATCCAAACCCGAGCGCTTTCACTATGGCAACAAATCGATCAAAGGCGCCATCAAATCGACTGCTTACCTCTGCCACAATCAATTCTCCTCCTGTTCTAAGCACTCGCTTTGCTTCGAGCAGCATATGGATCCAATTGGTGCCCATGAGCGAGAGACAGAAGACTGCTACATCTGCTTGGCCATCCGCACTTGCTTCTGGCGCAAGGGTCAACCCTAGCGGATCAGAAGAGTTGAAGTAGCCAGGCAGAGGAAGACCGCCGATGGAAGCCGAGTCCTGCTTTCTTACCCAACCGTCGGAAGTGTTGATCAGGTCGTAGCATAACACTTTCTCTCCTCCTCCTTTGGCGATGAGCTTCTTTGCTAGACCGCCTTCACCTGCGCCAAAGTCAACAACGAGAGCTCCGGGTGTGAAGCGAGCTTTGATAGCTTTTGTGTATTTGCTAGTGCTCGTCGTGGCTGGTGAAGATTTCGCTTTGCCCTTACCCTTGGTAGTAGAAGCAGAGGCAGGATGGAACAACTCGACGATGCGATCGAGTGGGTTCTTCGGCCAACCCCGAACTTGCTCGCGGAATCCCTGGTGATACTCGTCAAACATGTGCGGTTGAGCATCGATCATCTTTACAGCTTCTTCCGAGGCTGTGGTGTAGAGTTTTTCGTTTATAGTACGAAAACGTGAGCCGGAGAGTTTGGATAGCATTTGAGCTTGGAGTGCTGTCATTCCTGCCACTGCTGGTCCTGTTACGCTTGTGCTGCTGTTGCTTGCGATTCTGGTTGGCGATTGTGCGGAGTTGGATTTCGTTGGTGTCGTTGCTGCTCGCTTGTCCTGCTCGGAAGGAGTGGTACTGAGACGCTCCTGAGCTTTGAGCTGCTTGTTGATCTTCTTTCTCTGAGTCTTGCTAAGCTTGCTAAGATCCACTTGTTCCCCATCCACAACGACAATCCGTGGTTGATTTTGAGCCGCTTTTTGAGCCTCGATGCCTTTGGCTGCGAATGGATCTTTCTTCCCTCCGCCTATCCCATTCGCACTGCCATTCTGTCTCGCCTTCTTGCTACTAGAACCAATAGCATCCGCCCTACTCGCTTGCTCCTCCTCACTCTCCGCACCACCATTCCTTTGTGGAACCAACTCGTCATCCTGCCATCGTTTCCTCTTGCTCGCCAATGCACCTTTCAATCGCAAATCTGCTGCATTTCTTGTTCTACGATTGCTACTGGCATCATCGTTAGGCTGTTGCTTTGGAGTAGCTCCCAGTCCGAGGTTGGCTTGTCGTGGACGAGAGTTACTCGCACTCTCTTGCTGCGGTGCGCTTAGGCCAGGGAGTTTGGAAAGAATACTATCCGCGAGAGCCGATCGCTTCAGCTCGAGTTCAGCCTGGAGCTGATCCAGATCGAGACCTGCCATGATCATCGGTGCTGCTCCTTCCGACGGAGATGGATGTGAAATCGATCGGAAGAGAGACCGAAAGTTGAGTGAGAAAAGGGCAAAGGAATTTTACAACAGAAAGGAAAGAAAAAAAAAAAAAAAAAAAAAAAAAAAAAAAAAAAAAAAAAAAAAAAAAAAAAAAAAAAAAAAAAGGAAAAAGGTGAAGAATGAAATTTGTAAAGTGGGTTTGAGTAAAGACCCGCGGATGAGCCGATTCCCGCGGCTGAATTGGAAAGCCAGGTTTTGCTTTTCTGTTGCTCCTATCGGATAAGCCGAAGCACTTTTCCCTTTCTGCATCGCACCAATATCTCTCTGCCACACTGCTCTCTCTGCCACACTGCTCTCTCTACATCTGCATACATTCCACTGCGCAGATAGTAGCAAAGTGGAGGTTCGGAAACTTGGGTTTTGTGGCTGCGCAAGTTCCCACGACTATCGTCAGCCATATCGGCTCCTCCGTCTCCACTATCATCGCCTTTCTCTCCTCGATATCGACGAGGCAAGAATGAACGGATGGTTAGCAGAGACAGCAAGGGATGCAAGGGCAGAATCGCGCTCGACACCAGCATCGCCTTGGCCATCGCATCAACCCCTACCGAAACGCACAAAAGTCAGCTGTTTCCCTTGTCGGACTCGCAAATCCAAGTGCGACCATGCCAGGCCTTGTTCCTCGTGCGTATTGCGAGGAACAGCGAGTCAGTGCGCTGATCCCAACGCAGCCGCTCCGACAGCAAAATCATCATCAGAAGCAGCAGCAGCAGTAGTAGTAGTAGCCGCAGGATCAGGATCGGGAACAGTGACGCCGACAGCCATGGCTCAGTCGAGATCGTTGCCTGTTTCCATCTCGATGCCCTCCTTGGCTGATACGGGTCTAGACTCGGAGAGCAGGCTCAACGGCGGCTCACAGTCCAAGAGGCGACGCACGGAAGCAGTGCCTTGTTCTTCTCGCTCCCACTCAACCTCGCTCACCGCTGCTGTAGGCAATCCCGACCATGAAATCAGCCAAGAAATGCACCGTATCAGGCAAACCCTTTCCCGCTTAGAAGAGCTTCTTCACCGCCGTCTTCCGCCTCCTGCCTCATCACCCTCATCACCCTCATCATCCTCATCACCCTCCTCATCCACCTCAACAACGCACGAATACAATCTCGACCCAACCCAAGACCTCCCCGGCGAAAGCGACCCCCCTTGCCTCGAATCCCGCACACGATGGCACCATCTCCGCACCCTCCTCCCCCCACTCATCGACACCCACCTCATGATGCACTACCTCTTCGTCGAAGCAGATTGGCTCATGACCTGTGTCGAAGCCCCTCGATTTGTCGCTCGATGGAAACACGCCTACACAACTGAATCTATTGCCCAAGTTTTCGCGGTCCAAGTGCTAACTCTAGTGGCTTGCTCAGCTCTTTTTCTCTCGGATAATCACAAACGAACCATACAGTTCGCAGTGCCCATCCGATCCCTCCATACAAAGCTGATCAAGGAGGCGATTAGCATGGTCGACTCAATGCCAGCTTTACATTCGGCTAGCAGTGAGGCCGAGAGATGCGACATGATCCAACTTATGCTCAACATTTCTTTTTACTTCCGCTGTCTAGGCAAGAACGCGCTTATGGCGAGATATACCGAGAGAGCAGTGAGTTGCAGTATGATAGCCGAATTCGATAATGAGTTGCGGCCTTCTTGGCTAGGCTTAAGCGAACAACAGGTGGAAAGGAGGAGATTGTTGATGATGGAAACGGCAATGTCGGCCAAGTGGTTAGCTTTCCATTGTAGGAAAGAGAAAGCGCATCTCCCAGTCCTCTCCTTTAACCTGGGACAGGCGCATATGAGGCATGTTGGTCAATTACCACCGCTTTCCGCTTGGCCGCAGTCCGACCAGTTTGTTGCGCGCATTGTTGCTGCCCAATCTCAAAAACCCCTACAAGATGGGCCGCAGGGAACGGCAAGATTCTTCGCATCGCGTACCAAATCCGATTTTGAACGTCACCTCGTCCGCACCTACCATCGCATCTCATGTTCCATCTCCAACGAGCTCCCCTCGATCGTCCAACTAGCCTCGAAAACCGAAGCCAAACTGCTCAACCCCGAATCGCTCGCAAAGGTCACCAAAGAAGAAATGCGAGAAATGGCCCGTTCAACACGCTCCATCCTAGCCCGACTCGAACAATGGCACACCACTCTCCTTCCGCGGGTCGGTGTTGGCTTCGATCGAATCCTCAATGCGGAAGTCACCTCGGCAGATCCTGTCAAGGGAAAGGAAATGGCGACAGTGTTGATGCTCAACCATGCCAATTTCTATATGACTTCCATCTTGTGCAGAGCGTGGTTGTTGCTCTCGGACCGCCTACAATCGTTGCATGACGCAGCCAAGGAAGAAGCAAGTGAATACGATCACCCTTCAACAATGGTAAACCAAAACTTCCTAGCGCATCTCAAACAACGTTCGATGGATCACGTTCAACAGACCCACGTTGCTTGGCTTCCGTCTACCTTCTTGGCGGAAATGGAAGCTGCAGCGTTGGAAAACGTTCAACGATGCATCCGCTCGATTCCCCTGATACGCACGCTACAGGCTCAGTCCAGCTCGCACTTTTATGCAGGCTGGACTTGTCAAGCTTGCTTACAGGCGGCGGTGAATCTTGCGATTCCGCTGATCCGATCGCATCGTCGCCAATCGCATGGGTTTCGGGAGACGCTGTTTGCTGGAGTTGGGACGGATGTGTTGCGGAGGGATATGATAACTATATTTGGAGCGGTTAGTCAGTTATCGGATCACATAGCAGCAAGGCGGACGGCGAGGATAATGAATAAGGCTATGCCTAGTACTGGGATTGATCCCGCCCCTTCTGCTTCACAAACTATTAAGGGGTTTACGCGGTGGGGAGGGGAAGAAGAAATTGAGGATGCATGGGAGATGGAGGATGCATGGGAGATGGAGGATGCATGGGAGATGGAGGAGTTGCAAACGCAACAGCAGCAGGAAGGGGCGGGGCAGATGCAGAATGCGGCGGAAGGATTGGCATTGTTATCCGCTGCAAGTGCTTCTGTTTCTAGTGCAACGAGTCCGAACAGTAATGCAAGTCATACTTCGCCTGTGGGGATGGCATGGGATGCAAACACTGCCAGGGCTTCAAATCACAGCGCGAGCAACCTCAACTGGCACTCCCATCTGGTGCCGTTCAATCGAGAGCCTTACCCACCAACGTGCACTGCAGCAGGGGTGGCAGATGAGCCGACGACGAGCGAGCCTATGTGGTGGGAAGCACGTTTACCATCCTCCTTCCAGGAGATGCCAACTTCCGCAGCTGCTGCCGGCGTCCGAAGTGTTACGTCGGGTGCGGGAACGGGGCAGATCCCAATGTCAGATTCACAACTACTGGACGAATTGCTCAACTTCGATCCTTCCTTTTGGCAGTTCGTTCTCGATGGAAGCCCCAATGGCGCCGCTGCTGCTAGTGCATAGGTCTCATTCCAGATCTTCATCCTCGTGCTTCGATAGCGTAACCTTGATGCGAAACGCAACAACATAGCTCAATTCGCTTCGATCTGTGCTACAGTATGCCTAAAGCCCGGGTTTACTTGGCTTTGAAGATCTCATACACTATCCCGAAGCGGAACCGGCATTACTTGTTCGTCAGCATCACTCTTCCTGCTTACATATCGAACAAAGCGCGAGGGGGATGAGGGGGGTGAGAGTTTCAACTTACCGACAGTAACAGCCCCACCATTTCCAACCTCCAACTTTCCTTTCCCGACAAAAATGGTACGGTTGACCCAAGCATGCTTCGAGTTTGCTGGAGCTTCTAATACCGGTGTAGTCTGTCCACATCAGCACAACATGCACCGGTCAGCTTCTCTCCCGCTTTCCTCCACTAGACACTTGTGCTTGGATCGGGTGACTTACGAGCAGATATCCGTCATCAAAGTTTGTCGACTTGGCTTGTGGCTCACCGCCCAAAACTGTCCCATCCGGAATGAATGCATCGTCAGCATATATCCCAAAAGATTACGAATATGGTATTCGTGGAGACTTACTCTTCCCAACAGCGGGCGTAATCTCCAACTGTCCATAATAGTGGATATAAATCACTTCCTTATCCTCAGTAACCGCATGAACACGAACATCCAATTTCCCCCAACCGTCTTTAAGAATGGCATAATCGCCACCTGGAGTTACTTTTGCCGCTATGCCTTGCCCGGTTAGAGATCCGTCTGTTACTGGGATATAGGCTATCCAGCCACAACAAAGGATGTTAAACAGGTGTTAGTGAGGGAGGATGATGGGATAAGAAGGCTTGGCACTTACATCGATCGCCCAGGGGAGTTCCAGGAATATCGAAACCTGCCTCGATACGGAGTTTGAGAGTGAATGCGTGGGTGAGGTTGATGCTTGGAGGTGCCATTTTTGCTTTCCTTCTGGCTTTGCGAATGGGCTCGAGGCGATGGTGTGGCAAGTGCGAACAGAGCTGGTGAGGGTGGCAAGGGGAAGAAGGGTTTATATATGGGAACCCGAACCACCAACCAAGGTCTGTACACCAGCTGCTTATTTTACAACAAGACCCTTTCTCCCTGCGCTAATCTAGCCGATTCGTAGTAATGATTGGCCTTGAATCTCCCGATTCAAAGTCGCCGTGAGCAACTGCGGAGAGAAGCGAGGTTGGCGAAAGAGATGACTGTCTCACTTCCGTCACTCACGACATTCACCTCGCCTCGCTTCGTTATCGCTTTCGGCACCAAAACGCAACTCCCACAGATTCTTTGGAGAGGTCAGGGTCAAGGTGGTGATGTCTTGTCGGTGTTAGTGACTGATCTTCATCGCCGCTAGCAAGATCCGCCTCCACTTTCTTCCCGCCGCCCCTTCTGTCAATTCTGTTCAACTCCGTCCTTCACCTTCCCTCATCACCAACCCCACCAAGATCACCACTAATCACTCCGACTGCACCGCCTTCACCACCAAGACCGTACACTTCCACCAACCCATCCGAATCTCGCCCAGAATGGTCAAACAGGACGCAGAGGTAATTAAAGAGTTCAACGATCTCGTAAACATGTCCGCCAGCGAGCTTGAGAAGTGGCTCAAATCCTCCGACTCGATCTCTTCCGGTTGGAAGAACGGCGACTCCGGCGAAACTGTTGGACACAACTCTGGTACTAAAATCGTCGATATTCTCAAACGGAACCCCGACAAGAAGAAGGACAAGTATACCGAAGAGGATATCAAACACATGCGCAAAGTTGTGAGCTATAACAAGAGACATTTGGCACAGGAGAGACATTTGAAGGAGAAAAAGGGTGAAGAGGAATTGAAGAAAACCAAGAGCTATAAGAGTTTGAAGAGTGAGTACCCTTGCCCCGAATGTTCCCGAGATGTGCTTTCCTTTTTTTTCCCCTTTTCGTTTCGATGGTGGATTGGAGTTTTCGGTTGAAGATGAATCTTGCCCCCGAGAGGGATGTGGGAGAACAGGTATTGTATCAAGGTTAGCCTGTCTTCTTTGCAGCTCGATATGGAATCTACTGCATTGGAGCGCTCTGAAGCTGCCCAAAACACAAAGTGGAAGCCTTAAAAGCGCCCGTTACGAGGGGCAAACGTGTTGTCTACAGCAGAACTCGAGCTCAACGACCAATCCAAACCACCAACCAACACACGCTCATATCGCACAGCCGCCAAAACCCCTGAGCAAGATTCGTATTCTGACACCTCCAACCGCCCCTCCTTCCAACACATGTAGATGACCCTTCCTCATCATCGTCATCCACCCAACCCCAGTTTAAATCAGACGCACCCCTACCCACAGCTCTAAACCTAGGTCGTATAGGTACAGCCTCCACCACCGCATCCACCCTAGCCGCATCCTCCACTACCTCCAGCAGTAGCGCTGCTCAGTCATCAAAGGCGTATTTAGATGGGTTGGAGGAGAGTGTTAATAAGACGATCGATGGCGAGATTGAGACTTTACTTGGTTCTTATAAAGAATTGGTGATGCTAGCTGGTGTAAGTCAACCCCCCTCACCACCGTGCAGGTTGTTTCAAGGAGAGGGATGTAATGCTCATGTTGATTCGGTTGTGTTTGTGGGTGGTGATCTAGGTGGCGGACAAAGACAAGCACCGACTAGCTCAAGAAGGATTTCAAAGTGAAGCTAGGGCTGATATTATGGTTCGTATCTCACCACGCCCCTTTTATCCCACCTCTGTCTTTGCGCTCCTACTAACCCCAAACCCCCTTCTTTGTTTATTGGGTGAAATGTGTAGGTTCGAGCAGTGCAGAACCTAACACTGCTGTCCGAAAGTCTCAAACTCTCCCTCCTACTATCTAAAACCCCCGATCCAGCACTCAACGATGAAGCATTGGAGCTGATCGAGAGTACCGAGCGGGAAAAGATGCGTGTTGCAAGCTTGCTAGCAGAGGTCTTGGGATTGGATGCGGGCGAGAGTGAGGGGCTGGTGAAGGATTTAGATACCGGTTTGGTGGATAAGCTGGGGGATACGGAGATGGAAGATGATGAGCTGATGGAGGATGTGAGCGCTGGTTGAACCAAGTTTTTCATCTTTTGGCACCTTGTTAGCTTCTTTTTGGATACCATAACGGATCGCAACGCAGCGCACCCAAACGGACAGCGAACAGCAGACGCATTCTCAACGGAGGTCGCACAAGAGGTTCGGAAAGTGAAGGCCGCTCCGCCCTCTTTGCACGCGCCGCTGGATCGCACTGCATCCTCCCGCCTCCAAAAAGCGCTTGCGAGCATCGAAACCACTCACACACGACCTCTTCGCATCGGCGGTCTTTGCGAATCGCAACGCTAACAGCCGAAAGCGCTTCCGCAAACGCTTCAAATCTTCGCCTCACACCACTGGCTCGCCCTTCGTCGTCTTTTGGGCGCTAATCGTCGCTCACATCCTTGCAACCGAGCTGAATGAGCGCCCTTCTACATCAGTCTGCACTTGGCACGCACACAACACCGCCAACCACGGCGCGGGCCGTCTCTCCAGCAATCAACCACAGGCGCACTCTCTGCATCCTTTGGCGCAAGCTTTCGGCTTCATCGGAGGCACAACCGTTCTGTTTCTTTACTTTTCTGCAACTGGGGCATACACTTCTATTTTTTATTTTTATTTTCCTTTATACCCGCTTCCCTCATCTAGCCGTGGCATCTTGGCCTGCTTTTAGTCGTGGTCCGCAACTCCCCCTCTTGGGACAAACCGTTGGCAATCCGATAGCTGACACAGACTGATTCCTTTCATCCTTTTGGCGGTTGGTGTAGATTGGGGCCACGACCCTTTGAAGGCTTAATCGCCTTCGCTCTGTCGTGCCGAGTCGAGTCTTGGCGCAGTGAACTGCACTCGGTTGGGTTTGGGCTGATGGAGGCATATGTTTTGCAGCATTTTTAGCCGTTTTGCCTGTGTGCTCGTGGGCAGAATGTGATCTGGTTGCTTCGCAGATCTTTTGGCTCCGCTGTGGTGGCTAATGCAATCTCGATCTTATCTGGTGCTTTGCCGTTGATTGTATGCGCTGTTGATTGGTGTGTGCGGCTTGCAACCTCGGTCGATTTACTGTTTTGGTTGATGCATGGTCAGTGTTGACTAGAACGCATTCTTCCTGTCTGTTCAGTGATTGGGAAATGAGTGCCGACAGAAGCGCGCTCCAGGTCGTGATTTTGTGAACAGCGGGCGCTCCCAATCGGTGCTGCAATGTGAAGCTTCTTGAACCTGTCCATCGTGCCAAGCCTTTCGTTTGAGGACTTGTTGCGAAGCAAGATTCGGTAGAAATGCAGCCATGGACCTCGTTCAGGATTGCGTTCTTCCAAGGTCGACCCAGCAGGAAGCAAGATTTGGATCGAGAAGCAGTTCTTCGGTATCGTGGACGATGCTTTCTTGAAGACGTCGCTAGAGGTCGGAGAGACACACCTTGGCTAGCCTCTGTGGATGCCGAGCAGATTAGCGCATGACACCTGTCCAAATCTGCGCTGGCTTGCACAACATCGATCGCAAACAACCACATTCGAAAAGCAAGCAGCGCAAAAAGTACATGGTACCAAGAACAACGAATTCCGCGCAACCAAACATCAACGAAAGCAGATTCGGCCATCAACACCATATCGCGGGAGTCCAAGGGTGCGTTGAATCAGTAAAACTCTTCAAACGACCAAAACTCTTGATGAGCCCCGACGCTCTCCCCCCTTCTGCTACTTTGTTCATCAGCGTACTTGCTCGGTTTCAACTCTCCTCTGTGCATCCGAATCAATTGCTCTGCAGTCCTTTGGAACAGCGTTTCCACCGAATCCGTCTCTTTTCCTATTACCAGGCCCGATTGCACCACTTCCGGCAGCAAATGTCCATGTCGTTGATGGTAGACGTACAGCGTACGCACTGCTTTCGGCACATGTTCATCGACGTTTTCCCTCGCTACCTCCAACATCGGTCCCCAAGAAAGAGGGTCGGTAGAGGCCAAGTTCGAGAGGGAAAGCAGGGGGCGACCTCGGGAGATGTAGTAATACATAAATTGGGCGAGTAAGGCGCGGAGGAAGATGGGTCGAAGGCGAAGAGAAGAGGGAGAGGAGGCGAAAAGGGATAGGTAGAGCGGTGTGAATACATGGGCGTTGTTCAGGTGCATTCTACGATTCCGTCGCACCGATCGAGCGGGAGCGAGGGAGGCGAGGCGGAAACGGGAGCGGATGCCGGGAAAGATAGTGAACGAGAGCGAGAGCGAGACGGAGTGCGTGGCGCGTGTGACGTGGAGCAAGGCGGAGACAGGCGGAGACAGGGATGAGTGGCGAGCGATTCGAGTTGACGTGGCGTGAGCGTTCGGAGGCAGACCCGGAAGCGGTAGCAGATCGAGTTGCAGAGGATGGCGTTGAAAGGCGAAAGTTCGGGTGCAGGCAGGATGTTGAACAAGTTGAGCGTAAAAGAGATCGTTTAGCAGTTGCAAAAGCGCATATAAATCATCGGAAAGGCGAGGAAAGAGCATCAATATCAGTATTCAAAACCGCACACCATCAAAGAAGCCCATGATCACTTCAAGGTGTAAAGAGAACTCACAGGAAAAAATCATGCCTAAACCAATTCCCTTTCTCACTCTTGGGTACCGCACCTAACAGCAGTCCTCCAAGCACTGCTAATTCTCCTACTGCTCTCTCTTCACCTTCCTTATTTCCCTCCGTCAGAGCTTGCCATCGATCGACGTATTCCCATATCACCCCCTCGCCGCTTCCACCCGGAAGGAAGGGTTTGTCCGGTAGTGAACTTTCCTCATCCCTCAGCTTCAAACTGTCCGGACTGACCCTGGGATCTCTTTGGAGTTCGGCTACTAGCGAAAACAGATCTTGCTGTCCAGCCTGTTTGGAGCGAGTAGAGGTGAGCCATTTATGGTCGAAAAGCCAAGAGTGCGAAGCGGCTGTTACGGAGGCCATAGCCAATCCCTCACTGACCATTCCTTTCATCCCCGTTTCCAACCCATATCCGACGTGAATTAGCGCGTGGAGCACTCCGCCGTAGAATCTTGTTATCATCTTCACTTCCCCCTCGTTCGCTTCTTTACTAAACACCAATTCTTCCAGTGCTTCTCTTGCCCCCATTTTTTCGACAAAGGAATCGAAGAAATGGAGGTAAGCCCAGTAATACCGAGAATTGCCCAGGTGATCTTTCCAATTGCTCTCGTTGATCGGTTCGATAGGTTGTTTATCTTTATCACTGTGCGCGACGTCAGCATTAGGGATGTTCGGACCAAACTTAGTCCGATCGTGCAAATTGAACTTGTTCAAATAATGCGATTTCTGATACTCGTAGTGAGCGCTGAGCTGAGCAGGGTTAGCTCCAAGGGTGAAATCAGCGATGAGCTGGTGCGATGAATGATTATGCATCCCTAGAGAGTTGAAGAAGCAGTGATGTGTGACGTGGTTATCCGAAAGAAGCTGGGTGAGGGTTTGGGTGGAGGATGGGTTGATGAGGGGTGAAAGCTCGGGAAATGCTGTTCCTGAGGTAGAGGAGGGTGTGAATGCTGTTGAGGGTTTCGAGAGCATGGCTGATGGTCTTGTGCAGAGTTGACGGATGGTGGTTAGTGCTGGTGGTATTGGTATTGGTATTGGTATTGGTGAGCGACAATGGAGGGAGCTGGATGGGATCGGTGGCTTCAGCGTCGGTTGATGGGGTGTTTTGAATGCTGGTGTTGCTCGTAGTCGGTGCAAAAAGCGAGTGGATGGGATGATTGACAGGGATCGAAGCTGAGAGCTTGAGCCTGAAGCGAGGAGACGCGCGTTTGTCATTCCCGCCGTTTCCCTCCTTGAACGAGACGAGCTTGAATGCGAGCTCAGGGACTGTAAGCTGTCGAACGTACAGATGCAAGGTGAGAGAGAGGATGACAAACAGATGAGTTTGAGTAAGGTGTGTTGTAAAGGTTGGATGGTCAAAGCGCGTTTTCTGACATCTCAGCCTGACTCACACGGCCGTACAGATGAGGCTCAGTCGGACGATACAGAAACGATACGAAAGCCATGTTAGATTTCCGGTCAGCGAGGTAAGCTCAGATGCGCAACGCCATGTCACGTGCAGCCCCCGTCTCGCCGCTGGACTCTGACTTGGTCTCAGAAACACTACTCACATCAAACCCAAACTCTCACAAACGATGACGAGGGTAAGGAGAAAACTATCTGATCTGTCTACGATCGATACCTTGAAAGAGTACGAGAGACAAAACAAGGAACCATGACAATGGAAACTGAACCGAAAACATTTTTTATCGTCTATACATTCTTACTAACCCCCCTCCTCCCTAGCCACAACTTGTTCATCTTGGCTCATGTTTACCTCGACTTGACCTCGCTCTATGCCTTGCTAAGCTTCATTCCCTCCAAAACGCCTTTGTCCAACGGGCTAAAAAGACTAAACACTCCCTTAGTGACATCAATCGAATGACGTTTACACCCTGCACACCTATCCACCGCTGTAACAACCACCTCCTTCCCCCGACCATCTTGGATCCTGATCCTATCTCCGCACTTGAAAGGAGAGTCGAAGCTGATAGCAGCAATCATACTGCCATCTTTTGGAGCGGGTGCTCCGGGGCAGGCGGGGTTGAGAAGTTGAGAGCCGGAGTAGTAGGTTAGTTTTCCATCCGAGATCTCTGTGGAAGAAGGCGAGTTGGGTTTTGTTTTGTTTTTCTGAAGGTGACGTCGTTTCTCAAGTTTCCGGGGGGAAGAGGGAATGCGAGAGGAAGAGCGGGATGCAAGGTGGGCGGGAATGTGAGGGACCGTTGTGCCTATGTGGTGTTCGTGGTTGGGAGAGGAGAGTCGGATGGGTTCGGCTGAGGCGAGGAGGAAGAGGGTGGAGAGTAGGACTGCGAAGAGCAGTGGAAGAGATAGACGTGGCATCTTGTCTTGGATAGCCTCCGAGACGAAACAAGGTCGTTGGGTGGTGAGGAGGTGATGATGATGATGGTTTCTTCTTGAGGGATGGTAGGGGGGGGGGGGGGGGTTGGGTTATATATGGAAAGAACAACATTCACACCCACTCAAGTGCCACAAAACCCGCCAACTGCGTCTTTGCTTTTCACACACACACGCACACTTGGGATTGGGACCATCGATCAACTCATTTCACTCGCACTCTGCGGTACTGTTATGTTGTGCAACCCCCTGCACAATGCATATACCACCACAAGAAAGTGCGAAGAGGGGGTCAAAACATCAACCATCAGCGACACTAAAAATAAAGATGATAATTTCGAGCTGAAAGGCGGTGCATCGGATGGAATATATCTCCTCCTTCCCTCCGATCTTCTTTCGCTCGCTCGAGACGAGATCGGCGTGGATCCATCCCACGACTTTCGAGTGATGTGGAGACCATGAGACGGAGAAGGGAGCCGACCGACGCTTCTCATTCGCGCACTGGACTGGCTCTGCATGGATTTGAGTGGGGACAAGTCAGTGAAGTAACGATCCAGAACATCGCACATCACACATCACCCAGCCTTTCTCTGCGGAACGACTGCCGATCCAGTCTCCTCCCACTGTCAGCATCCCAAACCGTGATTGGGAGCTACGAGCTGCACGGTGCTCCTTCCCACACTGCAACTATCAGCCGTTCCCACCCAATCAGTTTGATGGTTGCAGGCTGAACAGCATACTCCCTGCTCCCCGCTCCCCGCTCCACAGAAAAATAAAAATAAAAATCAGGAATAAATGCAAGGATGGCTGGAGTGAAATGTCCTAACCGACGGGTCGTGCTGGCAGCCCAAGCGATATAATGTGGAAATAAGGAGTCACTCGACGGCGATGATCGGGAGATATCAGTCACAGTACGGTGTTCAAGCTAAAGAGCGAAACACTATACTATATTGACATACGAAAAGAATGTGGCGGGAGCCTCGAGCTCCCTGCTAAGTATATATACAAATGTGTGGCACATACCCAAGTGTGAGTGCATCCTAATGACAATGTGCAACAACGAGTGGGACGTAGTTGTACCCGATTCCTCTCTCCTATCGGCGCTGCCCGATGTTCGACCAGATCGAACAAAAGGGGGTATCAAAGTTTTTGCGTTTTTAAAAACGCAGGTTTTTTGAAAAGCGCGTTTTTGGAGGGAATTTGAACCCCCCAAGGAAAAGCGGGTTTCCAAAAACGCGATGAAATCATACGGCCGATAAAATACGTAACCTAAAAGTAAGCATAGGAAGCATGAATCATACGGCCGAAAGGAGGTGTAACCTAACAGTAACATATGAAACATGAATTATACGGCCGATAAGAGACGTAACCTAACAGTGAGCATATGATACTTGTCCTGCTCTCGTCGCTATCACCCATTGCTTGCTTATATCTTGCTTTCCTCTTCACACAATGTAATGTTTCATATGGTGGTGAGAAGAGTTGTATTGAACAGCAGAAGAGAGAGTGCCTGTCAGATCGTGTAGTGGACTGGCATAACAACTCTGCAGAGATGTCACGAGAATCATCAGTGGAGGAGGTCATGTTGAATGAGCGCAAGGAAGAGGGAGTGAGCAAAAGTGCGACGAGAGTGATGAGAGGAGAGAGATGTGGAGTGATAACCGTTCCGCGTTTTCACAATAGCGTCTCCTGAGCTGCGTTTTTAAAAACGCGGTTTTTTTTTTTTTTTTTTTTTTTTTTTCCCCTTTGCGCAGCTTATGTAAGCTTTTGCGTTTATTTGGAAAAACGCGCTCTTCAAAAAACCCGCGTTTTTAAAAACGCAAAAACTTTGATACCCCCTTTTGTTCGATCTCAGCTACGATCTGTTCTGCCCGATCATTTTCAGGGTCGTGCTGGATCGTCCTCTTTAGCATATAAACCTTCCCGCCGGCATGATCGTGCGGATGCAACATCTCTTCTCCTTACCCTTGCTCTCCTTCTTCATTGTTCTTGACTGATTGGCAGAATAGTAGAAAGGCCTGATTACGTCAAGAAGAGACCAGAAGCGAGCGGATGGGAGAGGCCAGGTGAATCAAGGCAAGACATCGACTTGACCGTGAATGTTGCCTCAGGCCTCTCAGCAAGTCTTAGTTTTGGCGCCGAGTCGACCTTCTGATCACACCGCCGTCGCTCACTACATCAGCTGCCGCACACACAGACCTTTGCACAGCCGCTATTGCAGCCTGACCTCGTACAGTGACGCAACTAGATAACCATTTCGGTTCATAGCAAAACAACAAAATAGTGCGAGTCGTCTCTCAGCGACCACACCCGATCAGCGCAGTCCGATCTTCCCTCAACGAATACAAAAACACTCTTCCACAACCCACCGTATTCCCCGCCGAATTACTCGCATCGGGAAAAGCAAATGCGATCGCTCTGCCTTTGATCAATCTCGCATACTCCCTTTCATCCGCAGAAAGCGTTTCCAAGAAAGCTCGAAACATGTATGCTCCTTCATCCTCCCCATCCCCGCCTTCGCCATTGGGGTAGCTGTAGCCAGTACGTTCGCCATGGCTACCCAAACAAGCAGTGAGAGCTGCAGCTAGCCTATCAAAGTTTGCCCCCGTGAAATCGACTGCGAGAATGGGGACGTTGCCTGACTGAAGTTGATCTGCAAACTTCGAGACTTGACGGGAGGCTTTATCGAGGACGAGTTGACGCGAGGAAGGTTTCGGACGGTTTTGTTGCCATTTGTCGCCCTTCTTGGATCGCTCGATGGGCCGTTCAGGTAATAGCATCTCGCGTTCGCGCACAGCGATGGTTGCCGAAGGCATCACTTCGTTGCCGCTATACATTCGTGAGAATCCACCGTGCGGGTGATGGTGGTGGTGATGATGATGCAACCCTCCAAGTGAGCCGGGAGCACCAGAAGCTGCGGTGGCGGCTCGCATCGATCCTGCTTCGAATCCCGCTTGGCCGAACCTTGCCGAGACAGCCGACCCAGACCCTGCTGAGCCAGCAGCCACTTGCACATCGACACTTCTCTGCTTCGCAATGCGATCCTGAACAAATCCAATTAGTTCGTGTCTCGCCACTTCGTATTCAGCGCGTTGCAGTACCACCTTCACCTTGAGCACCGGTGATCGCGCTTTCGCGAACACCAACAACAAGATGCCCTCGGCTCGACACGTCGCCGCTGCCGATTCGGGTGTGTCGTAGGTCGCGTGCTCGTACTGCAAGTCGGCGGCGATGTTGTGTGCCCACAGCTCGCGGCAGATCTCCATTCGCGTTTCGAGCAATCCAGGGGTTGAGGCAACGTAGACATCGCATCGTCGTGGCGTGTAGAGACCAAAGCTGCGTTCTTCTTCCGTTCTAGAGAGAAGCTTGGCCACTTGTACTTCCTGATACTTGGACAGCCCCAGCGTCAACTTGCCGACCGCCATCTGAACACCGACACCATGCAGAGGTGCAGATGAAGCCGTCGAAGGATTGGCAAAGTGTTTGAGCAGCGAGTCGTATCGTCCACCAGCTGCCACCACATCACGACGCTTGCCAGCTCGTACGACAGTGAACAGCACACCTCCCTTGTACAAGCTATTCGACTGTGCCAGCAGTGGCGAAAACAGAAATTTGCGCTGAACGCCAAAGAATCTTGCCGTCGCCACAACGTCTTGAATCTGCGATACTGCCTTCGCCAGCCTTGTCCTCTGATCCAGCGGGAACAGTCGCTCTAGTCGACGATGCACCGCTCCAACCTCATCGTTGAGATTGAATGCTTCCAACTCTTCGATCGTCGAACGTGGCAGACCCAGCTGCAACAGCTGCGTTCTTGCACTTTGCATCGTCTTGGACCCAGCGAGCAAGGCAACAACGCCGAGCACAGCCGTATGATGCTTTGCAGGTATTCTCTCCAGAATCATCGAGAGCATCACCTCGTGGTTGATGTGAATGACCCAATTCTCGCTTGCCACACCCGGGATCTCGTCAAGCACCTCTTCCACCAGAGCCAAGGCTTCAGCTTCAGCCGCAGCCGACTTCTCCGGCGAGACAATGTCGAATGAAGCAGCCAACACAGCTCGAGGCTGGCCTCCAGCTACAACGTTTTCTCGGTAGACATTGCTAATCTCGTATCGCTTGAAACGCTGATTGCTGCTGCGAGCAAAGACACGCGCAAACGGCACCGTCAGATCGTAGGGCAGATGCACGACCCGTCCGGTACGGTCAAGCATCTGCACGATCTTTTCGTTGGCCGTGTACAACCCGTTCGGCGGCACAATGAGTGGCGCAGTGAACTCGACAGCACCATGTCTGCGTGCAGCTTTGCGAATCAGATCGCAGACCACAGTTGTCAATGACGTGTCACGATCCCTCTCTGCTCCAGTATCAAAGGTAAAGTCACGAACGAGATCAGCGGCAGTTCGACTGAAGAGCGCATCCATGAGCTGATGGTTGTATGCACTCGTCGGATTGGCCATCAAGCGCAAACACTCTTCGATGTACTCATCCTCCATCTTTGGTGGTAGCAGATCGCTCTTGAGGATTTCAAGTGGAGAGGGGCGACGTTCAGGATCGTGATCGAGCATCTGTCGAATGAGTGCTGTCTGCTTTTCGAGTTTGCTGTGCGGCCAGACCGCTGGCAAACCAACGCTGGGATCTCGCAGCTCGCGAATGAGCAGGATACGTTCCATACCTGTGCGATACACACGCTGACTGGCCAGCATCTCGAAAAAGATGACCCCCAGTGAGTAGATGTCAACCTTGAAGTTGTACTTGACTCCACCTTTGGCGCGGAGCTCTGGCGCTGTGTAGAGGAATGTCCCCAAATCGCCGGTGAGATCGGTGCTCTCGGCCATTTCCGCCGTACCACCTAAATTTCCAGCATTGCCATCCGCAATCTGAAGTGCGTTTGTCGCCAGACCGAAGTCGCCAATCTTGACATCGCCATTGGCGTACATCAACACATTCGAAGGTTTGAGATCGCGATGGATAATGCCAAGACTGCTGATGTGAGCGAGTGCTTCCACCATTTGACGAAGAATGCGCCATGCTTCATCCTCCGTCAACCCCTTCTCGATGGCCTCGCGTAGTGTTCGATTCTCGACAAACTCCATTTGGATGTAGAGAACACGTTGTACGGCAATAGTACCGGGGGGACGTGCCACACTGACGCTTCTCGAGACGGATCGACCGGCACGAGATGCCCGGCGCGACGATAGAGGAATTCGACTGAAGTCATCGTCGTCGCCACCGAAACTGTCGTCGTCATCTGAGCTCGATTCGTCCGAGTCACCATCCTCGTCGTCTTGATTCGAATTGTCGTCGTCGTCGTCACTGCCATCGGAAGGCGTGCGCAGTGCCAGCAGTCCACCTTTGAACGACGTCTCTGCCTTTGGCCGGCTAGAAAGAATACTATTGTGCAGGTCGTTGCTGTCGTCACCATCCTCGGCAAAGCGAATGTCGCTGTAGCTCCCTGTCAGACGTGACGAGCTAGCACCTGAAGCGAGAGCGTCGTCGTCATCTTCGTCATCAAAGTCGGGAACAGCCCGGAATGAGTCATCTCTTCGATTCGTCGGCTTCTTTGCATCGTCAGGCCGTTGAAAGCCGTGGCCAAATGCAGACATGGAGAGGTTCGGCCCAGACGCATGTGTCTTGCTGGTAGTGTTGGTTTCCAGCGTTCGACCAGACGTGAAGCCATCGGTGTCGCTACCTGCTAAGCCAGCGATAGGCAAGTGAGTCTCTTCGATCCAGCAAGTCGAGTATCGCACGATGTGTGGATGGTCAAGTCGACTCAACGCTGAAATCTCCCGCAGCGTCCTCTCGTCTTCGTCAGGCGAACTGGACAGCTTAATCTTCTTGACAGCATAGAAGCGGCCATCGAGACGGTTGCGTGCTTTGACTACACTACCAAAAGCGCCTTTACCCAGAAATTCGACCTCTTCGAAGTCGGAGAGATAGCGAGAAGTGGTGGCTGCTGGTGGTGCTCCCGGGCCCGAAGATGCACGGAAGGGCCACAATGACCCAAAGCCCTGGAAGCCTTCGGCGTCGAGAGGAGTGCCGATCTTTCCACTAGGCGAAGTAAGGCTCATGCCTGCAGGATCGCTCTGCTGTCGAGCCGTACCGGGACGAGAAGCAGCCTTGATGGCTTTTGCAGCGGTACCAGCAGCGGGTGTAGCTGTTTGTGCAGGTATCTTGGTATTTGAACTCTCCGACAGCTCCGTGTCTTCGTACAGAATTAACTCTTCGAGACGAGAGACGAGGGCGGCAGCAGTGGGTCGCTTCTTGGACGATCGATCCAGCATGAGCAGCAAGAAAGCCTGTACATGTGGAGCGAGCGCATTGTTACTGCGAATTAGATGCTCTGGCACGTCATATTCAATTGGACAGTCCAATCCGAAGAGCATCTGGCAGGCGCAAACACCAAGATCCCAAATGTCACGTTTGCGGCTGTAAGACAACGGCTGGTCGATGGACTCAGGCGCCTTCCACGCATCGGGTGGTGCTTCATCTTCCAGTGGGCCGACGAGGTCGTTGAGCGGGTTAGATTTGTGCATGTCTTTCAAGCGTCGAGCGTAGCAAGCACCGGCAAGACGAACGATAGGAGCAACGCCAGCAGGTGTTCGACCCTCGACATAAATTGCGTCGGTATGGATGCCGCGGTGGACGAGATTGCGTGTGTGAAGTGAGTCGACCGTCTTCAGCAAGGCTAGAAGGTAGTGACGGACACGCTTCCACGGCAACGAGTCGCACTGCTCGAGAAGGTCTCGCAGACAGAGGCCGTCAGTGCGTTCAATGACAACGCTCAGCTTCCAGCCCTGCGGATCGGTGACACGGGTGACGGCACTGGCAAGCACGTTGATGAGACCAGGCTCGCGCACTTTGACAAGCTTGTCGAACTCGAACTCGACCTCTTCCACCTTGCGTTTCCCAGCCGAGTAAGCATAGTGAGGCGAAGTAACGAGGTAGTGCTCAATGATCCAGGAATGAGAGGGTGCACGCGAGTCGGTGGGAGGATCGTGTGCAGGCTCGGCCAGATGACGTGTTGCTAGACCAGCGCTACTGAGAATAGGGCCAACACGAAGCACCGAAGTTACTCTGCCATTGTGTTCGATGGGCTCGAGGAGAGTCTCGATGCGAGAAACATCAGCTGCTGCCGTTTCAGCTTCAGAGGGAGAAACAGAGCTGCCTGCGCTTTTGTTGGGGCTGAGAGGACCATGTTGACCAAAGTAGCTGCTTTCCCGCTTGCGTTCCTTCTCTTGCTTGAGCAAAGCAGCCTTCTTGTTGGCTTCCTCCTGAATGAGCTGAGCGAGCTGCTCGGAACGTACGGTCTCGGCGTGCTGTCTTCGGAGGATCTCCTGCTGCCGTTCTGCTCGTTGACGTTCCTGTTGTTCCTTGGCACGTTTCTGCATCTCCTCTTCCAAGCTGAGCGACGGTGCGCCATCCTTGACTTCCTTAGGGACTGTATTGTTGATGCTGATGAAGTCCTGCCCTGCCGTGATTAGCTCCCAGATCATTTCGGCGCCCAACAGCGACTTGGCTTTTCGGTTGAGCTCATCGCCGAGCTTGTTGATGTGATCTGTCGACAAACCTTTGTGTCGGCCATCGTTCTGCTTAACAACGATAGTTGGTGTGACGAGAGGGTAGTTCTTGGGCAGACGAAACACGACGTAGGCACAAACCAGCGCTTTCAACCGCTCCTCATCGGGACGTACGACGACCTGAAACTCGTGTAGCTGTGTAGTGGCAGCACCCTTCCATGCTTTCTGCTCGACTCTTGTAAAATCTTGGTCAAGGATGGATTCGATAGCTTCGATCTCGGTCTGCTGGAGCTCGGCTACCTCCTGCGGAGTGAGTGAGGGCGCCATGATGGGCTCGAAGCTATGGTATCATTTGACGATGTTTGAGGTGGGATCAAGATGCGTGCATGCAGGTCAGTGAGAGCAGTGTGCTGCTCAGCTGCGTCTTCATGAAGCCAATGGGCAACTCCACTTGCGTGGAGCTGGTTAAAGGCTTGTCTCGACGGGCATCTCCAAGGGTGTTGTCAAGGTATATATGAGAGTCGATCGGTCGGTAATGGTGGTGGAAAGCTGAGTTGTCGTCACGCTTGTCGCCGTTTCCAACCTTGTTTTCTGTGTCTCTTCCTTCGGCATTTTCAACAACGCACGGACAGAAAGTCGGCGACTTTTCCTTTCCTTTCTTTTTATTCATTGTTTTTTCTTTTTTTCTTTTTTTCTTTTTTTCTTTTTTCTTTTTCTTCATTTTTCCTCTACACCAACACCCGACTTCCGAGCACACCAGCCCGAACAACACTGAGAGTCGTGCGAATGGCACGTGCGCTCGTTTCAATGGTGGGCGAAGGCACGTGACCTGAGTCGTGTCACTTGATATTGCTCATCTCCTGTCGCTCTCGTTGCTTCTTCTCCATCATCTTCTCTCCTCCCTCTCGTCAAGTTCACCCTTCCGTCCCTCCCTTACCTTTCTCACGCTTGTTCATGCTTCTCACGTTTCGTTCTCTTTTGTACCTCGTTCTCACGCGCATTCCGCCTCGCTCTCACGCGGCGCTCGACCGGCCGTGCCTCTTACGGCCACGGCTGGGAGCCCGCAAGCGACTCACCTGAGTTAGGCAATTTAACATTCTGACACAGATTTCAGGCGCGTGAGATAACTCACCGTTGATGTCGACCACCTTGCTCCCTTCTTCTAGACACCATATACCTTGAAACGACCGCCAACATGTCGCTACTAGACAAGCGAAAAGCTTCGGCAGCGGTAGCGAGCCCTTCCAGCTCAACTGCTGCTGCTTCCGGCTCATCATCAAAGCGTGTTCGCATCGACGAGCCGCCCCGGCGTCAACGCAGACGTCAAGATACCGACTATTTCCATGGCGACCCTGAGCTCGAAGAGGAGGAACGACGTCGGATACGCAGAGATCAGAAGACTGGACGCATCGATGATCGCGGCGAGGACCTTTCAGAGTCTGACGAATCCGATGGCAACGGTGCTGATCTATTCAACGCCGACGAGGACGACTCCGACGCAGAGGCAGATGCAGGATCACATCGGCGAAGAGCAGAAAGGAAGCGCAGGCCCGATGCTGCAGGTGCAGGCGGCGACGATGACGATGAAGATATGTTCGATATAGCAGATGATGACGATGCGCCAGCAAAGAGCAAGGGTAAGCAAAAGGGCAGAGCAAAGGACAAGTATCTCAAGCTGGGCCAGTTGGAAGAAGGCCAAGATTTTGGGTCAAAGACTCGCTCTGGTGTCGATGCCGCCGATGACGATGCAGAACTGCTCAAAGGTGCTGGAGATGACGACGATGATCTCGATCCAGATCTCGAGTTAGAAGACGAAGATCAAGAAGATGATGACGACCAAGAGGACCAAGATGCAGACCAGCAGAACTGCCTTGTCGACCTCAACGCCTACGCCGAGCGTTCGCCTCCATCACCCGGTCGCAGCACCACTCGCAAATCGAAATCAAAAAAGAACAAGCTCAAAGCGCCCAAAGTCACCGGCTTCAACATGAAAGAAGAGATGCGCACTGGCAAATTCGACGCAGACGGCAACTATCACGAGAATCAACGCGATCCTCACGCCCAACACGATGCCTGGCTAACCGGAGTTTACTCAAAGTCCAAGATCCTCGAAGCTCGCAAAGCGCAACAAAAGCGAGATCAGGAAGCAAAAGAGAAGGAGCAAGCTGCGCAGCAAGCCGATGGAGACGAAGATGAAGTCAAACAGAGGTTAGTCGAGTTCATGCATCGTCAAGAGAGCGTTCAGCGAACTTTGCAAAGATTAGGCAAGATTCTCTCGGAGAAGAAGAAAGCTGCAAAGGCAAGCAGAGCACCAGAAGACGAGGCAGAAGCGAAAAAGGCAGCTTCCGATGTAGAGACCGTCACGCATCTCTCTTCTGTGCTCATGTCCCGGTTCGGGAGGTTGGACATCTATGAACAGACCTACGAACAACTTTTGCGTGATGTACACAAATCTGGGCTTGTCAGACAGACCTTTGACCCTGCGGCAAAGTTCGACCCTCCTGCACCCAAACTAGCACCTGCGACCACTGCAACTTCAACCACAAACTCGACCGAGTCTGCCACCGCTACCAATAACGGAGATTCAGAAGGTGGCGAATGGGAATACCGCTGGACACCATCCTACCTCGCAACCTCAGCACGCGAATCAGGCACACCCGTCGATCCCGAAATCCAGACATTCGGTCCTTTCACACTCGCCGATATCATAAGCTGGGCTGAACAAGGCTACTTCGGCAACAACGGCGAACGAATTCTACTGAGATTGAACGGGTCAAAAGATGCGTGGATGACGTATGGCAAGGTTGTTGCTGCCAACTCGACATGAACGTAATATCATTGCCTGTCTGAACACACAGATGCATGAAAGCGTGGTCGAACTGCGCTCAAACTTTGGGTGGAGCGTCTTCGCTGGGCTTGACATTATCGTCCAGGGCAAGAATAGCGGCGGCCTGGCGCATTCTAGGCAACATGGCCTCCAACTCGTCAAGATCTTTCTTGAGCGAGGTGAACGCTTCAGCCTTCTTGTACTGGTCGTTGTGGATAGGTTCGTACTTGAGATCAACTTTGTGGACGGACTTTCTGGTCTTTTCGACGAGTGTCTTGAGGCCGGCGAGAGCTCCTTTCAGGCTTTTGCGGTTCTCGCGCTTGGTATCGGCTGGTGGTGGTGACAAACTAGCTTGGTCCTGGGGCTGTTGAGGCTCGGCTGTGTTCTCAGTCTCGGCCGCTGAAGTGACTATGGTTGGCTGGTCCTGCATTTTGAGGTTGAAGGTAAGGTCTTGTTGCGTCGAAGGGGATTAGAGTTCGAATGCGAGGGATAGGTGGATGGGAGAGAAGCTATGCAGCTTCTTTATATGCCTTCTGTCTCTCCCCGCGATGAAGCAAGGACCAGTAACTATTCACTTGGAAAGAGGTTCGCTCGGCGAGGGTCATGCTGGCAACACCCCACACAGGAGCTCTTGCAGTGATGAAGTAGTGTTTACGCCCTGTTTGTCGCCGCCATACAACTGGGAGCTGCAAATGCCCACCATCACGCGGTATGGGCGCGCTCAGTTCGGGTCCCATTTCTTACGCACAATTTCACAACACAGGCCGCCATTTACCCCTGACATCCTTCTATTTCTGTACTAGCATGCAATCCTCATTACGAAGCCTTCGTAGCCCCATCCAACCCAACGCCCCCTTGCACCCCTTGAGTAGGCAACATCATAAACACCTTCTGCCTCTGCCTCATAAACCTTTGAACCTCCTTCAGACCCTCCTTTGTCCCTCTAGCCTCCTTCAATCTCTCCTTGTTCTCCCTTTCTTTCTCCTTCTTCTCCGGTGCAGCCAACCCCACAAACGCTTCTTTCAGCCTCCTCGTAAAATCTTCCATCTCCTCTACCGTCTCCCTCAACCCATCTTCTTCCTCTTCCTGAGTAGCACAGAAACTGGACAGCTCCTGATCTAACCACTTCACTTGCTTCTTCACCTCCTCCTATTTCTTAGTAACCCTCTTCCACCCTTCCTCATCCGGCCCCTTCGTCTTGATCAGTTTCAACACGTCAACTTCTGACTTGATCTGGGCGAGATCGTCCTTCAAAACTTTAAGCGTGTTGTATTCTTTCTGTTGACGACTCGATAGCATGTTTTTGGGTCCAGTTAATTATTCTTTAGCCGACTTGACCGATTGTGCGTGTTCTTTTCTGGGGTGAAGTGAGGAGGGTAGCGAAGGAGCGGAATAGTGGTCCGACACGTCGACAATCATGTTGGCAAGAACGACAGGTGTAGTCGGAGCCAAAAAGATGGCCTTCAATGTGCTTTGAGCAGAGATTACAGGTTAGGATGGGTCTAAGATCTGTTGCTGAAGTCATCGCGGAAGAGTCGTGAATGAGAGGAGAAGAGGATAAAGTGGTGACGAGAGGGTTGGTAGGAGGAGGAATCGGGAGTAGGGGAAGACCAACTTCTGTACGCAGAAGAGAGATCACCCTTCTGACACATGCCCAAACCTCAGTTGCGCGTGGATGTTGGAGGGAGTGGAGACAATGGCAACGACCACGAGAGCCTATCTTTATTACTTCTCGCCGGTCTGAAGGGCGTGTGACAAGGAAAGGATGGGCAAGGCGACCGACCGTAAGGGCAGAAGTTGACATTCTTTCATCAATTTCTCGCATTATGAAGGCCCATTGTACGCACACTTTGAGGTTGGCGACTTGCAGCTTCCCTTTGTTGCCCACCCTTATGGGCGAGTAAGACACCTCCCTGTGTTGTCGCAGACGTGCAGGTGATTTCCGAACTCGTCCTCCTCCGCACTCACTTAGGATTATTGTGAACCAAGCCCAGAGCTCAGCCAAAATCCGGGCCCAAGTCGAAGCGAGAGACTGCAACGAATCGTCACGCGTAAACATTTTTCCATGCCACATTCTTTCATTCTCGTCAACTAGAATCAAGGCGAACGCAGAGTTCAGGCTTTTGGCAGGATCAGGGACGAATTTGTGATGAGATAAACGAAAGTGTATTCTGAATATTAATTGAGGATACAAGATTTGTCGGAGATGAGCTTGGAAATGGCAGGTGACAGGATGAGAGGTGGAGCGATCAGAAGTCCGGAACGATGCATGAAAGGGATGCGCTAGACAGCAGCGGGAAGTCAGTGTGCTTGAAGCGGAATAGAAGTCGGAGGTAATCGTCTCGAGATTACAACAGGGTCGAACAATATGTTGGAGCGAATAGCATGGTCGCTTGTCACTTGCGACACGGACTTGAATGGTAGGACGCAGTTTTATTACGTATGGCGACGACGAACGGTATGTAAAGACAGCGGATGGATGTGGTACTAATGAAGAAGAAACCAACTAAGTCTTGCGCTTTTATGCGTCTACTAACCAAACCCTCAACCCGCATGCATCAAGCTCTTGTCCTTCGCACCACCCTGAATCGCCTCTTGAAGCGAAATGAACCCTAACCACCACTGCTCTCCCTCGTGCGCAATTAACTCACGCGTTCAGATGTCCCAAGAGCTGCAGCCCAACATTGTTTGCACCTCGTCCTATCGCATCAAAGAAGCTTGTGATTGCATCGTCCCTGATTTGGTAGAACCTCTGCTCCTCAGCCAGATCATCCTCATCAAGGTGTTGCTTCTTGAAAATAAGCTCAATACTTTCCTGAGCATCGATCAAGAGCAAACAGAAGCAGCGTGCTTGGCAAGTTTCGGCATCACGTCCGATTTCGTAGCTGCAAGGGTTGCAGATTCTAGGTGTTCGGTCGGGGTCATGAGGAGTCGTCTGCTGCCGACTGAGGGAGAGATTGGTGAAGAGCGAGGTGAAGTCATCTTGCTGAGACGGCGGCTGCTGCGCAGGGTTACCGCCGCTATTGGAAGCGCTTTCGTCTTTCATCGTGTCCTTATTGAATGAATCTGATTGGCTTCTTGTTGTTGTTGAATTGTGTAGATGGTTTGAGAAGCTTGAAGTAAAAGAAACTGAAGCAAAGTGATGAGGTCTCAAAACAGACCCAGAAAGCGCAGTTTGAAACCTTTCCTTCCACTTCCGCACTTGTCTTATTCCGCATCGCAGCAGCTGCCGAAAAGGAAGCGCAGCGTGGGAACAGGCTGAGCTTACCTGTCTGAGATCACATTCAGCAGAAATGACTAGAGTGTGACACTTTGCAAGAAGCGGATAAGTTTGGGGCTGAGGTCGGATACGAGCCAATGCGGAGCGGTGTGATGAGGGGTTTGACAGCATGGTTGCTGAACACAGGAGGCTCAATTTAGGTTGCTGCTGGAATAGCGTGGTCCTCTGCTTTTAGGATAACGCTTATGCTCAGATCAGGCGAGAAACAGGCAGGGAGCTTTGATTGGATGTCACAGCACAGACTCGACGAGAAGGAGGGGGAAGGTGAAGTTTGAATTGCGGAGAGGGGAACACTATGACGCGGAGCGACGAGAGCGAGCCTCGATCTCTGAACAGCTAGAACAAAAGCTACGGACACGGTGGCAGACGCAAAGAAGGAAGTGTGAGGTAGGCGGAGGGTGTAGAATTCGCGAGACATTCGAGATGCAAGATGTGGGGAGGAGAATGCTGCGAGCAAGCAAGGATGGTTGTTAGCACCATTGACGACCCTGGTAGAAGGTGCATAAAGGTGAGGTCACTTACCTTTGAGGAAGCAGGGTTATGGCTGTCGTTGTCCTTTCACTCGGGCTGGGCTTCAGCAGTTGCAGCATCCTCCGTCTTAGGCTTGATAAGCTGAAGTGCAGACATGACAGCGGTAAATGCTGCCAACGAGCAGGGCTGCTGTGGACTATCCTTGTCGCGAGTGTGCGAAATGATGAAGTTTTTGACGGCGTTCTCCATCTCAACGCGACGCACACCGTTGCAGTCCTTGCAATTCGGCTCATGATCTTGCTCGAACTCTCCATTCCACATTCGTTCCCCACATTCACAGCAGTGCTTCTTGAAATCTTTGGCAATGTGTGGCCTCATTTTGTTGTTGATGGGCGGCGGAAGTAAAAGGAAGAAGAAAGGTGGCTCGAAACGTTCGCTGAGAGCGACGAAGGGTCTTGAATCAGCTCACAGATAGGGAGTCAGATTGGCGAGGCAATATACCTTCGTCGAGTTAGACAGTGTTTGGCTTGGATTGTAGTTCTGTAGAGACTTGGTTGCTTGAGGATGGATCGGTTTCCGTCTCGAGTTGAATAAGCTCTACAAGGTGGATGGCGAGTGATTGGTGTGGGGACGGAGATAGGTCGAACACGGTGAGTTATATATACCTTCACTCACTCTCAAAACAGGGCTTGTCAAACGTTTTACGAGACAGCGCTTTCCGCATCGATCCTCTACCCGCGCTTTTTGGTTCCGCACTTCTTACTCGCTCTCTAGCGGCCTCACCCTTTCCGCATCACCCTCTTTCCGCTCCCACACTCTGGCGTCGCTGTCTAAACCTTGAATTTGTATTGCGTGTCGTGATGGAGGTATGCATCCGCTCAAAAGGCGCTCCGTCGGCATCCGGACTCTTAGTGAAGGATCGGACTGAGCCGAATTCGGCCGAATCCAGCTTCGAAAGTTGATCTCTCTGTCAATCATACCGTCGTTCAAAGGTGTCAGCATCTAATCACATTTCCGCCCTATTCCCGAGAACTTGTACTTACCAATACCATCAGGAGGAGCAGTAGGCGGCAACTTATCCGCAGCCACTATTTCCGCAACCGGCAACCAAATCGTCTTTGTCAGCTCTTCACCCTCCTTCACCGCACAGCCAAGCTTTGATACTCACCGTAAATAGCAACCTCATACAGCCCCTCTCCATGTTCTTCAATCCACTTTCTATCTTCCTGATCTTCCGCCACCTTCACCACTACTCTTATCAAACCTTTTCCTCCAGCAGGTGTTTCGTGATGCGAGCTGGTAGCGATATCCGCTGCTACGTCTGCGTCAGGTTTCTGCGTTAGTGCTGGTGAAGAAATTAATCGGTGTGGGATTTCGTTGGGTACGAGCTGAAAGTCGGAAGTGATAGGAAGAGTGTTTGGCTGAATTGGTTGATTGAGAGCGAGCGAGGCGTCAAGGTAGGCTGTGACGGTGTCTTGGGAGTAGATCAGTGTGATTTCTGCGATTCCTGGTGAATGGTTTTCGTGGTGGGCATACCTCATTGGTACGCGGAGATGACGAGGTGTAAGATCTGCGCACCAGAACGGAACGTGTGAACGAATGTTGCCGACCAGCAGCTTCGAAGAAGGAGACAAGGAAGGAGGAGAGGGAAAGGTCACTTTCCACTTGATATCGTCTCCCGACATTGTTCTCCTTCCGCCCTCTTGTGGTATTTGGTACAGCAGTCGAGGAGCGACAACTTTCGTTTCACCTTTCCCTTCCTGCCTACTCTGCAGTTCTTGCTCTGCAGATTCGCGCAGCCGTCGTGCATTTTGATTGATGCTTTCGATTGCTCCATCGCTGATGCCATCCAACAGGCACCAGTCAATCCATCCTGGTCGCGTATTGTACCACCAGTGCTGCTTGCGTCGTGATTCAAAATCGTGCTGCTTCTCTCTTGACCCTGGTGCAGGCGCAGGCTCGAATTGGATCAGCTCGATGTACACTCCATCCGGGAAGACGATCAGCGCATTTGATGTGAGACCGTCTGCATGTGTACCGCCACGTACAACCTGAAACCCGAGCTCGGAGAAGATCAGGATCGAGCGTTCGATGGCAGACTCGCGCTGCAAAGAAGCGGTAAGCGGATCGTTGACGAGCAGGATGAGATGATCCAGCGCTGGGAGCAGATTTAAAGGAGCTGTCTGCATCTTGGTTCGCAGCCATATCGTCGAGACAGGACAGGCTCGAGCAGGTAAAGCAAATATATAGGATGCAAGCTGGGAGGCAAGAAAGCAGGCTTCGTGGACCGTGCGCATGAGCGCTTGGCTCGAATTGGCGATTTTCCTGTTACTTATCTTCCGCCGCCATATGACATGTTTGACAGCTCGGACCCTGAATTCTTCCCTCTGCTTCGTCAAGAACACAAAGCAGAACTAGCGCACAAGCTTTGCAAGTTCATCAACATCAGACAATCCTAGATGCTAAGTTGTTCATTCCAATGTTTCTGATAGCAGTCCGGCAGCTGCGAACAGATATCGCAGACAATTAATACGTAGCTGAATATATGTAAGTCTAATTAAACGAGACACAGAAGGTATACTTGGAACATGACTGTGTGTAGCTGAAGGTTGCAAAAGGCCGACACACACGGCAGCACTCCCTGCAGGCGACCGGCAACTATGGCTTCCACCACTTCTTCTTCTTGCTACCCTGCGCAGACTCTATGCTGTTGTTCCCACCATTGCTGTATTTCGCCGCCGAAGCTGCCGCTGACGAGGGGACAAGAGGCATGGAGGCCGACGGTGGCAGTGAGGCGCGGGTCTGAGCATATGCATCCTCCATGATCGACCCGAACCCATCCGAGCTCTCCTGTATCTCATGCTTTATGCTGCTCTTGCGGCCTGCTGGAGAATGCGGAAACGAGTAGTTGCGGGGAACAGGCTGCTGATCCGACGAATGCCTTCGATTGAACTCGATCTCACTTGACCGCCCGTTACTCGGCAGGGTGCCTCCCTGGTGGCGCGTGCTTGGGGCAGCGGTAAACGAAGCACGTGGGCCTTGCCCCCTTGCCTCTGATTGTGCATCATAGCTCTGTCCTCCAGCAGCGTCACCAGTGTTGTTCAGCTGAGAAATGTGTCGAGTAGCAGTGGCGGGAGACATGGCAAGCATCGACGTTTGTCCACCAGATCCTGCCAACTCAACTGACTGTCGTGCGCTTCTGGACAACGGCGGCGACGAAGCTTTGGGTGAGGCAAAGCCGCGCTGTGGGTACACGGGCTCAAAGGTCGAGCCATCGTCTGCTTCCAGCAAGGCACCCATTGGCTCTAAGCCGAGTGCCGGTCTTGTCTCACCGTCGTCCATAGCAAACGAAGCAGGCTCCTCGGTTGCGGACAGATCACCGATAGGCACACCTGAAGGCGCCGCGATACTTTGCGAGCGAGATCTGGAGGCGACTGCAGCCTCTTCTTCCGCGCGCAGCATTCGGTAAGCTTGACGAAGCTCGTCATCCGAGCCATGGTCATCTTCTTCGCCCCGAGGTAGAGAAAACGTGTGACGATACGGCGAAGAGGCCGCAGATGTGGGAGCCAAAGGTTGAGCAGGGGATGGCTGGCGTGGCGTCATCGTGTTGCTCTCGCTCATCTCGCCAATCCTTCTGCCAGCCGCAAAGCCTTGCTCCAGACCGACTCCGCTCGGATAGACAGGCAATGAAGCTTCTACTGTGCTTTGGGATGGCCTGCGACTCGATCGCGAGATGCCAAGACTCTTTCTTCGACTGCTTCGAGGAGAATCGCGCTCCATGTCGGAGCCAGTGCGTTCCACATATGCGTCACGTGCGGAGGCGGAGTCGGCCATCCTCGACCGAGCATTGGCAGCACTGACAGTAGCTCGGCGGCTTCGCATGCAGCTTGGTGAGGATCTTGGCGAAGCATCGCCGCCATCTCCAGGCACAATCACTGTGCCAAAGCTTGACGTTGAAGACGAGAACGATCCTATTGAAGTGTCACCTCTTTCGACACCTCGCAATGGCGAAGAGCCAACAGTCGACGATGCTGAAGAGCCACCGTAGCGAGATAACGACGGCATGACGCTTCGTTGTAACCGCTCGAACGGAATCGGGCGCGGATCGTAGCCAGCCTGCTCGATGCACATGCCTGCGGCATCCTCGATGCGACAGCAGATCTGAACGAATTCGTACGTCTTTTGCTTGATCCTAGCTGTGTCGCTGAGGGCTCCTTGAGCCTTACTCTCACCATTGTTTGAGGCTGTCGTCGAGTCAGACTGATGCCCTTCAGCCCACGCGTTGATGCCAGATGCGCCGGCGTAAAGGTTCGTGCCTTCACGCTCCTCTGCAGCATCAACGATGAATGAGACAAAGGACGCCAAAGTCTGAGGCTGGTCGAGCATGTACGGTGGTTTGGGAATGGCCTCCCGATGCAATGGTGATAGTGAGGCTAGTCTGCGTTGTGCCGCTGCCTGCAACTCCGAGTCATCTTCGATGCGCGTTCCCAAAAGCTGCACGGGCGCAGCCGTAGGCGGCTCCGTGGAGACTACGCTGATGTAGTCGTCATAGGCGGAAGAGTAGGTGCGTAGCAAATCGCTGAGCGGAACCAGCTCCCAGTCCTTGTCCTTGTCGAAAGCCGTCTTCTTGCTGGCGAGAGCAAGGAGGACCTTGCTGAGCAGCAGCAACTTGCGCTGTGCGCCTCGACCAGGTTGCGAGGGTGTCAAACCGTACAGCTGAGGAGCGTTGAGAGCTGCACAAAAGAGTCGCAGGAACACAAAGGCACCAACACCCTGAATACCTGGACGCGTCGACTTGGAGCTTCGGTAGCGCTCGTTGACCTTGCATCGAATCTGATGAAAGACTGTACGCAAGTCCGGTGGGCAGCTGTGACGCTGGCGATAAATGTTCTGCCACATGGTCTCGCTCAACTTGCGAAGCGAATTGGTGGTCACGGGACCGTCGGGAATGGCATCGATGGCGTTGGCCGGCAGCAAAGGTGGAGAGCGGATGGAAGTGCTAAAATCGAAGTGGGCATCATCGCCTCCGCCAGAGCCAGCACTGCCATTCGACATAGCTGTGTCGGGATGGGAGGGAGCATTGGGATCATGACAGATCTTGCGGACAGTGGGTCCCAAGCAGTCATCGAGCCAGGAGAGAGCTAGTAACCTCTGAAAGTGATCCACCGAGCGGGATAAGAGTGTGTTGGCACGGAAGAGCAGCTCTGGCTCCATCTTTTCGCCCCAATTGACGCTCTCAGCCTCAATGAGCGATACAATGCGCTCGGCTATGGTACCCGAGGCAGCATAGATGCGAATCAGATGCGATATGATCAAGTCCTCGCGCATGGTGGTGGCGAGCTCGCGCACGATCTCGGGTGCATCCGTGTCATGGATCCTGCGAAAGACCTCTTCGTACATGCTCAGCGGCATCACGGCACCTTCTTGCAAGCGGATGGACATGCTGAGCTCGCCCACGATGCCACGTTGGAAGTTCGTCGGAGCTCTGCCGTCATCTTCGTCTGCTCCCGGCGGCGAGGAAGGATGCTGCTGCGACATGGAGGGAAAGGTGGAAACGGACCAGATCGGGAACCGGCCCTCGACCTCTTCATTCCTTCTGAGCGTTTCGATGGGAATCTCGACGAGTCCCAGTAGGATGTACTTGTGGGCGGTCTGCGATGGAGAACCAGCGAGGGAGCTCGAGCTTTTTTGCACAGGATGTAGCACCTCCACCACCAGTGACTTGGCATCTCCAACATCCTTGAGCTGGAACTTGTCGACGGCGAAGGCGCTGGCGCCCGAGTGTGCCAGGCTGGTGCGTGCCATCAATTCGCCATCGAGACGAATACGACAGTAGCGGTCGAAACGCACCTTTTCGAAACGATCCTTGTCATCGATGCGGCGTAAGTTGGATGGCCGTGACGCAGTGGTGTAGGCGGACGTGGCACTGGTACTGGGATGAATGCTAGGTGCCGTCTCGCTCGTAGCCGAGGGAAGGGTGGCGAAGCGATTTGCACCCGACTGTCCGCTCAGAGGCCCTGAGAGGTGGTCGCCATTCGAGTTGACGTCTTCGCTGGCCTGCGACTGATTGTCGTAGTGTGAAGCGGCACATGAAGCAGGGCGACTGGAGCCGCTGCCGGCATTGTCGTCGAAATCGTGCTGAGCATGCATGCTGCTGACGGAGGACTTGGCGTTGTGACGCAATCGAGAACTAGGTCGCGAGCCCGAACGCGAGCCTGCGCGTGACGATCCCGACATTGCGTCTTCCGTGAATGGCTCTGAGCCAGGAGAATCGTCCTGATCTTCGTAGCGTAAGGACGATGGATGGTGGGAAAGAGAGCGAGGCACCTCACTGCTGGTCGCGCTTCCGCCTGCGAGACCACCAGTCGGTGAGGCGGGATAGAAGTTATGCGCTCTTGAAAGGTTGGTGGATGATGCGGCGTTTGCAGATGTAGGCTCTTGGCTGGAATCGAAGATCTCAGTGGGCCACCTGGGCATGATGTTCTTGGCGTCAGAGATGGTGATTTCGAGCTGACGGAAGAGACGGTGGGTACCGCCAGCATCGATTGTAGCCGGCGAGCCATAGATCTCGGGGCGGACATAGATGCGCAGCAATGCTCGAAGGTATTGACGTTGCTCCTCGCTCTTGAACTGGATGAATATGGGCTCGGAGCGCTGAGATCGTTCTTTGAGCATGGCCGCCTCCTGTTTGCGAGTGGTGATAGAGACTTGGGTCTTGGCGCGTGTCTGTCGAGGATGAATGGCTAAGACGTATGGTCTAGCGAAGAGCGAGTCGTCCACACACCGGATATCTGAGGTGTACAGAGCACCGCAATGAAGCGTGTGAGCAAGAGCGTTGCTGTCACCAAAGATCGAGAGACTTGCGTTTTCGCGAAAGAGAAGGACGGCGCGCTTCCATTGACCTAAGGGCCCAACGGACGAGGAGGGTGTGTTGAGACGACTTTTGCTCGGCTTTTCGCGCAACCAGGATGATCCACCATGTCGGAAGCCGAAGGAGGCGCGTTCAAACAAAGCTTCATGGCCGGGTTCGGCTGCTCGATTGCTGGAAGCAGAAGCACGCAACGAGAGTTTCTGCTTGACATTGGCAGCGTCGCGGAAGAGAGGCGCTCTTGCCAAAGTAGACGAGGCGTTCTTTCCTTGTGAGGGCCACCAGATGAGAACGTTGATTGCGATCTCGGCATTGGCAGCACTCGTTGAGCGTGGGCTGCTGTTTATCGAACCGGAGCCAGAGCGAAACCGGGCAAAGTTGGCATCACGACGAGCTGCAAAGGAAGAGGAGGGGACCGATGAGTCGAAAGCTGCGAGATTGTGCCTCATGTCGGCAGTACTTGGCGATGATGCATTCGCAGGGTGCTTGTAAGAAGAGTAAGAGGAAGGCGAAGCAATGTGCGAAGCGGTGTTCGATCTGGGTATCGGGACTGCGAAGCGCGACGAAAGCGAGTTGGCGTAGGCAGAAGGATAGCTTGATGGAGATGATGAGTGCACGCTCCGACTAGATGGGCTGGACAAGGATGAAGTAGATGGTAGTTGAGCTTGGATATAGGCGGGGACCGAGTCATCGATGTTCGACGTCTGCCTAGGTTGAGAGGGAAAAGAGTGAGAGGCAGCCAGGGTTGAGTCTGGCCCTCGGTTGGAGGCTCCGACACCAGTTGAAGAGGAGGAGGACAAGGAAATGGCGGTGTTGGTGTTGGTGTTGGTGGTGGTGGTGGTGGTGGTAGTGGTGGTGGAAGAATAAGAGGAGGAGAAAGGTAGGCGGCTGACATGCTGAGCGCCAACACTAGAAGAGGATGGAGACGAGCGCATGAAGCGATGTTCGTGTCCCGGAGAAGGAGCATGGCGCGCTGTCTGCGCCGTCGAAAGTCGAGATGCAGGTGGAGTGGCAGAAGAGGACAATGCGTTGCTGTTTGAGCTCGAATATGCGGAGGAGGAGGCATGAGCAGGAACTTGTGGATAGACGCGATCCATGCTGGTGCGCTTTGACCGCCTGTCGGTATTGGAATCTACAGAGACATGCCTGTCCATGTATGCGGAGGAGAAGCTGGAGGAGTCAGAGTTGGGCAGCTGTGATGACGAAGGAGCTGCAGAATCGCCAGCAAGAGGCAAGAATAATGAGGATGAGGGGGCCGGGGCTGCATGAGACGTCAAAGACGAAGAAGATGTGGCAGCTGCTGCTAGTAGTGTTGTTGATGAGGACGATGATGATAAGGATGGCAGAGCTGGTGCTGCAGGAACATAGTCCGGCCAGAGAGGAGGTGCGCCACTCATGATCTTCTCGGACTTTGCGGGATGTTTGCTCGCATACTGGCGAAACGAGCCTGGTGTCGATCTATCTCGATGCTTCCTTCCTGCTCAATCGCAACGGTCAATGTGGTGAAGACGATACAACGAGCGAGGTTGTCGCAATCGATCCAGTTCGAAACTCAGCCGCGGATGTGATTCTAGGAGAGAGGGTGTGATGGGAGAGAGAGAGAGAGAGAGAGGCGCTTGTGTGACTTTAGCAAGCCTTGTCACTGGAGAGGGTCCAACGTTTGCCTATCACGCTGTCTTTAGAGAGACAATTCCAAAGCCAGACTCTGAGATCTCGCATACATCTAATCCCGCTCTGAGCAAAATCGGGCAGATCTGATACTTTATTTGGTTCTCTCTTTTCTTTTCTTTTTCTTTTTTTTTTCCCCCTTTTTTCACGAGACGTTGGCTTGAGCCGCGGATCTCTGAACTTGCAAGATCGGGAACGATCCGTTTACTGAATCGGACTCCGCTTCAATACCCAAAGCATCAGGCAAACTCAATTGCAGACAATGCAGATAGCACACTCCCAAGACAAGGGTTCTAGTAGCAAGATTGGATTTTTTTTTGTCGCTTGGTGTGTGTGTGTGTGTGTGCATGTGCGTAAATGGGGGAATGATGAGGAAAAGAGAAACAATTACACAACGTCCTGATGGACGTTAGATGAAAGCCATGACCAGGATCAGCGACAACCTTGGTACACGACAGACCACAGAGGCCCTATCAATGTCGAGACGCTCCGGGAACTTTTTAGGTGGTGATGGTAATGGTGGTCTGATAAACAAGTCGTGATAAACAAGTCGAATGAGTGCTGGCGACTTGACTCCGTATCAAGGAAGAAGCGTGCTGAAGGAGGGAGCAAGAGGTCGCTATTTTACGTACAAAGACACGCTTAGTTGTCCTGAGAGAACATAAAGGTGACATCACGGCCAGTGAGCTTCTTGTAGACCGACGAGAACGAGTCGAGCTTGTACTCGAGCGAGGTGGCGTCCTTTGAGTCGAGGAAGCACTTGATCAAGCGGCTGCCGTCAGTGGCAACACGAGTACGCTTGCCCGTGATCTCGGAGGGGTAGACGAGGTCCTCAAGGATCGACTCGTGCACGGCGGTAAGGGTGCGTGAGTGAGGACGGGGCTGCTGGTTACGCGTCTTACGGCTGGGCTTGCCGAGGATACGGCGCTGGCCGACAAAGACAACGTGGCGGTCCGAGAACTTCTTCTCGAGCTCGCGCGTGAGACTGCGAGATGCAAGACCAAACATGTGACAAGAGGTATCAGTATCGCTCTCTCGGTGTTGTGTACGAGACCCTTGCCAACGACCACGACGCTGCTGCAGAAACCACATCCCAAGTTGTGCAATCTTCCGACTTCTGCCAACGAGCCCTGATAGACCACAGGGCGGTTCAACAAGTTTAGCTAGGATCTGCCCACCCTCGTCCTACCGGGTCCATTGTAGTTTTGTCCGTGTCCGGCGTCATTGCTGTAGATTGATTGTCTTCCCATCGCCTGCAGTGAGCCGTTTTGGTTTGCATTTGTGCCGAGGTTATAACCCTTGAGCCATCTGTTGCGATTATCCTCCTTTGAATCTGCCATGCTGTCTTGCTGTCATTGCCAATGTTGTCTGCTGTTGCGTGTGGTCGCTGTTTGCCCAAGGTCATGTAGATGCTTACCGCTGCTGGATCTTGTGGAAAGCCTTGAGCTGGGGCATGGGGACGAAGATGACAATAGCCTTCTTGCCGCCCTTAACCTCGATCTCCTTGGCGCAAGAGATCTGGAGGGGTCGCAGCTCGGCCTTGAGCTCAGAGACGTTCGACTCAAGGTCAAGGAGAGCCTGAGCGACAACGGTCTCGACCTCGTCGGCGGGGCCGGTGGGGGCGTTAGCCGTGCGGAAGATCTTCTGCTGGACGGAAGCCATGATGACTATATGAGGACGGAGTCTGTTTTACAGTCCAAGAAGGAACGGAAGCAAGAGTCAGCTGGTCTGGTGTGTTGAGCTGGAAGCAAGTCGGCAGCGCAATGTCATCGCAGCCATCGAAGCATCTAAAGTCCCTTGATTGTTGGGGGTCTGCCCGCATCATGACTTGTCGCAAGTCCGTACGGGTGGCTCGCCGTTTGCGTCTGGCGTCATATAAGTGCTATTCGCAACCCAAGTGTCGAGCGTGAGACGGTTAGGGCGAAAGGTGCATTCTACCTTTACATCCCAGCAGCAATCCTCGCATGCATCCGTTGGTCCAAATATGAAGACAGTGTAGACCGAAATATCAAAACTTTCCGACCGGCCTGCATTGAACGAGAATCGCATGTGGTCACAGCAACAGTTTGCCAGCAGGTTAAACGAGCTTTTCGTGTGCATCGATACCATGTCCATACGGTAGCTCATCTTGGCGATTGCAGCTCCAATCCTGCCGTGCTTGCTTTTCCCCGCTGACAAAGTTTACCGTCCTTGCGACGACCGAGACCCGCTGCTCCCAGACGAACTGCGGAGCGCGCTGCTGGTTCTGAAGATGATTCCCCCTTACTTCGACGATAGAATCCGCCCGAATGTATATATGCGGGTTGTATACGAGAATGCGAGGCGAATGACGATGTGATGTGGTGTGTCGAGATGCTGGTTCTGCTTCGTGGTTGCTGGCGATACTAACCTCCGTTCGGGAGATGCGACTGATGCTGATGATTGCGATGACAATGGTGACGAAAGAATGGCGGTGCCGCAACTTACCTTGAGGATGAAACACCGGGTGATGACTGGTGGAGAAAGGTATCGTGACAGCAAAAGGGCCAAGGTGGAAGTGGTAGCACTCACCTGCTTGCTCGCTCAACGATGTCGAACAGCTCTCACTCACCCACCCACCCACACACACACACACAATCACTCACACACTCACTCACTCACACAGCTCTCTGCCTGCCTGCTTGACTGTTGACGAGCCAGTTTTTGCGGTTTACGACTTGTGCTTGCCCACGGCTCTCTCCCCCTCTTCGTCTCTCATCCACGCAACCTTCTCATCAGGGTGAGCCAAGGCTCAGAATTGCTCAGGTCCGCGACCCTTAACACTGTACAGCAGTCTCCAGTTGGAATTGTTGAAAAAGACTCACAAAAGTACTCAAACGCTTGGACACAAAAGTCCTTTTTCGTGGCAAGTCCAATACAAAATATGTATTCAAAATGTTTGGCACGTGCAGAATTGGCATCGGCCGAGGCCAAAATGTAGCCAAGCTAAAAATTTGCAGCAGCACACGGCGACGAATTTGCGACCTGTTTGGGAAGAGCACAATCTGGGCGTAGCGAATTTAGAATTTCCTGCTTGGTGAACTGAAGGCGAGCAGAGTCTCCTGGGTGGTTAGGAAGCCTGTCTACGGCTCTGTCCCTCATCGAGTCCCTTGGCCAGCCAAGCGAATCAATCATCGAGCAAGCAGGCCAGCAACGAAGCAAGCCAACCCAAGAGCCTGGTCGACACCAAGATTCGAGCTAGACATCCTCCGTTCTCTCACCGATCCATCCTTCCTCAAGACATATCGATTCATCATGGGTAAGTCATCACCGCAAACAGCACTCGGCCACTACTATCACATCCTATCTACGATGACAGTCATACACCAGCACAGCAGCACCATCACCAACAATCGCAGCTCCATTCTGAAGCATATCAGCACGACCCGAGTTCATGAAGCGACCAGGAAGCATTCGATACACAGATGATAGCCATGAGGACGACACTTGCCACAGCAGCGACCATTGCACCGCCAAGGATTACCGCTCTATATTAGTCGCATCATACAATATAGAGCACATGTATGCCGCAAAGACAGGACACCCTCACTTATGATCATAGCAAAGTCAGGCGGACAATATCTAATACATATCATAGGAATCACTCGATGCAGACAGCTGTGCTTGTAAGCAGATGCGTACGCGGTTAGAACAAGGCCATGAATTGGACGTTGGACTGCGAAATACAGAGGAAGCAGCCTCACCATCGAATCGAAGTGGGTTCAAACTCAAGCATCAAATGGATATCTCAGGTCGTGTTCTTGCTAGCGCGGATGTAGCCCTCAGCTTTGTCGCTTCAGTCACATTCTGTGGACCCACTCGCAACAAAATCCTGCTCATGATCAGCAGTTGACGACGCTCCCGACAAACCGCAGCATCTAGCAATGACAGTACCACAAAGCTTTTTCAGCATCCTCGACACCCTCTAGCAATTTTCTTCGTCTTTCCCGACAAGACTGCGTCTTCTTTATCGTCCAACTATGTCGACTGCAGTGATCCAGATAGGATGCGATCAGAGTGGCTCTGCTGCATCACCAACGGAGAACGCCACGATTGATACCACATTCTTGTGTCGCTCTCTGGCCATATACAAAGCCGAATCAGCATTACTGACCTCATGCTGTATATCCTATATTGCACCATCCAACAGCTGTCGGAAAGAACAAGAAGCTCTCCAAGGGCAAGGGTAACAAGAAGAGGGCTGTCGACCCCTTCACCCGTAAGGACTGGTACGACATCAAAGCTCCCACCTTCTTCGAGAACCGCAATGTCGGCAAGACCTTTGTCAACCGATCCCAGGGTCTCAAGAATGCCGATGACTCGCTCAAAGGCCGTATCGTCGAGGCTTCCCTCGCCGACCTCAACAAGGACGATGAGCAGGCTTACCGCAAGTTCAAGTTGAAGGTTGACGGTATCCAAGGCCGCACCTGCCTCACCAACTTCTACGGCATGGACTTCACCTCGGACAAGCTCCGCTCGCTCGTCCGCAAGTGGCAGTCGCTCATCGAGGCTCACCAGGATGTCAAGACCACCGACGGTTACCTCCTCCGAGTCTTTGTTATTGCTTTCACCAAGAAGCGTGCCAACCAGGTCAAGAAGAACACCTATGCCAAGTCGTCGCACATCCGAGCTATCCGCCAGAAGATGTTCGAGATTGTTCAGCGTGAGGCCAACTCGTGCGACTTGCGCGAGTTTGTCGCCAAGCTCATCCCCGAGGTTATTGGCCGTGAGGTCGAGAAGGCCACCCAGGGTATCTTCCCCCTCAAGGACGTCTATGTCCGCAAGGTCAAGGTTCTCAAGGCACCCAAGGACGACCTTAACAAGCTTCTCGAGGTTCACGGTGGTGCTGCCATCGCTGGTGCCGAGGATGCTGGTGTTAAGGCCAAGGCTACCGAGTTCAAGGAGCCCGCCCCTCTTGCCTCCGTCTAAGCGCCTTCGCAATCCTAAATCACATTATCTTTCTTCATCATCATCTTTCTTCATCATCATCTTTCTTCATCATCATCTTTCTTCATCGTCATCTTTCTTCATCGTCATCTTTCTTCATCATCACCTTTCTAGCATTTGCAGCACCTCCAGACACACACACTCACCTATATTCTTTGGTCACCAAACCAAACAAAAGAGCGGTTATGCCCATCCAAGCGAGCCGTTCCTACTCTGTACAATGATGCCCCCTACATCGCCTGTTTTCGAAAATGCAATGATCTCAGGGATTGACTCCAAATCCAACTCATGTGTGACGCACTGTCAAGTGGGTCGTGGCATCCGGTTGGAAGCGGGCCGATGTGAACCTGTACATACCTGCGAATTGCTAAAAGCAAGGATAGTGAGGTCCATCTCAGCAGCGGAGCTTTCTACGATGTCCGCGGCAACAGAAGCCAGGTTGAGAAGAAAGGGTCGTGAAGCAGTTTTTCTGCTTAGCACACACACACACACGCGCACACACACGCGCACACACACGCGCACACACACGCGCGAGAACACCGTTCTGCCTCCACACCAACTTTTGCACTTCTCCAACTCTTGTGACTTGTCGTCCACACCATCCTCGCGACACTATCTTAGTCCAGCACCTTCGTCCTGTCTTCAGCACCGACCACCTACCCTGGGATCCTCCATTGCAATCATATGTCAAGATGTCAGCACCGCAACAACAGCAACGTATTCTCTCAAACCGAGAAGCCGATACCTTGATGAAGCAACAGAAAGCTAAAGCACTAAAAGAATGCAAAGCGCAAATGGAAGCTTTTGTCGAATGCTCCAAGCCTCGCACAATCTCGATGCTCTGGTCGTGTAGAGATCAGAAGAATGCGCTGAGCGAGTGCTTAAGAGTGTAGTAAGTAATCGCTTCTTGTCGAATTGCTAGAGGTAGGGGGAGATGTGCTGACATGCTTTGCCTTGTCGCTGTAATGGGGTAGTACGAGCGAGGAAGCGTTGGAGAAGGAGAAACAGCTTTTTTTGCAACAGGCAAGAAGCGGAGATGGAGAGAAGACCGTATGATAGTAGAGCAACGATCAAGCACAAACACTATAGAATGGATTGATTGACCACCACTGATACCATCAACTCAAGACACGTCTCATATGACTGGGCACTTCGCTCATCGCACGCACTGTCACACAAGATTCAAGTCACACAAGATTCAAGTCACGCAAGGATGAGGACACACCAGGAAATGGTCACACGGACGATGGGTTTGAAGCCATCCTATCAGATTGCTTGGAGGCAGGATCAAGGCGCAACAGAAGCCTTTGGTTCAGCATCCAACGTCTCCAGCCAGGCAAGGAACGCAGCACACACCTCGCTATCAGTCTTTTGCATGCTAGCGAGCTTGGCGAACGGTTTCCTGTCCAAATCGACTAGCTTTGTCTCTCCCACCACAGCTTCTCCGCCATGTTGCCGAAAAAATCGGATGAGAAGGGAACAGTCCTTGAAACTAGCCGAAACGAGGAAAGCTTGCACTGCGTCTTCCAGCTTCACATTTGCAGTGTCGACCTTGTTCGCGCTCAAGAAAGTCTCGAGGATTGGATAGAGCTGCGAGGATGGCAGGAGAGAGGTGAGAGCCGGAGGAAGATCTGCAGCCCGGTCGGTATGTTGACCGAGTGTGTGTGACTGAGTTCGTTGCAGCCAAAGATGGGCAAGGCCTTCGGCATCAAGCGGATCGAGACTCGCCTGCAGGTGAGCGAGACGGGAAAGCACATTGTCGCCACCTCCTCCGTTTGAAGGCGGAAGAGGCGTTTTCGACAAATGGGCTCCGTCCCCAGACGGAATCCAAGACTTGGACAGTTCAGCGAAGAGATGCATCGTCAACGCTCCTAACAGCTCCTCCTCTCCCGACCCTGTTCCGAGGAAGCTGGCGATCCTCTTGAGCGACTCCTGGTCATCAGGATGCACAAGTTGGCCATTCCAGAACAGTCTGAAGTTGTTCGTCTTACCGCCTGTCTGTTTCCAGTCGTCCCAAAGAGCTTTGATCGCCTTCTTCTTCCTACCTTCATCCTGGCTGTACAGATCAAGCGGATCATACAGCGCATCAAACTTTCCCTTTGTCATGCTCTCACCTGGCTCCTTTGTCATGCTCCCCCCTAGCTCCTTGGCATTAGCTACTCTGTGCATGCGATACCTCGAGTACTTGGCCTTGAGTTCGATGTTTGGCGAGCTAGGTGGAAGGGAATCAGTACGTGGTAGAAAGCCCCATTTTGGTTTGATCTCGACAGAAAGTACTCCTGCAGCAGAGGTCAAGGCGGAGGAGCAGAGGATAGGAGCTGTCACATCCTGCACAGCGTAGATGTACGTTAGTGCTTCAGCTCTGATTCGTGCTGGGTGAGCACGACGTGCTGCCGGGCGCTGCATTTCGATCGAGCCGGCAAGAGTGTCGATGATGCTGCGATCACGGGCTGTTCTGACTGCGATTTTGATGGTTTTAGGTAGGATCGCTGATGGGCCGAGGAGAGGAGTTATGACTTGCTGTGTGAATTGCTCTGCTTCTTCCTCGTCATCGTCTGGAGATTCAAAAGGGTTTGTGGAGGGTAGACTTTTGGGTATGCGCAATGCGTAGGTGCATGCTGGTGTTGCGAACGGGCTCTCTCCTTCGCCCGGAGAGGTACTGCGAGGGCTGAAGGAGAAGAGGACATTCTTGCCTCCTTCAGCGTGATATCTCCAGTCCGAAGGGTCAACAAGGTCCTGTACAGAGAGTTGGGTTGTGCCTTCGAACGGTGTGTGATGGACTCGAGCCTGCTGCGAAGTCGAGATCGTCGATTTGAAGGGCGTCTGATGACTCGGCTGAAACGGCGTCGGGGGCATGGTGGCTTATCACCGTCTTCAACAGCTACGAACAATGCTAGTTCCAACCAAGTATCGTCCTTGTGTCCGCTCGTTGTGTTGCAAGTATTGACATGAACGGATAACTAGGTTTGACAACGAGCATGAGTACAGGTGGAAGGATGTCAACCAAGAGGATCTGAGTTGGACCCTGAACACAGACTGCACAGACCTTCAATGAGGGGAAAAAAGAAAAAGAAAAAGAAAAAGAAAAAGAAACTGCAACACCTAGGATTCCCGCGTGGTCCCCCACCGCAGTACTGACTAGGCGATACCTTGCTTAACTTCGCAGATCGGACGGGATGCGGTGCTTTCAAGGTTCTATGGCCGCAGATGTTAATAGAGAGACTGAAGAAATATATTAATACAGAAAACAAACTCATTCCTCCCCCGCTTTCACAACATCGCTGTGCCTGACGGCTATATTCCCTCAGGTGTTTGAAGTCACCTCCAAAACGACTAGAGTCCGATCAGTTACAGAAGTTCAAAGTATCCATAGAGCATTAAATGAGCAGTGAGGTTGGGCGGGGGAGAAAACGAGGCACTGCCTGGCCTGTTAGAGGGAACGAGGGTGAAAGGCGGACAATGACACGAGCGTCGAGGGTCAAAGTAAGAAACCGGCGGCAGACTTGGACCCAAACCAGACGCTGAATACAGATTTTGTAGGTGAATCTCATAGTTCATGCTTCGCCTCATCAGCCTGCGTCCCACAGCTCAGCAAGATGTTGCCGTCGCCCAGAAGACCATCGCGTCCTCCATTTCGACCGAAGAAGCTGTCAACTTCTCCGCAGACTACGACAAGATCTTGCTCGCCAAAGGTGGTCCCGATGTCTTGCTCAAGCGTGCTTCTTCGGTTCTCGATGCATCGGGCGAGGTCGTCGCACTGTCTGATAATCTTAAGGACTCGATCGTGGCCATGCAGTCTCTCCGGGCTTCAAGAGGTCAGCGTGTCTTGCTTCTTGCTCGACCTGAGATCCCGGAAGTTGTCAAGACCTGCAGAGAGGGCCGGCATTCGCTTCTTCATGGTCACTGGGTGACTTGCAGCTCGCTGTTGAAGCTATCGCTCGCCAGTGTGGTATTGTCATTTCGGAAAAGGCGTTGCGATATGATGACCTCCACTCGATCGAGTTGCCAGTTTACGACACGCATGCCGACACCGATGCTCGTGCTCAGAACGCTCTCTCGCTTTCGGGACCTGATATGATGAAATTCAGCAAGGCTGATTGGGAGCAGGTCTGCCGGTTCGACGAGATTGTCTTTTCGCATACCACGACAGAGCAGAAGCTCGGCATCGTGAACGAGTTTCAGGCTCGCGACGAATGCGTTGATATGACTGGTGACGGTGTCAATGATGCTCCCAGTCTCAAGCAGGCCGTTATCGGTATCGCCATGGGTAGGTGGTTCTGCTCAGAAACAAAGGGGCGGCGCATGCCAGCTCGAGTCTGCCGATATGGTCTTGCTCGAGAACTTCAGCTCAATCGTCGATGCTCTTCTTTACGCTCGTCTCGTTTTTGTCAACCTCGAGAAGACGATCGGTTAGCTTTTGCCTGCAGGTTCCATCGCCGAGTTGTGTCCTGTCTTGATCAGCTTCTTCTTCGTGCTGCCTCAGATTCTCAGCAACTTGCAGATGATCTTCGTCTGCGTTCCCAGAGAGGCCATCTCTTCACTCAGCTTGGTCCACGAACAGCCCGAAGCCGACTTGTTGAAGCGCAAACCTCGTTCGGTCAAGAAAGATCGATTGGCAGACTGGAAGCTCTTGCTGCATGCTTACCTTTTCGTTGGTATCCCGCTTACTATCATCAGCTGTGCCATGGGATTCTGGTGGATGTCCAGGGCGGGGATCAAGTTCAGGGACATGTGGTTGACCTACGGAGCTGGTCGAGTAGAGACAACCAACCCCGAATACTTGAACGAGATCCTGAACCAAGCCAACGCAGTCTATTTCTTCAACTTGGTCATTCAGCAATGGTTCAACCTTCTCGGCTGGCGAACACAGCAGTGGCAACGAGAATAATGTTTACACAGGCATGCGGTCGAGTCCAGAGTAGAATCGTAAGTGTGGTGTGCAAAAGGAGCGCGGGGCGTTGAGCGGTACTTGAATTTGACGGGTTTTAGCAGTGGCGAGGTGATGTGTCCTTTCCCGCCAAATTGAGACAATAACGCGCTGGATCGCCTTATGCTCGGTACCGTCAAGGCTGTCTTTCCTGCCCCTTGCTACCCCTTTCGAATGGCCAACGCCACACATATCCGCGCTTGTCTGAGTTACCAGAGTTGGGCTGCTGCTGAACAGGCATCAAGCCTGCCAGTCATGAGAGACAGCGCAACGGTGAGATTGTGAAACGCGGATCTCTCGTGCGACTAGAGCGGATATTGAAGAGGCAGATGCACCGCATGGGAAAGGCAGTGAAAAAGAAAAAAAAAAAAGAAAAAAAAAAAAAAAGAAAAAAAAAGACACAATCCGACTCGGCTCTGCGCTTACACAAACAAGCAGAGAAGGAGGAGCGTAGCAGCATGAGCATTGTATGCATTGGGAGAGTGCGACAAAGGAGTGGAAGGGGAACGAACGATCGGGTATCCAGCCGCCAAGCTTCGGGATTTCAAGATGGTCAAAGACAAAGGGGTCCATGTGACAAAGGCAACAAGAAAGACTGTCCCATGCTGCCTCTTTGACTGGTGTGCCGCTTGCAGGCTTCAATGCCGCAGTGCTAGCGGATGAGCCGAAATTTCAGCGAATGGGAAGTTTCTGACAGGTTGGAGAGCGCGTTGTGGCGTAGCGGATGCGCCAAGCACTTTCCCTTGGACTCTCACAGTCCTACGGCCGCTCTGATTCGGACTCACCGAGAGCGAGCGATCCATGGCGTCATGAGAACAAGAAGGGGCACAAATCGAAGCAGGCGCTTAAAGGGCCCTTTGATTCATTTCGAATTTCACTAGACGAAATTGCCAGCAAGCCCACCTGCCTGTCCAGATTGGCAGGCAGATTTTGTTTGCACGCGGACGCAAAACAGCATCGATGCATACAAGCTGTCGCATGCATCACAGCCGAGCCTGAACCCCCACCGCTGGCAGCTGTCAGCAGAATCGATCACCTATCTGGCCATCCCTTGTTCCCTTGTTCCCTTGTTCCCTTCTCGGCGAACTTTGAGCTCCGGGCAAAGCTGTGCCACACGCAGTCCCCTTCCCTACTGCAGTCGGTGAAGGCTGTATGCGATGGAGGATTCATCAGTGAGGACCTCGATTCGTTTGCTCTTTGTATCACTGCAGGGCCAAGCATTGCCGCACGCCAGCTTGTCATGTCGGTAACGCTTCCGAGCGATGCACCTCTTCGCCTTGGTTCTTGTTCGGAAGCACCGACAAAGGCATTCTCTCGCCATTGCGCATCCCATCTGTTCTTACGCTCGTATACTGCCCCACCGATTGTGACAATGCGCCAAACGTGACCTTCCGACGGGATCACACACACATGAACAGCCAAGCTTGAGCTTGACTTTCGGTGCTTCCGATCCATTCAAAAAAGGCTGAGACAGCGAGGAGAGGGAGCAAAGGAGAGCAAGAGGAGGAGAGAGGTGAAAGAACTCCAGACAAACGGGCTTTGGCGAGTCAGTATACTTGCCGGACTGTCTGAATACAGAGCGTCTCTTCAAGGGTTACAGCCTGCGATGCCTACGCTAAAGAGGCGCACCATGGATTCCTTCAAGCCTCCTCACACATTCCTCCTTTTGATCGCGTTTCCCTTTTCACCTCGCCTCTTGCTTCCTTTCCTCTTCCATCTTTCCCTCATCCTTGCCTCTCCCTCTCCCTCTCGTGTGTATTCTGCGTTTCCTCGACCCCTTTCGACGAGCTGGTTCTCGCTTTCTCTCCTACTTCAATCCTCCCAATCCATCCTCTTTGCTGTAGCATACCATCATTTCGAACATCTCCTCATCTCTCGCTTCTTGCGCTTCAAGTTGATCCAAAGCACAAGTCTCTTTCACCTTCATCTATCCTTCTGCTATCTGCGTCTATCTATCGACTTTCGTTCTAGTTCAAGCCGGCCTTGTTCTCTTTCCTCAATCTCGACACCTCCATCTCGCCTCATCTTTCAAGAACACCATCACCATCACAATGAAGTACCTCTCTGCTCTCGCTTTGGCTTTTGCCGCCTTCATCTCCGTCGCCTCGGCTGGTCCCGAAGGTTTGGTTGCTATCCCTCCTGGTCAAGGTCGATCCAGCCGTGGTGTTCGTTCCGTCATCACCGGTCACAAGATTCGATCCCACGTTCACCACTCGCGCAGGCAGCACCACCATGTCGACCTCGTTCACATGGACCGTAGGCTCAACAACGCTACCACCAACGCTGACGACGACGAGGTTGCCGCCATCGCCGCCTCTCACAACAAGCGCAACACTTGCTCTACCAAGACCAAAAAGACCTCCGCCGCTTACAAGGCTAAGGGTAGTAACTCCAACTCCAGCTCTGGTTCAAGCTCCAACTCCAACTCCAACTCGAACGGCGACGATTCCAGCTCTGGTTCGTCTAGCTCCAGCTCTAGCTCCGGCAACGGCGGCAACTCGGGCTCCAGCTCGTCGTCGTCTTCCTCCTCCTCCAACTCCCCCTCCTCCTCCAACTCCTCCTCCTCCAACTCCAACTCTGGCAACGGTTCTTCCTCCAGTTCCTCGTCTTCGTCTGCTTCATCTTCCGCCTCCACTTCCAAGTGGAAGTTGGTCAAGTCGTACGCCGGCTCCTCCTTCTTTGACGACATGGACTTCTTCACCAGCGCTGACCCCACCCACGGCTCCATCACCTACGTCGGCAAGGACCAGGCCTATAATCAGGGTCTCATTAATAGCAACAACGGCAAGGCTACCATGAAGATCACCGCAAACAACGGCTGGGCCCAGTCCGTCCGTATCAACACCAAGGACTCCTTCACCACCGGTATCTTTGTCCTCGATGCCGAGCACATGCCCGTTGGATGTGGTGTCTGGCCCGCTTGGTGGTCCACCCCCACTAACCCTTCTGGTGGCTGGCCCAACGGAGGTGAGATCGACATCATCGAGGGTGTTAACGACTACTCGTACAACACCTACTCGGTCCACACCACTGGCGGTTGCACTGTCCCCAGCAAGCCCAACATGTCTGGCAAGTTCACCCTCCAGGACAACCGTGCCTACAACTGTGCTTCCGACGCTACCGGCAACCAGGGTTGCGGTGTCACATCCACCAAGGGTAACGACTTTGGTGTTAGCTACAACAAGAACGGCGGTGGCGTCCACGTCATGTACTGGTCTGAGTCCGATGGTATCTCGATCTACTTCTTCAGCAAGGGCAACGTTCCTGACGACATCAGCTCTGGCTCTCCTGACCCGTCCAACTGGGGTCAGCCCCAAGCACACTGGCCCGCTACTCAGTGCAACATTGGCAACTACTTCTACAACCACGTCGTCGTTTTCACCAACACTGTCTGCGGTGACTGGGCCGGTTCCGGCTCCGTCTGGGGCAACGCCATGAACGGCCAATCCCAGTCTTGCCAGGCTATGACCGGTCAAGGTTCCTGCCAGGCTTACCTTGGCAACAACCCAGACATGAGCGATGCCTACTGGACCATCAACTCGCTCAAGATCTACCAGACCTCTCGTCGATCTTAAGCGGCAAACAACCATCTCGTTTCTTTCTCTCTCGCAAAGGTGTAGCTGAGAACCCCTGGCTGGAACTGGGGTTGTTCTCTCATCGTAATGGATTCGCTTTCGCACATGTATACACACACCCATATTCTCTCTCTCCTCTCATCATCATCATCATTGCAATGTAGGCTCGCACTTTTCTTTGATAGAGAAGGCGGGCGCTCTTGCTCACTTTTCATTCACTTTTTCAAGTTTCTGCGTCGTCGTCGAGGCTGGTTTCTCTGACCGCAGTTCTCAAACTCATCCTTTTGCAATTTGCATTTCATCATCGAACATTCGTTCAAAACTTCTTTTACAAGTTTGATCAGCGTGTGAAACAGTCTGAGTTACAATAGAATATCCACAGTGAGTTGCGCTGTGTTCTCTGTTGCTACCAGTGTCGCGTGCAGACTGATGATGTGATGGTGTCAGTCTCTGATGGTGACCACAGCACAGAGGTCACGAATCTGATAGACATGTACGCCCTCCTCGCGATGCAGGTGGGGAACGACGTCGAGCTCTTGGTTGGGTAGGATGGTGAGCACACCTTCGAGGCCTTTAAGTTGATCCTCGTACGCCAGTTCACAAGTTGATCAAGGCGACACCCTGCAGGAAGAATTTTTTTTTATGGTGTCAATACGGCATCGTACCGGATCGCGAATCACTACTATGCACAGAAAGTCGCTGGCGAAGAATTCAGCCCTCATTTTCATTCTTGCAACGACAAAGTTGATGCAAACAGAGTTTGCAGTTGATCATTCCGCAAAGTGTGTCCAAGCTTGCTGTTCAACCAGAGCTTCCTTATCTCCCAGTAACCCATCCTCAAACCCAAGCGTCGTAAGAATGTTACGCGCAGTCACTTCGCACATCAAGGTCCTCGTCTCGACTATACTCGAAGCTGCATGTGGAAGTATCATAACTCGATGTCTGAGATCTGGAGCCAGCAGAGGATGTTCTGCATTGATGTGCGGTTCGCCTTGCACCACATCGAGCAATGCAGCTGAAATCTGGTTGGATCTGAGTGCCTTCTCAAGATCATCGTTGACAACAACGGTACCTCTAGCCACGTTCAAAAGTACCGAGGTGGGTTTCATCTTTGAAAAGACTGTTGAGTTGATGGTTGCGTTGGTGGAAGCGTTGCCTGGACAAAGGACGATGACTATGTCTGCTTGTGCTGCGAGTTCGAGGAGGTCTGGTAGGTTCTCGATGGTTGTGTCTGGGTAGAAGGCTTCTCGCAAAGCATGCAACCTGGGAAAGCTCTGAGGAGAGAAAGGATTGGATCGAGAGGTAGTATAGAGTATCCGAGAGACACCGAATGCAAGAAGCTTTTCCGCTGTCTTCTGGGCTATCCGGCCAAAACCGTAGAAGCACACTGTCTTGCCAGCCGGACTGAAGCCACAGTCGAGCGTTGGATCCCGAACGACATCGCTCATTGCCTGTGGAAAGCGATTCGTCATCACAACTTCTTGCAACGGAGCAAGTCTTCGACAATAATGCAAAAGCATAGCTATGGTATACTCTGCTACTGAATTGTCCCCGATGTAGGGCGTGTAACCGACCTTGATTCCTGCTTGACGACAAGCATCCTTGTCAACAGCATCGGTACCGACGCTGTACGTAGCCACAACTTTCAACTGTTTCCCTGCAGCCGCAATCTGCTCTGGACCGAATCGTCCGGCAACTGGCCATACGATCGCCGCGTGAGCTCCAGCGAGCTCCTTCAGAAACCATTCGTTAAGCTCGGGAAATGAAAGGCCATGAGGAGCATAGACGAGATTGATCCGACCTTGTGTTGAGAAGCTGTCCAGGATGTTGGACGGCAAGCTTTCAAACATGGCCACGATTTTTGGCAAATCGCCGGCAGATCTCGAAGTCATCTTGCTGATGCTCGTACCCCACAACTGGTTGTTCGACGTTCGCAGAAGTGACGTTGTTCAGCCGCAATGCAGGCGAGCTTGATCGTGTGAGGCGGGTCACCTTGTTGCATTCCCCCATATTGGCACCTGCTTTCGGCGTTTTGGCCGGCAGAAACGCTCGTGTTCCTGAACTGACACTCGTGCCATGGTGAAGTTTGTTAGGCCGCCAATAAACTCACCAAAGAAAAGAAATGGTCAAGGCAGAGAATATTTTCTCGTGCTTTCGCGGCAAATTTTGAAAATCAAATCCCGTGTCCTACGTTACACAAGAGCATGTATTCGCACGAAATCGCAACGTATCTCCTATGATTGCAACTGAGGTTGCTGAGATTGAGCGATGTAAGGGATGCGAGACAGGATAACGTGAATGCTACAGACCTCACTCTCATGGTACTCAGGAATTGGAACCGTTCAGGCTTGCTGAAATCTAATCAGGTATCTCGACAAACTCCAGAGCGACCTCGCTTATGTTGAAAGGCTTGTGTGCCATCAAAGTTTTTGCTTCTTTCGGTCTGCCCAATCAGGAAAAGATGTTGCCACGGACCATCAGTTGCCACGGACCATCAGAGCTGCTCAGCTGTTGCATTGTGGTTCATTGTGTCTTGGGTCATTGGCATTGCCATGAGAAGCCAAGGCGTCAAGGCAGCTACTCGCAAAGATGCTTCACGTGCGGTAGAGGGCGTGCGCGTCTGGGCTGAGCCTATCGGCCGTAACCCACATGCTACGTGGTTCCTTTGTGTGTTTTTATCTGGTTTTCTCTCGTCATCGTCTAGCCTCTTCTCCTCCATCTCGTTTTGAGCCAACAGCGCTTATCGCTTGGTTGGCTGCTGTTTTTCTTCGGTCAGCCCCTCTGACCGCTGCCATGTCGGACGGTTTCAAGCCTTGTCGCACCTGCAAGCAGCTGAAACCGCTCAACGAGTTCTTCCACCGCACTCGTACTACGCAGGTAGTGCGCTCGTGTCTCGCCTGCCGCCCTGCTCGACCATTGGCACCACCGGCCTCATCATCGACGCCTTCTGCACCGTCGCCAGCACCTCTTGTTCTGCCGCCGTCAACACCAGCACCTCTTGTTCTGCCGCTGTCGACACCAGCTCCAGGTCGTAACACAACACCTTCGCCGGCAGCTGCTGCTCTTCCGTCGCCACCATCCCTACCCCCTCCTCCCACTCTCCCGACACCAGTTCCTTCCGTTACGCCGGCCTTCGTTACAGACATTGTCGAGACCAGGGTCAGCGAGCTGCGTCAGCTGCTGCAGGACGACCTCCACCACGCCGTCCAAGGCTTGAAGGCCGCCATCCAGGCTGCTGTTAACCCCTCGACCCCGGCGACCCCACCAGCCCCCTCCCCTCAAGTTGGCGCCGCCGCCGCCCCCCGTCCACCACCAGCCCTTTCAGCCCCTCCCGGTGAGTACCAGACCGGCTGCCGTTACACGTGGATCCCTCCCGAGATTGTCGACAAGGTCCACAATGACACCATCACCGTTTACGAGCTGCCAAAGCTCGCCAACCCAGCTTGGCCCGGTACTGTTGCCGACGAGGAGCCAGCAGACGTCTTCATCGACGGCTTCAAGCTCAGCAAGCGGTCTGGCCCATCGACATCCAACAAAGGTTTCCTCCGAGCCATCCCATCGTTCGACGCCTTCACCAAGCTCTGGTTCATATACACGTCGCTGCGCGCCGCCAGTTCGCCGGACCGCGACTTGCCAATCGGCCTCGGCCGCTTCTACCTGCACATTGCAGAGCAGCAGGCCGTCTACCCGTGGGAGCGTGTCGTCGACTATATCGTCACAATCTGCACTGCTCGGCTGGGACGAGCATCAGCAGCCGAGTGGGCGCACTACGACAGTGAGCTCAACAACTCACACTTCCTCGGTGTCCCCACCAAGCAGCCTTCCCGATCAGCTGCGTCCACGTCATCCAAGCGGTCACGCGTTGACGACGACCCACGTCGCCTGGAGGTCTGTACGTCCTGGAACAATGGCAGGTGTGTCGGCACCACCGAGCGACCTTGCGTGCGCCGGCACATCTGTCGCTCCTGCAGTGGCAAGCACATGGGCAAGGATTGCCCACACCATCTCAACGTCGACACCACCACCGCCACCACCGCCTCCAACACCACCGGCACCAATGCCAAAGCTCTCAAGTAGAGCATCATCCAGTGAGTCCGCCCCACTCAGTCGACAGCCTGCCTGGTCGACTCAGCCCCGTGACCTTACGGCCTGCCCAGCAGCGCGTGGGACGTCACACAGTGGCACCCCCCGACTCCGGATTGACGCTACCGCCTCCGGTATGCCGTCGCCTTCCACAGCAGTCGACACCCCCCAGTCCCGTGACGGCGCAGCCTGGCCTCCAGCGTGTGCAATGTCACAAAGCGGCTCCACCCGATCCCGGCCGGACACAGTGACATTCAGCATGTCCCGTCTGCCCACAGCGGTCGACCCACGTCCTCTCCTGCCCCGTGACCACGCAGCCTGCCCGCCAGCGTGTGTGTCGTCACTCAGCGGCACCCTCGCGCCCTGTGACCGCGCAGCCTGCCCGTCAGCGTGCGCGTCGCCACAAAGCGGCTTCCTCCTGCCCTGTGACCATGCAGCCTGCCCGTCAGCGTGTATGTCGTCACAAAGTGGCACCTTCGAGTCCCAGTTGTCACCGCCCTGTGCCTCTTTGTCGACTACAGCGGCTCCTCTTCAGTCCACTGCGGCAGGCACGTCAGCAGACCCCTTGCTAGTCCCGTCGGCTGACCTCTCCCTCGTCTCCCTCTCGGCTCTCCAGTCTTTCCGCCCACCCGCTCGCCCCAACACCACCATGGTCGAGCCCATCTTCTCGCCATCATCCCAGCCTGCTTGACACGGCACCATCCAGGCATCTATCAGCGCTTGGGGGGTGGCTTTAGCCGACTACCCCGACAAAGCCTTTGTCGACCAGCTCCTTGGTGCCATCCAGCACAGCATCCTGATCGGTTACACCGGGCCTCTTCGACATGGCAGCCGCTTCAGCAACATCAAGAACCTGCCCATGGATGCTGTCGGCGCAGCACACGTCTGAGCCGAGCTCTCTGCCCGCCTCGCTGAAGGATGCATTGTCACAGTCAACCCGCAAGACTGTCACCTTGTCTGCTCACCTGTAGGGACTGTACCGAAGCCACGGTCGATAAAGCTGTGCACCATCCATCACCTGTCGCATCCTCGTCGTCCAGCAGCTGGCCAGCTCCCTGCCGTCAATGATGGCATCGCCACCCACTTCACGGCCATCCGCTATGCCACCCTGGCGTCCATCCTGTCGTTTGTACGGGACAACCCTGGCTGTCGCCTATGGAAGAGCGACCTGACCAATGCCTTTCGACATGTTGTCACGGCACTCGACGATGCCCGTCTCCTTGGCCTTACCTTTGATGGCCTCTTCTACATGGAGACAGGACTCACCTTTGGTGGGCGCAGCGCGCCGTGGCTTTTCAATCTCTTCGCGGAGGCGCTTCACTGGGTCGTCCAGTTGACCACGTCCCACCCGGTCAAGCACTACCTGGACGATTTCTTTGGTGCCACGCCGTCCACTGCCACTGCCGACCTCCCTCTCCACGCACTCGCACTGGCCTGTCATGCCTTTGGCCTCCAACTCGCCCCCTCCAAAACGTCGTGGAACCAGACGCGCTTGGAGATCCTGGGCATAGAGGTCGACACCATACGACAAACGGTCGGTATCACGGTCGAACGGCGCCAACGCATCCTGGACGCCATCGACCACCTCCTGTCACGTCGGTCGGCGCATCTACTGGACTGGCAACGCATTGCTGGGCTCCTACAGTTCGTCATGCAGGTCGTCCCCCATGGCAAGGCCTTCCTGCGACGCCTCTACGACGCCTCCAAGGCCGCTCACCGCCATCCCCTCACCCTTCGTCGCATCTCTCGACCAGCAGTGGCCGAGCTGCGATGGTGGCGATCAACACTTCTCGCCTGGCCCGGCCACTCTCTCCTGCAGCTGTCACCACTTGTCGTCGAGCACATCTGGACAGACGCCTCCAAACGTGGCTACGGCGCACATTGGGGCCTCATGGACTCGCCGTCGGCCGTGTGGTGTAAGGAAGTGTCCAAATGGCACAGGCAAAAGGACATCCGCTTCCACGAGGCCTTGGCAGTCCTTGACACCCTTAGGGTCTTCTCGGCGCACTGGGACGGGCCCCGCATGGTTGTCCTCCATGTCGACAACACCAATGTCGAGCATGGCCTTCGTTCCGGCCGGTCTCGGGATCCACTGACACAGACGCTCCTGTGCGAGATTGTTGGCCTCTGTTTTCGACACCAGCTGACACTCCACCCCGTCCGTGTCGCCTCGGAGGACAACCACCTGGCTGACCTCCTTTCCCGCCGTCGTTTTGCCGTCATCTCACAGCGTTTTCCCGGGGCTCACACCCTCCTCTTTCTGGCCAGACGAGACACGCCCCTCCCCCTTCCTTTGTCGCCGCCACTGGCTGCTCAACTCTCGCCGCCACCTTCATCTGGCGCGGCCTCGCAGAGTCCAGCCGTCGACGCAGCTCTGGCGTCCCCGGTCGCTACGCCGCCTTTGTCGCCCGTCGCTTTGGTTACAACGTCGCCGCCTACCCAGCGACCGACCTGCTCCTCACGGAATGGGTCAGTGACATGGCCCAGTCGAAGCCGTACCACAGCATCAAGCACGAGCTCGACGCTCTCAGGTCGTGGCATGTTGACCTCGGTCTCAGCCTTGACGGCTTCTCCCAAGGCCGACTCGAGCGCGTGGTCCGCAGCATCAAACGGTCACTTGGACTCCGGCCGGCCACGCCCAAGTTACCGATCACCCTTCCCCTCCTGCACGCCATCTTGGAAGCCCTCCCGCGGTCGTCTTCCCTCAGCGCCTGGGACCGGCAGGTCGTCGCCACCGCCTTCACCATCTCCTTTGCCTGCTTCCTCCGCTGTGGGGAGGTCACATGGGACGCCGCCAATCCCACCAGCCTCCTCGTGGGATCGATCACGTGGCATGATGACTATGCCATCCTCCTCCTCCCAGCCTCCAAGACGGACCCTTTCCGCCTTGGCGCCCCCTTGGTCGTCCCTCGTGTGGGCGGCATCGAGTGCCCCTATGCGGCGCTTCGCCTCATCTGCCCACCAGAGCGACATGCCTCTGTGCCTCTCTTCGGGCTCCAGGACGGCCATCGTCCTCTCACACGGTCGACTTTTCTCCACCACCTGCGGCTAGCCATCTCTCACCTCGGCCTTGACACGAGGCAGTACGCTGGCCACTCTTTCCGCCAGGGTGCGGCGACGTGGGCGGCAGCACAGGGTGTTGCCGCCGACACCATCAAGCTACTGGGTCGATGGACCTCCGACTGCTACAGGCGCTATGTCGACCGTACCGCCACCGAGCGCCGGACTATGGTCGCCTCGGCTCTCTACAGCGTCTGACATGGCCCTCTGGTCCCGGTCGACGCCTCTTGGCGAGACCCCGTCCTTTAGTCATGGCGGTGCCTCCATGGCCCCTCTGCCGCGACCGCTACCTGCTGCGCAGGCGACGCGACAGTCCTTGGCGGGCCGGGAGCCTCCAACGAGCTCAAGGACCTCACGGGTCTCTTGCCTGCAATCCACGTCAGTGTCTCATGTCTCTCACACGAGTGAGTTCCATGCCAACAGGTCAGACGGGATGCTTCACGTGCGGTAGAGGGCGTGCGCATCTGGGCTGAGCCTATCGGCCGTAACCCACATGCTACGTGGTTCCTTTGTGTGTTTTTATCTGGTTTTCTCTCGTCATCGTCTAGCCTCTTCTCCTCCATCTCGTTTTGAGCCAACAGCGCTTATCGCTTGGTTGGCTGCTGTTTTTTGCCCACCCTGTATCTCCACACCCTTGCCGCTCTGCCTAGCGCTCGACCGGCCCCTCTTGCGGCAGGCCGGGAGCCTCCAACGAGCTCAAGGACCTCACGGGTCTCTTGCCTGCAATCCACGTCAGTGTCTCATGTCTCTCGCACGAGTGAGTTCCGTGCCGACAGGTCAGACGGGACGATCGGAAAAGATAATTGCGTGCTGAGTGGGTGAGACCTGTGCACGCCAAAAAAAAAAAAGGTTTCTTCGCATTGGATGCAGGGCCAATCTCATTTCGAACCAGTCAGCCTGTCTTGAGCTCTCCTGCCTTTGTGTCACCGGCCTGCCTGCCAACTGCGTGTCTTGGGGGAGGTTCAGGCAAGGAACCCCTTCTCAACCCGATGAAGCAAATCGTCGGAGGTTCAAGTAAAAACGCATGACTGCTTACAATCTGTCTGCTTGACCCCTTAGCACCGCACGTGTTTGCCTTCTGAACAGCCTGTCAGAAGCAGCGTGCTAACAGAACAAGGTGCTACTCGGACCGGCTTCCCTTGCGGGTCTTGGCAGCCATCCAATCGATTTTTATCGTTATAAAACCCTCCTGCTTCCTGCCTCAACAGGGTTCTGCTTGATGAACATCGATCTTTTGATGAGTTGAATTTGCTTCTTTGCTTGTGCTTCCAGAATCCCAGCTTCCCTTCTTTCATCTCGACATCTTGCTTAAGGCATTTCTCAACTTCTGCGGACGTTCTTGGCTCCTCTCACTCAATCGCCGGCTTCTCTATAGGAGCTGGATCGAACCGACCGCCACGATGTCTGTTCCATACACAGGCAGCGGTGGCGTCGACCACATCACAACAACATCCAACCAAGCACAGACAGGCTCAGCATTCAAGGAGCTCCCAAGCTCGCACCCATCCTCTCCAGATGCTGACCATATCGAAAAGACACGGTCCAATGCAGCATCAGCAAACTCCAACGAGCCTCCTGCCGAGGATCTTCGTCGAGCACTTCAAACTCGTCACATGGTCATGATCGCTATCGGTGGTATCATTGGTCCAGGTTTACTCGTTGGTTCTGGTACAGCTCTTGCAAATGCTGGCCCAGCTGGTGCTCTCATTGCATTCGCCATCACAGGAGGTATCGTGTACTTTGTGCTCCAAGCTCTCGGTGAGATGGCAACCCTTTTTGCCATTCGTGGATCATTTATCGAGTATGCCGGAAGATGGGTGGACCCAGCACTAGGATTTGTTGCTGGATGGATCTATTGGGAGCTCTGGATCTCAGTACTGTCCAATGAATACAACGCCGTTGCAATCGTCATTCGTTACTGGGATGGCGCACAGGTGGTTCCAACCGGTGCATGGATCGCAATCTTTTGGGTTCTCTTCATGGGACTCAGTTGTCTTGGGGTTTTAGCATACGGCGAAGTCGAATTCGCGCTTGCAACCATCAAAGTTATCGGTATTGTCGTATTCTTCATTCTTAGTATTGTCATTAACGTCGGCGGCGCGGGCGGTGATCAAGGATACATCGGTTTCCGCTATTTCAGAGACCCTGGGCCCTTCAAGAACACTGGATTACCGGCTCTCAATGGCATCGCTAAGATTCTTGTCGTGGCTAGCACGCTCTACTCAGGTACGGAAGCGATTGCTCTCACAGCAGCTGAAGCTAGAAATCCAGCAAGAGCTGTTCCGGTTGCCATCAGGTCGGTTTTTTACCGAATCATCTTCCTGTACTTGGGAACGATCTTTTTCATTGGCCTCAACGTCCCGTCGAATGACACATCGCTTGTCAGTGCCGAGAGCAAGGCGGCAGCTTCGCCTCTCACCATTGCGCTAAGAAGAGGAGGCATCGGTGCAGCTGCCAGTGTTATCAATGCCTTGATCATCCTCTCGGTGATCTCAGCCGGCAACTCTTCGCTCTACATCGCATCTCGAACACTCCAATCCCTTGGTGCCACTGGCCGAGCTCCGAAGATCTTTGGATGGACAACCAGAAAGGGCAAGGTACCTATCCCAGCTTTGGTCCTGTCGAACTTGGTCGCCCTCATCTCTTTGCTTTCGATCAATTCCGGCGCTTCCACCGTTTTCACCTACATCATCAATATCTCCGGTGTCAGCACATTTATCATCTTTGCCATCATTTGCTTGTGTCACATTCGATTCAGACAGGCTTGGTTGCATCACGGTAACTCGCTCAACGATCTTCCCTTCAGGGCTTGGCTCGCTCCGTACGGAACATGGGGAGCTTTCATCCTCAACGTCGTACTAGCTTTCTTCCAGGGTTACACGACTTTCCTGAATCCAAGAAAAGCTGCAGACATTATTGTTGCTTACATTGTCATTCCTGTTGCAGTGGCATTGTACTTCGGATGGAAGCTTTATCATAGGACAAAGATGTACGTACACAATCATTCCATTCCATCTCGTCGCTTCAGACTACTGACACCCTTTCTCTTCTGCTCTTCTGCTTTTGCTCACAATAGCGTCAGTCTCGATGACATCGATCTCGATACAGGACGTCGTCTCATTGAAGACTTTGAAGAGCCCACGGCAGCTGATGATGATCTACTTGTGGAGAAGAAGCCATGGTACAAGAGACCTGCTAAGGTCATCAGTCGAGTCCTGGCGTAGAGCGTACTCCGATATGTATCTTTTCAAGGGTTTGCCTCTAGGTAATCGCAATGTCATGCAACGTTAATTTGCTCTGGCTTGCTATCCCACGCTCTAGAGTTTGCAATGGAACTTTCACGCCGTCGTCTCTATATTGGTCCTTGAAGAAACAAGCCAAAGTTCTGGGAGGGCGCTCATGAGTCCTATAAAGCGATTCATTTGGTCCGACAGAACGAAAGAGCGATGAAGACGATCATTGATTTTGAGGTTTTGCCCTTTTTAATCGGTGCATTCCGCCGCTGGGGAATGTATTGCGGAGGCTTTTCGAATGATTCAACCTCCTGTCAAGTCTTCCCAGTCTCGACGACAAGTTGAATGGGAAGCACTAGATCATCTCGATATTCGACTGAGGTCGTCTTATTCTCGTGACCGACGATTGTTCGCCGAGTTGGTGCAGGTTGCATCCGAGTTACTCCGCATCGCGAAAGAAAGTCTTCGCTAAGGACGATGCGAATGTCGAGAAGACTTGAACGAGATGTAGTCGCATCCGCCGTGATCGGTGCCACCAAAGACAATTCGTTTCAAGTGTCGTTCCAACACCGGATTGGATCGGTAATGCCAGAAACTGCAAGAGGATGTGGCCGTCCTTGATCACGGCAGAAAGGTTGTTACCGGCTGCTGTGGCCATGCGCTAGACTTGTCATCAAGAAGGACTTTGACTCGTTTACCGCCTGTGTTGCACTCGCACACATTGAAAGGAACTCCAGCCTCGTCCACCGTCACTCTGAAGTTTGCCTTCTTTTCGCAAAGGTGACAGTCTCGAACGGTTTACATTTTCGATGCTGAATAAGCAACGATGGAGCACAAAAATGCGGAAGCAGCACAGAGGATACGCAAGAGAGAGAATCAGTGTGGTGGCTCGAGTCAAAGCAGAAGATTCAAAAGGACAGCATCACATGAAGGCACTTGGAAAAGCAGAGCAAACTTAGGTGGTGTAAAGTATAAGGCAGAGTCACCAGTAGGCGACAGGGCTGTGGCGACGTCCCAAGGCGGGGAGGAGCCGCAAGCCGCGCTTCATAGTGTGCGTGAAAACCTAAGAAGCGCCCGGGATCCATCCCAAATTGAGCACTGTCACCATCAGTCCGATCCATTCGCTGCAAGCATCAGCATTTCCCTCAAATCTCAGCATGGTATTATCTGATCCCTTATCGCATTCTCATCTGTGTCCACTTTGTATATAATCTAGAAAGACAGATTTTGTGTCCCAACATACACGGAGAGAATGGACGATTCTCGGGCAAATGACGAGTTATACCACGGTAAAAGCAAACCGTCTCCATTGTTTCCATTGCTATGCAGTATCAATGACAGAGAACAGCACGAAACTTGATCGAGTGCTGGCTGAATATGCCGTGAAGGGGGCATTTCCGCAGTGAAAGCATGAATATACGGGCTGCAGTCACGGAATAGAGTCGGTGTAATTGGTACGATTTTCGACTCCGTTGACATCGACCGGCCACGCCGTCCAGTCTCTGAACAGAGCAGAAGGCAGGTTGACATGGAGAACAGCGCCAAAGCTAGAGAGCCTTCTGTTCACCATCTGAATCTGTGCCGGCCTAGTAGAAACGAAGTGGTGTTTGTGCTCTGGAAAGGAAGACTTTCAAATCATTGGTAACGTGATGTTGCTGCGTCGATGCATGGCAAGATGGTTAGGTGCCTGCTATCATGCAAAAGCCTGGGCCTCACTGCGTATGTATATCAGTCCAAGGTTTGGTAGGGGCGTGGCCAAGCAAATGAGTCTTCCCCGTCTGCCGCTGAACGTTGGCTTGCCCAATGGTACACACAGAATTGTCTGATTGAGAGGTTGCTCATCTGAGCGACTTACTAGTGCAGCCATTCGACCGTCTCAAGTCTGCTCATATACACACACAATACAGAGAGTTCGTCCGCGACGGGTTTCCGATGGCAGCACCGATTGGCTGGAGGAGCATCCGTACTGGTGCTCGGTGCAGGGTTTTGGCCGTAAAGCGGCGCTAGAAATGACCGTCATTCGTTGCTCGCAGATTCTCAGGAGACGGAGTACCCACTTTGACTGTCACCAGACGCCAGTCGACCTGGTCAAGCCTCAATCCCGGACCGTTGCAGTGTAACGGCTTCCTCTTAATGAGTGTTGATGGAACGTTACACGAGCTAAGACTGTTCCCGCTCAGGGTCTTCTGTCGGTGAAACGGCCATTGTTTCATTCGAGGCACTTGGCCTGTCTCCCCCGCGTTCTTGCCGCGCGATGAATCTTTTCAAGAACCAAATTTTCACACTGCTCTTGCGCTGAAACAAATCTGTGGGGGCACAACTTGACGCGTGAGCTTTGCGCATACGAAACAAGCCCCTCCATGCTGTCAATGAGGAGAAGCAGTCTGTTGCTGTGGCTGCAAGGCGTCTCATGGTTTGCAAGAAATGCAAAATGAAGTGGTACAATGACGAGATTGATCTGGTGCAGTTGCGAACTTGAGTTGGTGAAGCCATGGATATGCTACATGAAGGTACGAAAGTGCTGTGATGCAAAGCGCGAAAGCTAGCGACAAAGAGAGTATCCGAGCCCCTAGCGTGGATTCATCGTCCCTCTTGTTCTTCCGTCCGTCCGTAGGTCACATTCAATCACAGTGCGTCTTACATCTTGAACAGCGCTTTGACAGATGACAATGAGTTTCGCATAGCGCCAGAGACTGCAATGCAAGGTGTTCTTTCGGTCGGCTGAGTGAGTTGTGGGGAAGAGCCGCATATCCAAGGTGTGGGGTCGTGCAAGAAACCGTGCCATTCTCTGTGTTGCTTTCGCCGGCACTGAAGTTCGAGTACGGTCTGCTGCTCTTGGGCGCTGTAGCTCGAACCTGCATAGCGTCCGCGCTCTCTGCAGTTCCCAGACACGTCCTCCATGACACTGTTGTATTCATGAGATATAAAGCCTCATCCGTCTCAACGTATGGTCGGATCTGCTCCTCATAGTCCCGGTATCATAGCCTGTCTCCTCATCCAATTCTTCTCCTACTACCTTGGACGGATCACGTCCCTGAGCTCTAGACTCTAACTACATCAATGATGGGTCGCTTTGGCAAGCTCCAAGGCGCTGCCACCCAACGTGCGGTGACTGCCGACAATCTCAGCAAGAGCTAGATCTACTTCAGCTTCGCTCTCGTCTCTTCCCTCTTCTTTGTCTGGGGTCTGTCTTATGGTCTCCTTGACTCTCTCAATAAGACCTTCCAGGACTCACTCCACCTCACAAAGGCTCAGTCCACCGGACTCCAGGCTTGTTACTTTGGTGCCTACTTTGTGAACGGTCCAATTTCCGGTCCCCTCGCCAGGAAGTACGGATACCGTTTCAGCATTCACGGTGGTCTCGGTCTTTTCTCAATTGGTACCATCCTCTTCTGGCCTTGCGCGGTGTGAGCAGAGGCAAAAGGTTCCTCTGGATGATGCTACAAGCACTAAATGTCCATCGTAATCATTATTTCTTAGAGGAGCTTACTGACCTTTGAGCTGCGTCTTTGTCCTTACTTCTAGTTACTACTCCTATCCTGGTTTCCTCGTATGCACTTTCGTCACCGCCTCAGGTCTCGCTTGGCTTGAAATGGCTGCCAACTCCTATATCACAGTCTTGGGTCCACCTCAGAACGCCTCCTTCCGTCTCGTGTTGGCCCAATCTTGGAACGGTGTCGCTTCAATCTTCGGCCCCATCATTGCTGGTCGCACCTTCCTCAAAACCGGTCACTCGCACATTCTCAACCACCTTCAGTGGGTGTATCTGGGGATAGCAGGGTTCGGATGTGTCATCAATTCCCTCTTGTTCATCGCAAAACTTCCCGAAGTCAAGCAAGAAGTCGATGCTTCCCTCGATGAGAAGCCGGTGAACATTTGGAACCAGCGTCATCTCCTATACGGAGCTTTCGCTGAGTTCATGTATGTAGGCAGCCAGTACTTGTCTTACTACCCATCCTAGAGCTCCGCGAGTCATTCCAGAAAGGAGTCAAATGCTGACAACCACTCATACCATCTCTTTTTCTTCCCCGCAAATTTTCTTCCGCCTTACCGTCGCATTCGTTTTGCCGTCATGCTCTGACTTTGATGCTGCTGATCGTCCGCCAACAGAGTCGCCGTTGCCTCCCTTACGATCAACTTCTATGTCGAGCAGCCAGATCTCAACACCACGGTCACCAGAGCAGCGGATCTTTTCTCGGTCACACTCGCTGTTTTCACGATTGGTCGGTTCACCGGTGTTCCGATCTTGTCCAAGGTTGACTCGGCGCTCATGCTCTTCGTTTGCGGTCTTGGTTGTGTTTTCATGTCGATTTTGACCGCTGTTGTTCCTGGAGTTGGTGGTATCGCATGCTTGATGCTCATCTTCTTCTTCGAGTCGGTCTGCTACCCTATCATCTTCACCCTCTCAACCTCTAACCTCGGTGTTAAGCAGAAACTCGGTAGTGCTCTCGTTGCAGCCGGTGTTTCAGGAGGAGCATGGTATCCGAGTGTTCAAGCCGTAGTTGCTGATGCCACCAGCACTCGACGATCTTTCTTCGTGCCTATCGCTGGTTTCGCTGTTGTGGCATGGTACGGTTTGTACATGCACATGCGCGGTTGCCGCCAGCAGGGTTACTGGAGTTGGAGGAAGCTCGACAAGGTGACAGCAATGGGCGTTGCTTCGCAGCGAGTTTCTGACGCAGCGCATACTGGATCTGACAAGGACATCAAGGTTGACCAGTGCAGCCCTACCTACGAGACCGTTCCCTATGGGAACTAAGATGCATGCTTCGAGCTTTTTGGGACGAGTATGTGGGAGTTGGAGGGAAGCAAACCGCTCTTGACGACTGTTTGTATGGATTTTTGCAGCTTTCATGCTTCTCTGTACTTATTTCCTAGGGCTCTTACTTTTCTGTTATCCTTTGCCTCACATGAGAATCTCACAAATGCTCGCTTTGATCAAAGTGAATGCGTTGTCAAATCGTCATTGTTCACGCCAGTGTGCGAGCCTGCTGAAGCTGGAAGGGAAGAACAGCTGCGCCACGTGGTTGCTCAAACTCCAACAAACTGGACAAGTGCGGGGGTCCGGGTTTAAAAGCCGTGAACTCAAACTAATTGAAGATACGCCAGAGAATATCCAGAGTTTATCCAATTGCCGAAGTTGGTGAAAGCACAGACCGCTTATTCACGAGCTGACTCAGACATGCGAGACTCTCAACACATATACTGTATATATATATATATATATATATATATATGCTCATGTTTGTAGCCTTAACTCATCGAAATCAAGTAAGCATTTCAGATAGCATACACCTGTGCGAAGGATGTCTTCTATTTTACTTCAACTGAACTTAATCGACTGAACGCGAGGGAGCGAGCACACGAGATAAGGCGCATGATAAAACTCATATTCCTCTGTGCGACCTCTTTGCCGGCTTTCCTCGGCTATTCACGGCGCATTAAAGGAGTCTCTTGAGAAACTTTCGGTGGTATGACTCCGCGGTCTTTCCAGATCAACTCCATGCCGTCTCCCTTACTTGGCAGCAGACCACCATCATCCATCACCAAGCACAGTAAGATTGCAAAGTAAAAGCAACGATGAGCATGCAACGATCCAGCAGCTTGTCTGAATTGCGTCGAGGCGCTTTCTCGTCTCGAAAGCTCTCGAGCATCCTATCAACGCCAAAGCTCTCAGCCGTCACCCGCATCATCCTCTCTCTTACAGCGATCAGTGGTGTTACCATTCTCACCAGCTTCCTCAGCGGCGCATTGACGGTCGCATTGCCCTCCATTGCTAAGTCGGTCAATCTATCGCAAGGACTGCTGTCATGGCCATTGTCCATGTTCAGTTTGGTCAGTGGTGCTCTCTTGCTCATTGCCGGAGCAATGGCAGACGCATTCGGCCGACGACGAGTCTTCCTTCTTGGAATCGTGTGCTTTGCTGCAGTCTGTATCACGACTACATTCATGAACACAGGCGAAGGCTTGATAGGCTGCTGTGCTGGTCTTGGCCTCGCAGCAGCGATGCTCATCCCTGCTGGTGTCGGCATCCTGGGTAGTTCAATACCTGAAGGTCCGATCAAGAACAGAAGCTTCGCTCTGATCGGAGCTGCCCAGCCAGTTGGATTCATCCTTGGCCTTGTCTTGGGAGGTCTCCTTGCAGCTCGATGGCGGATCATCTTCTGGATCTTGGGTGCCTTTGCCATTGCTTGTGGGCTATGCGCATATGTATCCTTGCCAAACGAGGGCGAAGAGCTCATTCGAACAGCCAGTAACTCAAGAGCGACCTCAGTCATCGATTTGACCTCCGATGCTGCGGCGCTTTCTGTTGATCCTCGTGCTTCCACGAGCCCTGCTCCCCAGAACCTGAACAAGGCTGTCACATCGAGCATACCAGCATCCTCGTCCAACGCTACGAGCACAGCGACAAGCATTCACAACATCAACACCATTGGCAACACGAACGCTACAGCGAACGCCAGCATGAGTCGTTCGCTTCGCCTGAAGACCTTCGACTGGTTCGGAGCTCTGATGTCGACATCAGGTCTTGTCATGCTCACTTTCGCACTTGCAGATGCTGAAACAGCACCGCATGGCTGGAAGACGTCGTATGTTCTGGCATTGCTCCCGACCTCGATTGCTTTGCTAGGCGCTTTTATTTCCTGGGAGCGTTTCCTGGAGAAAAAGCAGCGAACATACGAGCTGGGTGCCTCAACTGCTGCCAATACTCAACAGCGTCGAAATGCCACCTTCTTTAAGGCACCTCCGACTGCACCATTGCTGCCACCAGCAATCTGGCGAGTACCTCGGTTTGGAGCTGTCTTGCTTGTGATCTTCCTGGCATGGCTCAGTTTCAACGTCATGTCGTATCTCAGTACGCTGGTCTTCCAGGAAGTACAGCACATCTCGGCCACAAAAACGTCCTTGTACTTCCTGCCAATGATTGCCATGGGTCTCGCTCTCAATGTCTTCGCAGGGCTTGTTGTTGGAAGAATTCCAGCCGTTTGGCTCATCGTTTGTGGCGCAATCGCTGGTGCGGCAGCCTGTGTCATCCTGTCGGTGGGTGTCGAGCCAGACACACCATACTACAAAGCCATGTTGTGGACTATGATTCTGCAAGTCGGTCCTGACCTTTTCTTCCCCGCCGGACAACTCTTCGCAAGCAAGTCGGTTGGACGACAGTATCAAGCTCTGGCTGGCTCGCTGTTCAATACGACCATTCGTGTAGCTACATCTTTAGGTCTTGCCATCTCTTCGTCCATATCAACGTCAGTCACCAAGGCTGCTGTTGCCAAGTCTGCTGGCCAGGCTGCTCGGCTGCTTACACGAGACCTGGTGCATCACCCTTCAATGCTGCTTGCAGGCTCGTACCTCGCACCGCGAGCCGCTGTCGGAGCATCTGGCGGCAGTGTGAAGGATGCTGTTCCAGTCAAGGCGTTGCTGGAGGGGTACAAAGCAGCGAGCTGGTTTTGCTTCGCCTGCTCAGTGCTGTCTATTGTAGTAGCTTTGGCAAGGCTCAGATCCATTGGGATTGTAGGTGGAATGGAAGGCAAGGTGGAAGACAGCAGCTCTGCTAACGACACGAGACTCAACTCACCTAGCATTGCTCCACAACAAGGCGAGTTCGAGCTTCAAACTGTAGTACCGGCGAGCGACCGCAAGGTCGGCCTTCCTTCTTCATCTACGCACTCTAGACGATGATGTGTGTCTGTTTGCTCTGTAAGATAGGCAAGTGCGAAGCAGTAATACCACTCGATTCTGCCGCAGATATACACTCAAGCTGCTTTGATTGCCGTTTGAGTCCTCATCATCGCAATTCGTTTCCATTTCTTCCCCGATCTCACGTTGGATTGATCATGATAGATGTATGCTAATATATCCCTGTGCGAACCACGTCGACTAACCACATGTGATATCCGGATACACATCGAATTTGCGCTGCGTGCTGATCGGGATGTTCCTTCTAGTCTGCTCCACTTCCTCTGGGTCCAAAGTAAAGACAAGTGTGTCTTCCGCCTCGCCGAGCTTGGCCTTGACATCACCAAGGGGCCCAACGACACTTGAATGACCCCAAGCTGGATATGCCTTCTCACCATCACGCCATCCATCTTTTTCGGTCAGAGTGCCGTCAATAGCCTCTTGGATGGGACGTGCGGGACTGCAGCCAAGCACGTAGACCTGGTTATCCGTAGCGCGTGCGCGAAGCAGAAGCTCCCAGCTGACAGGTCCAGTCGTAGTGTTGAATGCGCCGGGGTAGATGATGCATCCTGCACCGAGACGACCAGCGATCATGGCCGGCTCTGGGAAGCGCAAGTCATAGCAGATGCCAAGACCGAATCTTCCAAGGCTACAGTCGAACACGGTTACACGATCGCCTCCGGACAGTGTTTCGCTCTCCTGGAATGTCATCTTGCCGGGGATGTCGATGTCGAAGAGATGAAGCTTGCGGTGAATGCTGATGAGTTGACCTTGTCCGTTAAAGACGCATGAAGAGTTGTAGATGTTTCCGGTGAGATCGTCGCGTTCGGGCACACTTCCACCCACAAGAACGACGTTGGCTTCGCGAGCTGTCTCCGACAGCATCTTCAGACTTGGTGAGAGCTTTTGGATGCGGTCGTCAATCTCGACTGGCTTTCCGATGCCCTTCTCCCGGGCCAGCTTTGACTCTGCGCTGGGATCAGTGGAGGCATCGATGGTCCAGCGGATCTCCTCTCTGCCTTTGCCCATACGTGCAAGTGCAGAAGGGAGCGGCTTCTTAATCTTTTGGTAGGCGCCTCCGAACGACTCGGCGTATTCGGCGAAATACTTGACGCCATAGGGAGAGTTGAAGCATTCAGGCAGAACAACCATGCCTACTGGCGCGGGAGTGGGGGAGGAAGCCGAAGCCGAGGATGCATTGGGGAGTGTGGCAGCAACGCGGAGAACAGCATCCCTAGCTCGCTTCAGGTTGAAGGCTTTGTCGAAGGAGGTCGAGCCGAGCTGCACTAGGGCGACCGAGGTCTTCTGTAGCGATAGAGTGGGTGCCGTCGACATCTTGAGCGTTAAGGATTGCAATCCAATGGTGCCTTGTTTGGTAGGAGCAGTTAAGGAACGATAGGCTTTGGAGTGGAGACCTCAGTACAACGCTTCGAACGGCCCTGCCAACTTGTGTCATCGGGGCAGCTTGAGGTGTCGGCCAATTCACTGGATGATTTGCAAGCAGAACCAATCTAATCGCCGATGAAAGGTTTTCCCACCGATGAGACAGAGCTGTTAGATCAGTATATTCAACAAGTTGTTTCACTTGCCCCTGTCCGCAAAGGTCCTCATTGCCGCAGCAGAAGTTTCGGATCCGCGAGATTTGCAGCAAATTTGTGGCAGGCTGGGCGGGAAGAGCGAGCGGCTAACAGCTTTGGTCGGAGGATTAGTACGCTTTTCGCTCTTCTCTCCTCACCAGTCACACCAACGACAACGTCAAGAGTAAGTTTTAGCGTGCTTCGACCAGCGTCACCGCAAGCATTCGCAACACTCGCCTTGCATCAGCGTCCATAATATGAACATCTTTGCTAACTTGCCGCCGAATCTTGACGTTTCTCCTATCTCGCAGTGAGCAAGATCCAGGTGTCCAGCGTGCGTAACACTCTCAAGGAGCTTATCAAGGCTGCTGAGGACAAGCGCCGAAACTTCAACGAGACCGTCGAGCTCCAGATCGGCCTTAAGAACTACGACCCCCAGCGTGACAAGCGTTTCTCGGGTACCGTCAAGCTTCCCCATGTTCCCCGACCCCGTATGAGCATGTGCATTCTTGCCGACGCCGCCGATGTCGACCGTGCCAAGCTCATCGACCTCGAGTTCATGACCGTTGAGGACTTGAAGAAGCTCAATAAGAACAAGAAGCTCGTCAAGAAGCTCGCCAAGAAGTACGACGCTTTCCTTGCTTCCGAGGCTCTTATCAAGCAGATCCCTCGTCTCTTGGGCCCCGGTCTCTCCAAGGCCGGCAAGTTCCCCACCCCTGTCTCGCACGGCGAGGACCTCGAGAAGAAGGTTACCGAGGTCAAGAGCACCATCAAGTTCCAGCTTAAGAAAGTTCTCTGCCTCGGTGTCGCCGTCGGCCACGTCCAGATGTCTGATGACCAGCTCCTCGCCAACGTCATGCTTGCCATCAACTTCCTCATTTCGCTTCTTAAGAAGCAGTGGCAAAACATCAAGTCGCTCCACGTCAAGTCCACCATGGGCAAGGTCTACCGTCTCTTCTAAGCGGTTTGCCTTTTGCGACGTTGGAGTGCCTCGACTCTTTGCTTAACCTCTTGGCCGCTTTGGCGCCTCTGATGTGGTGAGGGTCGTGTCTCTTTCCTTTTCGATTGGGTTCAATGATCCCTTGCTGGTCACATGCATCCTATAAAGCATTTACGCACGCTTACACCCAGTTCCATTTGATGCCTCACAGAGGCGTCGACTTGGGATGAGGGGAGCTAATCTTGTGACCTTCTCATCTCACCCTCTAGAATACAAAACTGCCGTTGGAGGTGGAGCCGTCGTCTGCACAGCAGCGTCGGTTGTGCTCTCTGTTTTCGGATACTCTCATGGCTGGCCTCTTGTGGAGGCAGCAAGCGTGTGTTGACTGTGAGATAACGTGTCTTATCCCAAATGAGTCTCGAGATTTTTTGCAGCACACCGATATCGTAATCGTCACGGTACATGGCGCAGTACGTGATTGCCGTGTGGTAGCGAGGACAGAGTAACCGCTGCGTCACGGAGGAAGCCGTTAGAAAGCTCACTTTCACTTCTCATCCTCTCGTCAAAGGGAGGCACGCATTTTGACTGGGAGGAGACTTTGTCAGGGTCAGCATCCCACGCGTTCTGTACAAATTTTAGTTAGTTATTGCCGAGTTCTGCTTGTGTTTTGTATTCAGGAACTGTTGATGCAATGGTAGTTGTTCGAATCAGTGAAATCGGTCTAGACGACTACCAGTTAATGGAATCGTGAGGGAACTCTGTTGGCACAAAGAACATGGAGAGTGGAGCAGAGTGTTGAATTTGAGTGGAGAATGCAAGAGCGCGCAACGAGTAAGGATAGAATACAAGAAGAGAGCGAGCGTTTGCGTCGAGACGCTGAGGAAATGCAAGGGTATGCTGCTGCTTTTCACATACAACCGGGGCCCGAATTTACGAGTGGTTAGGGTCCTCGTTGGCAACATTGAGCAAGAGCGTGTCGGCGTCAAGCAATACCTTGTTGTTGGTACCGGCTTGCGAGAGGATGGTAGCAATGTCACGAGCAGCTTCGAGCTTACGAAGCTTAAGGAAACCCTTGTTCTTCTTGACGGCTTCACCAATGAGTTCGGCAGACTTAGCCTCACCCTGTGCCTTGACAATGATGGAAGCCTTCTCCTGAATGGCCTGGTCGACTAAGAAGGCGGCACGGAGAGCAGCCTGCTGTGCGATCTGCTTGGCCTCTACGGCGTGGGTGAACTCGGGGGAGAAGGAAACGTGGGTGATGGAGACGTCATCGAGGACAAGGTTGAAGCGCTGCGCACGCGCAGTGAGGTTGTCACGCACCAATCTCGAGACCATCTCTCGCTGTGTGATGAGCTGAGAAGCGTTGAACTGAGCGACGACCGACTTGAGCACCTCGTTGACGATGGATGGCAGGACACGCTCGTCGTAGTCGGCGCCGAGCTCTCGGAAGATGGTCGGAAGCGCATCAACACGTGGACGAGAGAGAACACGGCAAGTGAGAGAAACCATTTGAAGATCCTTAGTACCTGTGAGGGAGGCGATGCTGCGAGGCTTGGCACGGACGTCGTAGTCGATAGGCTTCTCGAACCAGGGGATCATGAAGTGGGTACCTTCGTTGAAGATGGTTTCCTTGATACCTGAGAGACGAGAGTACTTGATAGCACGGTGACCACCATCGACGTTGAAGAGCGACATATTGATACCGAAACCAAGGGTGACTAGCGCAATGATACCAGCGGAACCGCCAAAAATGTTACCAAGGTTGGGAGGGCCTCCACGTCCTCCGCCTCCACTGCCACCGCTGCTTCCGCCGGGCTTGCCAGCATTGTTGAACTGCTGTGACGCCTGCTGAGCTTGCTGGCGCAGACGATCGAGCGCGCGGAAGATGTTCTGAGGACCTGATCCGCGGTTCATTGTGAGAAAGGGATGTCGGGGTGTTGACCTTGTACTTTTACCCTTAATGCGTTTCCAGTCGGTCGCTCGACTAGCGGAGCAAAACTGATGAGTAGGATCGAGGATGGAATGCTAGCAGACCGTGCGAGTAGGGCTCACGGCTATTGCTTTGGAACTGAAGACCGGCAGAGGTGTTTGAAACGTTGATGACGACGACAACGATGAAGAGGAACTGTCCACACTCAGCGATTGAGTGAAATACCTGTGCCCTTTGAGAATTCTCAAGAGGTTGGTTGACCAAAGCGTACATCTCCAGAATCGCGGATTGGCTCAGCCATTTTAGCAGAGAGAGAGAGAGAGAGAGAGAGAGAGAGAACTGGTCGATCACAATTTTCTCGCCCGAATAAATTGAACGCGAAGAAAGCAACCAAGACGCGAGGTTGAACCCGCAACCCGACATCCTTTGAGCACAGACACTCTCAATTCACTAGCTCTCCACATCCACAGTTCTTCTCTATACTAACATCCGAGGCACTTTGCTGGTCGGACAACGATGACGGCTCGAGAAGCGAGGACGGTGATTGTCGTCACTGGCTCGCACACCATTACAGCCGGCTATGGTATCCACGAGATTCTCAAACGTCCATCCATCTCACTGACAGCACGCGTTGGTCTTCCAAGACCCACAGCATCCGGCTCCTCGGCCTCTTCACCTCCGGACTATACTCAGTACCTTGTTGGATCTGCGCTCGATGAAGCGGAACGAAGAGGAGATGACGTCGCCGTCTTCTGGCCGATGCGGAAAGGATATGTCCGTGACTGGCAGCAGATGATTGCGCTCTGGAACTATGTGCTTTTCCATCTACTACCCATCCGACGATCGCACAACGACTCGAACGTTCTGATCAGCCTTCCGCTTCCGATATCTCGAGCAACGCATGCCTACCTCACACAAATCTTCTTCGAACACTTCAACTCTGCCGCAATCACGATTGCGGAAAAGCCGTTGCTATCATGCTACGGTGTTGGTACCATGAACGGATGTGTTGTTGACCTTGGATACGAGGGGTGCGACGTGACACCGGTCATCGAATGCCTCGTCCAGTCCAATGCCAATGTTAAAACAGATGTTGGGGCTCGTCACTGCATTCTCTACCTAGCTCACCTCCTGCGCCGCGACCAGAGCCTTGTCAAGGCCATCCAGACGCTACTCCGATATACCCGCAAGGCGTCCTCGCGCCAGGACCAAGAGACAGCGTTAAGGAAGGCTATGTTTTCTCTCGCTAAGCAGCTTGTGGAGGAGGGACTGGTGCTCGACGAAGATGCCGTGAAGAAAGGTGCCGGAGGTCTGGTCTCGGCTGCGGATGGCGAAGATGACGAGGGCAACTTTGACATCGCGGCTGTGCTTGTAGAAGGGACCAAGAAGCACGACGAGGAGGAGGAAGAGAGACGTCGAGCGATGGAGGCCAACCAAGGAGAGGAGATCGATGAGGCCATCCTCGCTTCCATCACAGGCGAAGACGGTCAGGCAGGCGGATCTACGGACGAGAAAGCGACACTGGTGACCTTCCGCGGTCTCAAGCTCAAAGTCGGTCCAGAACGCTTCCGTTTCCTTGAACCGCTCTTCCGACCCGAATTGCTCAAGGATGTCGCCGGTGCTTCCGACTTGCACTTGGGAGACGAGCCGTTCGGAGCTGGTCCGTTCGTGGCAGAGACCAATGGCGCTGGTACTAACAGCGATGCGGCTCAGTCTCCAGCAAGTCATGACAACTTTCCGATCGCAACTGCAACACCTGACTGGAGTCAAGCCGTACCACTTCCGCTGGCCATTGCCAGCGCTATCTCACGCATTGAGGATGCCGACCGTCGACCTCAATTGTGGGAGAATCTTATCTTCACTGGCCAGCCTGCCAAGATCAAGACGATTCAGATCGAGGCCATCTCGGCTCTGTCAGAGTTTGTCGCTACGGAACAGACTGAAGCAGCTCAAGTGCTTGCTGAGCCCAACCCCCTGCAAGCGCGCAACGTGCGTGCATTGCGTGTGCCCGACTACTTTTCAGAGTTTAAGGAGCGCACCGACCTCGCTTCGTTCCTCGGAGGCACGATCTATGCCAAGCTCATCTTTGGCGATCCGCAGGCTAAGGCCTTCATCACCAAACAGAACTACAACGAGGCTGGACCAAATCAAGCTTTTGCTGTCAAGCTTGCTGCCTGAAATCGGCTCGAATCGTGCTACTTAACGGGCATCACTCATCCTGTCGGAACTTCCGATCATCCACACTGTACTTTTAGAAAGCTTCTGCAATGGTCAATGTCCACATTGTATAGCTTTTGAGACAGCTGAGCAGTGTGCTTGTATGCTCCCTCTCTAGACGGACTCTTCTACTTTGCAGCTTGTTGAAGCTTGCATCACGTGATCAGTCATGAAGGCGTGCGCGTCTAATACGTAAACACCGCCCACACGTTTATTAGATTCAAGTTTGCTATGTCCAACCCCTACAATAAGCTTGAAATGCTTTTCGAATAGCACTAACGCTGTCAGAAAGCAGAGTTGTTATAGGTCCAATATTAACTAGTTTATCTAGTTCTTCCTGAGTGCCCTATAAAATTGAGTTGAAGTAGATAAAGCCGCACAAAGCGTGGAGACAGTGAAGGTAGTGCTTACGGCCGAGTAAAAGGCCTGAACATCTTAGCACGGACCACATGTGTCACAACCTACTCAAGGCAAATGCTTTGTTATGCTCCGCAGTCAATGCGGCTCTCCGCCGCTCTTCTTTTGTATATATAGACTCCTAGCTCTCTCGCTCTCTCTCTCTCCTACCATCATCATCAACTAGACGCCTCAACTCCAACCACTGACGACTGACTCCAACGCACTGACGAATGACTTCAACGTACTGACGAAGGACTTCAACTGATTAAGAGTCTGACACTCAACGCAATGCTGCCATCGACAAGAGCTGGACAGACGGGAAGGGGCGATGATGATCAAACGACCACAAGCAATGGACAGGAGGAAGGATGGCTCATGCAGGTAGTCAGGATCCTCCAGCTGGCGAACCCGGCACTATTGGCAGAGGAAGCAATAGTACAGGCCATGGGTCTGGTCAACATTAGCAACCAAGCTCCATGCGGGGAGACCGAAAAGATCCCCAAGGACGTATCGAGCTCCATTGCTCACATCAAGAAGCTCAGCGATAGCAATTGGCACACCTGGGAACCCACCTTTATCGACTGCCTCCAGAGAGTGCACAATGCGAAGGAAATCCTGTATGGTACCGTTGTACCCGGGAGCGAGGAATACGATGAAGACCTAGACAAGGCACTCGTGAGCCTCATCCATGCCTGCTGCGATAACAGCCCGGATAGCCGCATCGACACCTACACCGTCAGAGGGGTGGATGAAGAAGTTCAACTTGGTAGCACACTCTATGCCAAACTCAAGAAGGCACTAACACTAAACGACGCTGTAAAGTGAGCAGGACTGCAGGATCATATCCACACAGTGTGCTTGCACAATCGAGACGTTGTCAGACTAGGCAAGGAACTTGATTCGATCTGGAACGATGCGGCACGCCTCGGAAAGCGTTTCGACGAGGACCTCAAGAAATCAACTCTCTATCACTGCACGGCTCAAGATTGGTTCTATGCCAACACTGTCGATGCACTGAAAATGGCCAGACCAGACTGCAAGTATGACGAAGCCTACCATGCACTGGCCAAGAAACAGCAGGATGGTGAGATCACTGGTCGTATTAGAGGAGCAGCAAGGGTTGCCACAAATGCGGAACAGGGGAGTGCCAACCAGGCGGAGCAAGGACCCAGGGGGAGGCGCGATCCTTGCAATCCCTTGGCCCCTCCAAAGTGCTACGCTTGTGGAGGACCAAATCACATTGCTCGAAATTGCACAAACGCACGAGGCACAAGCGAACCTGTCGCTCGTATGACACAAGAGGTGAACCACTAGGAACTCAGGTGCACCTTTCTAGCAGTCGACAGGGGCGAGCAATCAGCATGTGACACCTGGATCATCGATTCAGGTGCAACCCATCATATGGTAAATGATGAGAGAATGCTGCTCACCTCAACGAACAAGGTTGGCCAAATCAGTACGGCAGGGGACGAAAAGCTTCAGGTGAAGGCTATAGGAGATGCCTCCCTTCGGGTCGGTGAGGCCACCATCCAACTATTGGATGTGCTTTATGTACCAAAACTGAATGCTAACTTATTGTCCGTACAAGGCTTGATCGAGAATGGTGCACGAGTAATCTTTGATGAGTTTGGAACTACCATAAAGCAGAACGATGGTACCCAAGTACAATTCAAAAGGGACAGAAGACAGGGCCACTTCAAAGTGCGAGGACAAGCACTGGCTTTGGAACTGGAGGAAACACGAGATGGCGTCCCAGAGGACAACCAGAACACAGGAAAACTAGATAATGCCCCGGAGGGCAATAAGGACACGAAGCATCGAGACAGCTACCTATGGCATGAGAGGTTCGGACACCCAGGACGAGACAAAACGAGACAAATCCAGGCCCATTACCTAGGTACCGACGAGGAAATGGAACATGAGTCGAAGCACTGCAACGTGTGCAGTCAAGGAAAACAGACTTGAGCACAGATGAGCCAATCAGAGTCGGAAAGAATGGAGGCACCATTAGAGCTGGTACATGTAGACCTGATGACAGATTTCAAAGGACATGCCAACTACCACTACGCACTAGTTGCTGTGGACAACTTCTCCTCTCTGATCTACGTGGAACCACTCTGCACAAAGAGTGCCACACTCACGGCGCTGAGAAGGTGGATAGCCAGGATGGAACAGGCAACGGACAGGAAACTCAAAACACTCCGCAGCGACAATGGAGGAGAATGGTGCAGCATAGCAGCCGAAGACTGGCAAACTCAAGAGGGTTTTAAGTGGCAAAAGAGCGTCCCAGGGATCAGTGTCCAAAATGGACGGGCGGAGAGAGCAATCAGATCGGTCCAAGAAAAGATGCGCTCGATGCTGATTGGTTGAGCTTGCCCCAGAGAGTTGTGGCCGTACACAATCACAGCAGCAGCACACGTGATGAACCTTACCCCGTCAGCCACCAAAACCATTCCCCACGAGGCCTTTTATGGAACCACTGCGCACAAGCTGGCCCAGCAACTGCGAGTCTTCGGATGCTTGGCATGGGTTCATGTTCAACAGAAGGACCAGCAAGGCAAGCATGGAGCTAGAGCAAAGCCAGCCATCATGATTGGGTATGACGATGAACACAAAGCATGGAAGTTTTGCAACCCGGACCAGCCTGCGTCAATTCAATGGAGCAACTCAGCAACGTTCCATGAGGACAAAGGATGGAGTGATCGCCAACAAGAGGCAGTCAGGCCCGTGGTGACTGTGGAGGTCGAGGAGGAGGGTGTCACGCCAGCCATAGTAGAGGAGGAGACCAGATCAGAGGCCGCAGTGGAGGATCTCCTACCAGCCGTAGACAGCACAGTGGGTGCCACCAACACAGCAATACTGAACCTGGACCCAATGCTTGGGGAAGCAATGAATGGTGAGGATGCCCAGCTCTGGAAGGAGGCAATACGAAAGGAGCTAGAAGGACTTGAGGCAATGGGGACTTGGGAGGTGGTGCACCAACCACCAGGAGTACCACTTGTGGACTCTAAGGTTGTGCTTTGGCTGAAGCTTGACGCTGATGGTGTACCTGTTAAGCACAAAGTGTGACTGGTTGCAAGGGGCTTCACACAGAGAGAGGGGATCGACTACCAAGAAACCTTCTCTCCAGTAGCACCCCTTGGAGCGATCAGAGCCATCTTAGCACTAGCAGTGCAGAACAACTGGGAGGTACATGCTCTGGACATCACTATGGCTTACTTGAACTCCACGTTAAAGGAAGCAATCTACATGAAGCTGCCAGAAGGATCAGGAGTAGCACCCGGCAAGGTGTACAAGGTAGTCAAGGGCCTATATGGCCTAAAGCAGTCTGGGCGAGAATGGAATCAGGAGTTCGACAGGTCTTTGCGATGCATGGGGTTCTTCCAGGTAGAGTGCGCTCCCTGCATCTACACCAAGGGACAGGGTGAAGATATGGCCATTGTGGTCATCTACGTCGATGATACATTAGTCATAGCACCACAGCTGGAAACGGTCCTAAAGGTTAAGAAGCAGATTGGTCAGAGATGGAAGATGGAAGATAGTGGTGAGGTCTCTCACTTCTTGGGCATCAAAATCAGTCGAGACCGTGCGATGCGCACCATGACGATTGGTCAGTCAGGGTACATCGACCAAGTGCTGGCAAAGCACCTGGACAAACGCACAAAGCCGACCATGGTTCCAATGCAGAGCATACCGGAGGGAACCCTTGTCGCAAGCGCAGCACAACAGAAGGAGTATCTGGTGATTGTTGGCAAGCTGCTCTGGGTTGCCAACAGCACCCAGCCCGACCTTAGTCTCACCATGGGTGTTCTCGCTAGGCACATGCATGAACCATCGCAGGAGCATTATCAGGCAGCACAAAGGGTCTTACGCTACCTCGAAAGCACAAGGCAGGTTGGATTGGTTTATAGGGCAAGTGAGTTGCAAGAGCCACTGGTTGCACACAGCGATGCAAACTGGGCAAGCGATGCCACCATACAGAGAAGAAGCACATCGGGGTCAGTGGCATTAGTGTACAGGAACCCAGTAGCCTGGAAGTCAGCGACACAAAAATGCGTGTCATTGTCTGCTGTCGAGGCAGAGTTCATTGCAGCCACGGAAGCAACACGTGAGGTGCTCTTCCTCAAGCAGCTGCTACGCTCAATTGGCATTGCCACAGGCACACCGACAGTCTACTCGGACAACACTGGTTGCATACAGGTTAGTAAGGACCCAGCACAGCACTGGAAGCTTAAGCACATCGACACCAAGTATCACTTCGTCCGTAACAATGTACAAGAGGGAAGGGTGCAGATCAAGTACGTAGACACCACAAGAAACTTGGCAGACGTACTCACGAAGCCCATTGGGAGGCAGGCAATGCAGCAAGCAAGATCTGGGCTACACCTGCAAATACCGGCAGCAGTGTACGGAACGGGGTCCCCGAGCTATGCGACAGTGTTGAAGAACGGAGGTCACACCTTGAAGCAACAGCATAATGAACAGGGTACATATGCTGTTGAGGGGGGGAGTTGAAGTAGATAAAGCCGCACAAAGCGTGGAGACAGTGAAGGTAGTGCTTACGGCCAAGTAAAAGGCCTGAACATCTTAGCACGGACCACATGTGTCACAACCTACTCAAGGCAAATGCTTTGTTATGCTCCGCAGTCAATGCGGCTCTCTGCCGCTCTTCTTTTGTATATATAGACTCCTAGCTCTCTCGCTCTCTCTCTCTCCTACCATCATCATCAACTAGACGCCTCAACTCCAACCACTGACGACTGACTCCAACGCACTGACGAATGACTTCAACGTACTGACGAAGGACTTCAACTAATTGAGCCTAATAAAATCTTTGATAGTTGAAGCATGCGACTCGGGATTGCTGACCTACCAAGTCGATTCAACCCCGAAGTGGAGCCAAAGGCATGTAAGTTCAGCAGCAACTTCTTTCACAAACAATGTGGTCATCCCAGGTGAGACAAGACTCAAACCATCAAGAGGATCTACAAGATCCAGATCAAGCCTTGTGAATGCCAAGATTGTATAGCAAGCAAATCAACAAAAGCTAGAATGAAATGAGGTAGTGGGGAACATGCCAAGTCACCCCTCAAACTACTGCATGTTGACTTGGCCACTCATTTCTCAACAAAGACAGAATTCTCTTGCCTACTGGTAGTAGTGGACAATGCATTGAGTCTCACATACATCAAACCAATGCAAGCAAAATCAGACACCCTACACATACTAAAAGAGTGGGTGAACTATGCCAAGACTCAGACTGGCAACAAACTGAAGACACTCTGGTTGGATAACAGCAGAGAATGGGCCTCTGCAGCAGCAGCTGCATGGCAAAACAATGCCAGATTCCAATGACAAAAGACATCAGCATACAACAGTGAGCAGAATGGAAAGGCCAAACAAACCATCAGGACCATCAAGAACATGATCATGACAATGCTGCAGACACACAACCTACCACAGACATTCTGGCCATTTGCCACTGAGGCAGCAGTCTTCACCAAAAATGTCCTGCTGAACATCAACAAACAAATCCCTTAATGGTCTGGTGTGTTTGATGTTGTTGGCACCAACACGAGTGTCCAATGTGTCGACTGAGTGCTTGAAATGATCCCAGGACCACAGTGGATGACTGCCTTCAGTTCTAATAATTGAGAGAGCTGGACCACAGTGTCAGGGGTCTCGCGCCTGAAACCCAGGTCGGTCTGTCGAGATACTCGGTGACTATCAAACTGTGCGACAGCTATTGTCTCGAGATACTCGGTGACTATCAAGTTGTGCAGTGACAGCAGGTGGCGTTTGTTGTATATACTATCGTAGGTTTCGGCTGACCTCTGTGGACACTCCGTTCAGGGGTAGCTCGGCACGATCAATATCAATGTTATGATGACACCAAGGTCTGGTGTGGGTGTTGATGATGATGAGGTTGATGGTGTTGGTGATGAGATTGGTGATGTCGATGATAATGAGGTTGATGGTGTTGGTGATAAGGTTGGTGGCGTCAACACGAGTGTCCAGTGTGTTGACTTGATGCTTTGAAGTGATCCCCGGACCGCAGTGGACTACTGCCTTCGGTTCTATCTATATCCGGACCGCTAACCTGCTATGGGCGCCTTCGGACGTCAGGTAGTGGTGATACAACACACACACTACGATGAGGAGCAACCTTGATAGATTGCTGCTATGCTGACTGTAACTAATGAGTACTTGTGTTTCTAAAGTATTGACTAGTTGTATGGTGAGTAGAGTGGATGAGGATCCACTCGACCTATTGATGAGAAAGCATGGTTATATACCTCTTCTCAGCATCGCCAGCGATGCTGCTCCTGCTCTCTCTCCAGAGAGTACCTTCTTCATCGAGTACTGCTCAGGGGCCTCTCCTGCTTGGCACCCCTGTGCCTCTTGAGCTGTGTCGACTCCTTCGACACTGCTCCTCCTCCTCATGACCTGGTGTCGACTCCTTCGACACTGCTCCTCCTCCTTTGATCAGTGACAGTTCCTTTGGCTCTTGTCTCTCGAGCCCCTGAGTGGTAACCATCTGCATGCTCCTTGAGCTTGGTCCTCTTCGTGGCTGTGCCTGCTCCTTGAGCTTGGTCCTCCTCGTGGCTGTGCCTGCTCCTTGAGCTTGGTCCTCCTCGTGGCTGTGCTTGGCCCTCCTTTGCATGTGAGTCCATAGGAGTCCATGGTCTCCATGGAGACTGCACTACGACCATGCTCTCTACTGGTGTCGACTAGGTCTTCGATACCTGTGCTCCTTCCATATGAACCCATGACCCTCCTGCTTCTTGAGCATCCAGGCCCATGACACACAGTATGAACTGCCTTTGGAATGTCAATCAATGTCAATAAGCAGTGATACAACACATGCACTACAATAGGAGCAATGTCTTATGATTGCTACTGTTGACAAACTACTAAATATACTTATGTGAAAGTTATAGCTAGTATGATATGGTGTAGAGTGGATAGCGATCCACTCAACAACTATGACAAGGAGTGAGGTTATATACCATTTGCGCAATGTCGCCTGCGACACTGCCTTCACTCTGGCATGCCTCTTCAACACTGTTCCTCCTCCTCTAGCACTGCTCCTCCTCCTCTTGTCCTCATGGTTTCTCTTACGACACTCGATGTCAATCGTTATACGGACCGCAGGTTACTATGAACTGCCTTTGGATTGTCAGTGAGCAGTGATACAACACATGTGCTACAATGGAAGCAATCAATTGTGATTGCAACTTGCTGATGGAAACTACTAAGTATACTTATGCTGAAGTGATAACTAGTAATGTATGGTGTAGAGTGGATGGGGATCCACTTGACCACTTATGACAAGAAGGTATGGTTATATACATCTTTGCAGTGTTGCCTGTGACTCTGCTCCAGCTCTCTCTCCAGAGAGTACCCTCTTTGTCGAACACTGTGGTAGAGGTCTCTACCAAGGCGTTGTCATGGGCCTGGATGCTCAAGAAGCAGGAGGGCCAAGCACAGCCACGAGGAGGACCAAGCTCAAGGAGCAGGCACAGCCACGAAGAGGACCAAGCTCAAGGAGCATGCAGATGGCTACCACTCAGGGGCTTGAGAGACAAGAGCCAAAGGAACTGTCACTGATCAAAGGAGGAGGAGCAGTGTCGAAGGAGTCGACACCAGGTCATGAGGAGGAGGAGCAGTGTCGAAGGAGTCGACATCAGGTCATGAGGAGGAGGAGCAGTGTCAAAGGAGTTGACATCAGGTCATGAGGAGGAGGAGCAGTGTCGAAGGAGTCGACACAGCTCAAGAGGCACAGGGGTGCCAAGCAGGAGAGGCCCCTGAGCAGTACTCGATGAAGAAGGTACTCTCTGGAGAGAGAGAGCAGGAGCAGCATCGCTGGCGATGCTGAGTAGAGGTATATAACCATGCTTTCTCATCATCATAGGTCAAGTGGATCCTCATCCACTCTACTCACCATATAACTAGTTATCACTTCAGCATAAGTATACATTAGTTTCAGTCAGCATAGCAGCAATCTATCAAGGTTGCTCCTCATCGTAGTGTGTGTGTTGTATCACCACTACCTGACATCCGAAGGTGCCCATAGCAGGTTAGCAGTCCGGATATAGATAGAACCGAAGGCAGTAGTCCACTGCGGTCCGGGGATCACTTCAAGCATCAAGTCAACACACTGGACACTCGTGTTGATGCCACCAACCTCATCACCAACACCATCAACCTCATTATCACTGACATCACCAATCTCATCACCAACACCATCAACCTCATCATCATCAACACTCACACCAGACCTTGGTGTCATCATACCATCGATATTGATCGTGCCGAGCTACCCCTGAATGGAGTGTCCACAGAGGTCAGCCGAAACCTATGATAGTATATACAACAAACACCACCTGCTGTCACTGTGCAACTTGATAGTCACCGATACTGAGACAATAGCTGTCGCACAGTTTGATAGTCACCAAGTATCTCAACAGACCGACCTGGGTTTCAGGCGCGAGATCCCTGACATTAGAGTGGATGGTTCAAGCAGCTCCTCACGATCACCATGACGGACCCAGACCTCAACAATAAGCTCGATAGACTACTCACTCTATTGGAAGCACAGCTAGAGCTTACCAGACAGGGTCATCAAGAGGAACGATTACAACGAGCTCAACTGAGCAGGGAGGAGACAATGGACCTCTCTCACTCAGAAGACCAAGCAGGAGGAGGAGATGAGTCTATGATAGGAGACCCACATACTCCTACTCTGGCTCCACGACCAAGACGATCAGTCTCATTCAACCTGGATGAGCAAGAGGACATCAACTATGAGAAGTATGCTTCACCTACTGGGCCAAGATACATCAAGACTAAGGTGGACCCCTACAGCAGGACTAGGACGGACCCTTACCCCCTGGACCATGAGGAGGACACCAGCATCATGGCAGAGCTTAACCAGTCAAAGCCCATCGCCACCCCCTTGTCAGGGGTCTCGCGCCTGAAACCCAGGTCGGTCCGTCGAGATACTCGGTGACTATCAAACTGTGTGACAGCTATTGTCTCGGTATCGGTGACTATCAAGTTGTGCAGTGACAGCAGGTGGCGTTCGTTGTATACACTATCGTAGGTTTCGGCTGACCTCTGTGGACACTCCGTTCAGGGGTAGCTCGGCACGATCGATATCAATGTTATGATGACACCAAGGTCTGGTGTGAGTGTTAATGATAATGAGGTTGATGGTGTTGGTGATAAGGTTGGTGGCGTCAACACGAGTGTCCAGTGTGTTGACTTGATGCTTGAAGTGATCCCCGGACTGCAGTGGACTACTGCCTTCGGTTCTATCTATATCCGGACCGCTAACCTGCTATAGGCGCCTTCGGACGTCAGGTAGTGGTGATACAACACACACACTACGATGAGGAGCAACCTTGATAGATTGCTGCTATGCTGACTGAAACTAATGTATACTTATGCTGAAGTGATAACTAGTTATGGTGAGTAGAGTGGATGGGGATCCACTCGACCTATGATGATGA